AAACACAAATGATGTTTTATTCTTATTCAGAGGCAACTTTAGGCTCTGATGAGTATTGTAGAAGCAAGAGCCAGGCCCAGAGCATCTGTGCATGGATATACTCTCTGTGAAGGGCTTCAAGTTCCTGTGACCATGAATGAGATTTACAAACAGGGAGCAGAGCAGTCATTGTGCCCCGATCCCCTGGTGAAGACAGAAATTCTCAGCCTTCTGTACACGCCTGTTGAGGGGACCCCCTGGGCAATTGGATGGTGCTGAATTCACTCACTTCCACGTTCACTGCATTTTCCAGTCCTCCCCTGACCTGTCTGGAGAGGCCCACTTGCAGAAAATACAAAGAAAATTCCCTCTTTCTACATGATAGAGAATGCTTACCTAGAGCCGTCCTGAGAAGGCATCAATACCGGTCTCATGTCTTCGATGCTCCCTCTGGAAAATGGAGCCACCCCCAACAGTGCTGCACATGAAAGACCAGAGACTGTGCCCTTTATCTTTGGGCTTCCCTCCTGTGTGGGCATTAAAGGTTTAACCCTCCCTGAAGTAAGGAACAGCCAAGGAGCTTCAGTCTCTGATTTTTTTTTTTTTTTTTTTTTTTGACAGAGTCTCGCTCTGCCGCCCAGACTGGAGTGAGTAACGTAATCTTGGCTCACTGAAACCTCTGCCTCCCGGGTTCAAGCGATTCTTGTGCCTCAGCCTCCCGAGTAACTGGGATTACAGGTGTACACTACCGTGCCTGGCAATTTTTGTATTTTTTGGTAGAGACAGGGTTTTGCCATGTTGGTCTGCCTGGTCTCGAACTCCCGACCTCAGGTGATCCGCCTGCCTCGGCCTCCCAAAGTGCTGGGATTACAGCAATCCCTGTGATTCTTATCTGCTCATGGCTCTAACTCAATGAGGTATGAAAAACAGAGAGTAGTCTTATCACCCCTCCATTTCAGATGAGTAAACCAAGGCTGAGTAAAGCTGCGTGAGTTGGACAAGCCATAGACAAATGAACAGCAGGAACCAAGACCTGTCCTCGCCTCTTCCGACTGCAAGCCCAGCATCACACCAACCTAGACCTTGGGAGGCTAAGCACTTGGAGGATTCTTCCAAAGAGAAGCAGAAACCTACCTTTTCCCTGCAGGGCTCATTGAGCTACATGAAACCATTTGACATAGTCTGGCTGTGTCCCCACCCAAATCTCATCTTGAATTGTAGCTCCCATAATTCCCATGTGTTGTGGGAGGGACCTGGTGGGGGAGATAATTGAATCATGGAGGTTGTTTCCCCCATACTGTTCTTGTGGTAGTGAATACGTCTCAAGAGGTCTGATGGTTTTATAAGGGGTTTCCCCTTTTGCTTGGCTCTCATTCTCTCTTGCCTGCTGCCGTGTAAGGCATCCCTTACTCTTCCACCATGATTGTACAGTCTTCCAGCCATGTGGAACTGTGAGTCCATTAAACCTCTTTTCTTTATAAATTACCCAGTCTCGGGTATGTCTTTATCAGTAGCATGAAAACAAACTAATACACCCAATAAAAAGTTAAGCATGTATTGGTACTGGTTATTTGTTTCAAAAACTTTGTTTAACATTCATCCATATGTAATCCTTACACTTGATGTGAAAGCTTAAGTTTAATCTCACAGTTTTCAAATTTTTTTAGTTTCAGTTTTTAGCTTTACTTTTAATACTATAAATATTGATAGATATAACCCACATAAACAAAGTTCTCTGGGGTCCTCAGTCATTTTTAAGAGTATAAAAGGGTCCTGAGACAAAAATGTTATTATTTTTCAAATTAAAACTGAGAATATTTTAAGTGTATATTTTCAATTCATTAAAAATAATAAACCCATTACATGCTAACAATGCATTTTTATTAGAAATAACCATGTTTCCAATTTTTAAAAAATTGCATTGTATTGCTTCATATTTTTGCAGATCTCATTAATGTCTGGCTAAAGTGAAAACAACTGATTCCCTGCTTCTGCATTCAGTCTGTTCCAATATTATACACTGGTTGACGTATATGAAGAAAAGCCAATTTGTATATAAAGAAAAGTCAATTTCACAAAGACATATAATTGAAAAAGGGGAGGATATTTTAATAATCTTTCAGATACTTGTGGATATTATTCTCTGATATTACACCAAATTTGACAAGTAGTGGCTTCTTAAAGATTGTTACAATATGGAAACTGAAACTATACTGATGAATTTTTTATAATCAGTTACATTAAAATCCATTGGTCTACTTTCCCTTTTGAATGGGTCTTTTACTCATGCACAATTTTATACCCTCATACATTGGTTATTTGCAAAATACCAGTTCATCTAGTAGCCATACAGATCATCCAACTGTTGATACAATTCATTACACAAAAATCACATTATCTAATACCACCATTGATATCATTAGCGAAGTCTTTGGATGTTGGGAAACTGTCAAGTTCATAATGGCAGATACTATGGTCCAACATCCTAATTTCTTTTTGCAAGCTCAAATGTTATAAATTTATTTACCAAAATATGTTCTATTATTTTTATTTTCTCTAAGTTCCAGGCTTACTTCATTCATTTTTAAGAAAATATCTGCCAAATACCCAGGCCTAAATAACCATAGTTTGGCAGTCATACTTTCAAGTAAAAATAATATTCCAAGGAAAAAGCAGCAAGTTCATCTTGTGACTCGGGCAAGTGCACAAATGCTTTCCTTTGAAATGACCATTGTACTTTAATATGCAGCAGAAGTGATTTTATGCATGTGAAGAAGAAAAAGCATCAATATTAACCTTTAGGATACTAGGGTAAATATTACATTTAATTTTGAGTTGCTGGCACAAAAGCAAAAGGAGATGCATGATACACTCCATCGCTTAGCGTAACAGAAAGGAGGAAGCAGACGGGAAAGGCATATATTGCTTGATATTAAAGAAATTATTCTGAGATAATTTCTCAACCCCGAACATCATATATTATACACGAACTTCTCTGTTGCCCGTTCACATGGGCTTCCCTCTCTCCTCTGAGGAGTCTTTGGGTGGAACACAATCAGAGCTGAAACAGGGACAGAGCTCGGCAGTGGTCGTGACAAACATTTTTTATTTTGTCTCAGATTTCACATCATATACTGAGACTTCTATATAGAAAAAACAGTTGGATCTGTAGCAGTTTATTAACTCATTAAAAGCTTTTAAGCCTGTGAGATGCCATATAAAATTATTCTAAACAATGATTTCAGAGAAACAAGCACTGTGTATCACCACAGCCTCTCCACTGCCCAGCAATTTCATCATCTTTCCTATTGTTTTAGGGCCTTGATTCATCTCTTAATTTCCTTGAGATCACAAGAAATTAAGTGGACATGACCTTCCTTTTAAAATTAATACTTCAGGGCCAGGCACAGTAGCTCACACTTGTAATCCCAGCACTGTGGGAGGCTGAGGCGGGCGGATTGCTTGAGGCCAGGAGTTTGAGACCAGCCTGGCCAACATGGTGAAACCCTGTCTCTACTAAAAATAATTTTTAAAAATAGCGAGTCCTGGTGGTGTACACCTGTAATCCCAGCTACTCGAATGACTGAGACATGAGAATCGCTTGAACCCTCAAGGCAGAGGTTGCCGTGAACGGAAATTGTGCCACTGCACTCCAGCCTGGGCAACACAGTAAGACTCTATCTTAAAATAAATAATAAATAAATAAAATTAAAACTTCAAAATACCATTTAGGAAGGAATTGTAAATAATTTAAAAAATCACACATTCTGACAAAGCCCTCTTCCTTTCTTTGTTCCTCAATTGCAAAACATATCAGACTAAATACATGTCTAACCTCTTCTGCTCAATTTACTTTCCTTGTGGGATGTTCTCATTTGTAGTTACAACTGGCTACATAATTTGCAAGACTCTATACAAAATGAAATCACAGGGTTCCTTGTTCAAAAATGATGCAGAATTCCCAGATGACAACAGCATTTGACTCAGGACAAGGCCTTTTCAAGCATGGGACCCTGTGCAAAAACACAGTCACACGCCTAAGAATCCAGCCCTGGTTGTTAGTGATTCTCATCATTCAATAAACGCTTATAATTTCAATAAATTTATTGTGCAGAGTAAAAGTATATTTACATAATCTCAATTTCAACGTAGATATGGTTATATGCCCACATGGAAGATTAAACTGATTATCACCCGGCCATAACAACTTTGCTGAAGACAAAAAAGTCAGGATCCCTGGGTTCCAATTTCAATTCTGCCCCCCAGCAAATACCAGGGGTTCTTTGATTAGATGAGAAGGCCTCTGGGCCTTTCAACTCTAAAATTCTGGTGTTCTGCATGAATTTAGAAAAGTGAAAGGTTTTAAAATATGCTAAAAACACTTTTCACTTCCTCCCCTAGCTCCATGAGAATGACACTCTCAAAGGACTGGGAAAGTGTGGCACCATGAAGATGTATTCTCAGTGACAAAGGAGATTCCTGGGGCTCTTAGGGCGGCATTGAAACAGCCCTTTAGTAAGAACCGCTGGGAAAGTCTTTCCCAAGACCTCTCCCGAGCTGCACACACACACACAGCAACACAAGGGCCAAGGCGCAAGACGAAAGCACCATGTCTATCTATGCTGCAGGTAGAAACTTTCACACACATTCGCTCATTTCATCTTCCCAAAAATTCTGCAGTGTCGATAATAAAGTTGCAAAACCAGATTCACAGAGGTTAAAAAACTTGCCCAAGATCACAAAGTTGGAAAGTGGTGGAGTCCGGCCCAACTCGTGACTATCAGCCCCCAAAGGAACCCCTTTTCCACCAGCACGCGCTTCCCTGGGTTGAACAGAACCCAGAAGTGTGACCGACGCCAACGGGCTGGCACTCGCGGTCCCACGTTGGCTCAGGGACACCCTTTCGGGGGCGTGTCCTCCCAGTTCTAGAGGTTCCCAGAGAAGAGGAGGTGCTCACTAACCAGGCAGCTCGCCCAGACTCCGGGCAGTGAAAGGAAGGGAGCGCCGGCCGCGGGAGCGGGATGGAGACCAGCAGCCCGCCGCCCCCGCGGTCCAGCCCCAACCTGGGGCTGAGCCTGGACGCCCGGCTGGGCGTGGACACGCGCCTCTGGGCCAAGGTGCTGTTCACCGCGCTGTACGCACTCATCTGGGCGCTGGGCGCGGCGAGCAATGCGCTGTCCGTGCACGTGGTGCTGAAGGCGCGGGCCGGGCGCGCTGGGCGCCTGCGCTACCACGTGCTCAGCCTGGCGCTCTCAGGCCTGCTGCTGCTGGTGGTCGGCGTGCCGGTGGAGCTCTACAGCTTCGTGTGGTTCCACTACCCCTGGGTCTTCGGCGACCTGGGCTGCCGCGGCTACTACTTCGTGCGCGAGCTGTGCGCCTACGCCACGGTGCTGAGCGTGACCGGCCTGAGCGCCGAGCGCTGCCTGGCCGTGTGCCAGCCCTTGCGTGCCCGCAGCCTGCTGACGCCGCGCCGGACCCGGCGGCTGGTGGCGCTCTTGTGGGCCGCCTCGCTTGGCCTCGCCCTGCCCATGGCCCTCATCATGGGGCAGAAGCACGAGCTGGAGACGGCGGGCGGCGAGCCGGAGCCGGCCTCGCGCGTGTGCACCGTGCTGGTGAGCCGCACCGCGCTCCAAGTCTTCATCCAGGTAAGGGCGTGGAGGGCGGGAGTGGGGGGGAGCTGGGAGGAGGGAACCCCCTCTCCCCGGGGAACAGGCATTTTCAACTTTAATGCTCGCCACCACCCAGAAAGTTGGGTCTCGTTGCTTCGTCCCATTTTACTAGATGGAGGGAGGCGTGGCCAAAGGGAAGCATTGAGAGAAATCCCGATTTGAATTCAAAATCAACTCCAAAGTAAATGTTCCCACTCTTGCGAGAGTGGTGTTCAGACGTTACTGGGCGTAAAGCTGCCTGCAGAGCCTGTGAAAATACGGAGTCCATGACCCACCGGGGTTTCTGCCTCTATAGCCTGAAGTCTGTGTTCCAACGAGTCCCCCAGATGGCTCTGGAGAGGACCTCCCTGAAGGTAAGGTGGGGAGGGGAAGGCACTCCCGGCCTCTCTTCCAGAGGCCTGATCAGGCTTCTAACCTCATTTCCTGTTACCTTCTCCCTGGCAGCCTTGCCTTCCCCAGGCCACTCGTCCCCCAGCACCTCTTGCTCCCACTTTCCCCGAACCCCCACCATGCCCAGCCTCTGGCTTTTAAGTCAAAAGCTCATTCTGCTTTTGATTCCAACCCTTCTTATTCCCCAAAGTGCAGCTCTGCTCTCACCTCCTCCCCAACTCCAGGGACTCTCCCCTGTCTTCTGAATTCTCTCAGCATATGATGTATTTGCAGCACTTCACAATGCATTTTCTGAAAGTGATGCTCACCTTTCTAAATGTCTGTCTCCATTTCCACATCGTTCTACAACCCAGTGTCCTCTGGTTGCTTGCTGCAGTCACATTAGACCATGATCTCATGTATCCAGCACACTGGGGAAGTGGGAAAGGCTGAGAAAGCACAGGCCCCTCCAGGCCCTGCTGGGCCTCCAGGAAACCTAAAGGAACAAAGCAGGGTGGAGCCAGGACCCCTTCTCTGCACACTGGCACACGAGGGTACGTGGGAGAGTTTACTGTGTGAATTCATCAGGGCACATGGAGGGTGCAGAGGCTCCTCAGGGGACTCATCCTAAGCAGCCTCCTAAGCGGCTGCTTAGTGCCATGTCCCCAGGTGAGGCTCCTTCTCATGTTAAGCTGCCTCCTGCAGCTGGAAGCCCAGCCTGCCTACATGGTCAAAGGGCTCTCTCTAAAGTCCCCCCTCTCTTTCTATACCATCTCCTCATTCCTGAAGACCCCACCTTTGTTCGTGTCTGCTCATCCATACCCTGGGCAGGGGTAGGGGACCGAAGGGCCTCAAGGAAGGTGTTCAACTCACCAACCTGCTGTTCACTCACGACCGGGAGAAATCCATGGAGCAGGCAACATCTTAAGGTTTCATGGGTGTTCAGTGGAGCCGCTTTGTTCCCATTCAATCTAAACATTGTAGAGGGGACAGGGACTCTCCATGGACAGAATCCTTCCAGATCTTGAGCATGCCCCACAGTCCAGCCCCCAAAATACACGGAGGCCTCCGAGTCCCACCCCTGGAATCCACGGAGGCCACTGAGTCATCTTCAGAAGTATACCTCTATGGAGTGGCTGTCCTGGCAACAGGGCCTTCTCTCCACTGAACTTGTCACCTCTTACTTCTTTAAACAACATCTTCCTCTCCTAGTTCCTTTCTGGCAGGCTCAGCCCAGACACAGCTTGCCCATCACATGGAATCTGCTATGAACAACTGTCTGCAGTGATTTTCCCGTGGGTCTGGGGGCTCCAATGGGCACCTGGAATCCGGACACAAGTCTCCCGTGGATGTGGGGTATGGAGAGTGGGATCTGGCCTGCAGAGAGGGATGAAGGGACCAAATGCCTGAGGAAGATGTATTTGTTTCTTTGTTTATTTTACACATGGAAATTGGCATTTAAAAGTTTATAAGGCATAGTGCCGTAGCTCAAGCCTGTAATCTCAGCACTTTGGCAGGCTAAGGCAGGAAGCTAAGGTGGGAGGCCAGGAGTCCAAGACCAGCCTGGGCAACATAGTGAAACCCTGTCTCTACTAAAAGTACAAAAGTTAGCTGGGCATGATGGCATGCCTGGTCGTCCTAGCTGTTGAGGAGCCTGAGGTGGGAAGATCCCTTGAACCCAGGAATTTGAGGTTGCATTGAGTCACGATGCACTCCAGCTGCACTCCAGCTGGGGTGACAGAGCAAGACCCTGTCTCAAAAACTAAAAATTAAAAACTAAATGTTCATAATATGTTTCTGAAATGAAAAACTCTAGCCATTGTGGAAGGGGAAAAAGAGGCTGGAGAGGGGTGTAGTCAGAACTCTATGCTGCAAATGATGGAAACAGAACTGGAGGCAGCTTCAGCCAAAATTAAAAACTGAAGCAAGGATGTTGGGGCAGCTGAGATCTCAGGTCAGAATCAGGGGCTCAGGGTTCCCAGGAGCCCCTCTCTCTCCTGCTCTTCCCAGACTCAAAAAGAGGCCTCTGGGTGTGTCTGGGTAGGGTTCACAAGCCTAGGTCTGTCCATAGGGCAAGAACATGGCTTCTGGCATCCTCTGCGATAATTCAACGAGATCATGTGGAATTGCCCAGAATATTGCAGGTCCTCAACAAATGTTCACCTTCTTTCCTTTCCTGCCTTTTCTTCCCACCTGAGGGTTTAACTCCAGCTCTCCCTTCCCAGCCTAGTACAGTGCCTGGCTCACAGGAAGCACAATCAGGGCCTTCCCACCTGTCCCGTCTTCTCTCCCTCCCTACCTGCTCTGCTCTCCTCCTTCCCTCCCTCCTCCCCTCACTCATCATCAAGCTCTCTCCTTCCTCCACCCCTGGCCTCTCCGTAATAACTCAGCTCCATTTGCCGTCTCTAGATTTACTTTTTGTTTTGTTTTGTTTTTAAGATGGAGTCTTGCTCTGTCACCAGGCTGGAGTGCAGCGGCACAATCTCGGCTCACTCAACCTCAGTCTCCCAGGTTCAAGCGATTCTCCTGCCTCAGCCTCCCGAGTAGCTGAGACTACAGGCGCGTGTCACCATGCCCAGCTAATTTTTGCATTTTTAGTAGAAACGGGGTTTCACCATGGTGGCCAGGATAGTTTCGATCTCCTGACCTTGTGATCCACTCTCCTCGGCCTCCCAAAGTGCTGGGATTATAGCCATGAGCCACCGCGCCCGGCCTAGGTTCACTTTTTGTTTGTTGTTTTTTTATTTTATTTTTATTTTTACTTTTTTGCTTTGAAAACATCTTTACTCTTTAAACAAAGTTATATACGTACATTAAAAAAAAAATGTGAGCATGAGTAAGCGAAGGGGCGTGACAGTGTGGTAGGCATGAGGAACCCACAGTAGCTGTCCCTGTGGCCTCTGGGGCAACAGTGGGAGGACCAGCAAGGAGAGGGCCAGCTGGAGACCTGCAGCCTCATCTCTCTGCTCTCTTCGCCCAGGAGATCTTCCCAGGCCTTCCCACCACTTTGGCCCACTGCCACTTGGTACCCGCTCTACCTTGGTACCGGCTCTACCAAGGGGTATTATCCTCCTTTTGCCACATCAATTCAGGTCCTGCTGTTGCTGCTGGGTAGCAGGATCCCAAGGGCTAAAGCGACTGAGTGCCTTCCTGCAGCCTTGACCTGGTTTCTTGGCCTCAGAGGCAAGTGGGAACCACTTGAGGACCTGTTTGAATCTGAGGACTGCAAAGTAGGCTGAGGCATTCGGGGTCGCGTCTACAAAGCCGAGAGGAAAGGTGGTTCCTTCACGAGCTTGAGCACCCACGGGCCCTCCCTCTTCAGAAAGTCTTTCTGTCTCACGCTGACAGGGAAGTAGGGCTTCTGTATGACCTCTGACTTATAAGCTAGTGGTGCAGAGTTACTAACAAACAAGAAGCCAGCTCAGTTACCTTGGGGGATAGTGAGGTCATCATCACCTCCCATCCTAGATGCATTTTGCTGCCTGCATGACCGCTGGGAGTTGCATAGGGATCTAGAACCTGCCAATATTCTAACTATGAGTAAAGATCCTGAGTAAAGATGAGTCAAAATCACTGATATGAGTGGCACTCTATTTTTTTTTTGTTCACCTTTGAAGACTTGGGCAGATCTGGATCTAGCAGCTGTAACATTCTGGTTCCAAGTCCCAGAGCTACTTATTGAGGCAAGACATTACTCCAGGCTGCTGATACAAGGTCTATAAAGTGTGTATTTGCAGAACTACTAATGTCAGAACCAATATTTTTTATCATCCACACTAGTAACCTTTAGCCCCATGACAAGTTAGCACTAAGCACAGAGCAGCAGGTACAGGAATCTACCTCCCAGCTGCCAGCACGTGGTTCCCAGTTGCAGCAGAAGAGCCAGCACATTGCTGCTCCGACCTGGCTGTGCAGTTCTCTGCTGAGCCCTGGCATGGCTGTGACAATGAACCATATTTCCACAATGCCTGGGAGCCGCGTTCCACCACTTGTCACAGTCTGGAGTGGTGACTTCCAGGCTGTTCCTAACTGGGAGACAAGCTTGGGGAAAAAAAACAGTTCTAAGCAATGTTTGTGTCTTAAATATGCTACTCACATAGTTTCCTTGACATGGTTCAACCTGGCTGGAGCAATGAAGCTGTGAAACGAATTCTGTCAGTCGAACAGCATCTTTTGACAAATAGTGCATTTAAAAATGTTTAACTTGAAACATACAGTGTATGTTAACACAACAAAATAAGCAGACTCAAATTAGGATATTTTGGTTCTAATATTTCATCAGTGAGTTGATTCACTATTCATATTAATCAGTGTTTTTTTGTCCAAGAAAATTGCTCACAGTTTTTGAAAGTACGAAAAACTGTAGTTTTCCCAGAAAGATTTTAAAACTCCCAAAGATGAATTACTAATGTATAAATATATTTTTACTTTTGATCTTTGTCTTGACTGGTATTAAAGCTACAAATCGATAGTAATTAAGCATGTCATTACTGATATAAACCTGTTTGGTTCCTCAACACACTAAATTGGTGGTCATAGGTAGTGTTTGATTTTTCCCTCAGTGTTGCTGATTTGCGAGCAAGCATTAAGATAAAAAGGCATGAATGATAACTCCATAAAAAGGCACAGGGTCCAATTCAGAAAGTTCCTACTGATTTTAAAGTGGTATTAAATATCATCCAGTTAGTCCAGGCACAGTGGCTCACACCTATAATCCCAGCACTTTGGGAAGCCAAGGTGGGCAGATTGCTTGAGCTCAGGAGTTCAAGACCAGCCTGGGTGGCATAGTGAGACCCCCATCTCTACAAAAAATACAAAAATTAGCCAGGCGCAGTGGCACAATCATGTAGTCCCAGCTACTAGGGAGGCTGAGGTGGGAGGATCCCTTGAGCCCAGGAGGAAGAGGTTGCAGTAAGTTGTGATTGCACCACCGCACTTCAGTCTGGGCGACAGAGAAAGAGCTCGTCTCAAAAAAAAAAGAAAAAAAAAAAAAAAAAGCAGCTCAGTATTTAAAATGTTTGCTCAGGGAAAGGTGGAAGACAGCCTTAGAACTGATGAGGAGAAACCCTAGAACACACTGATTTTGAATTTTTAAAAGTAAACATTTAAAACACAGGGTATTATATAAATAAATTCGGTTTTCTAAGTCAAATAGTATCAAACGATGATAACCCAAGGTGTGTGATGGAAAACAGCAATCCCATCATTCTCCACACTCTGATTCATTTCTCTATTTCTCTAGTTGAGAGGCAAATACCATGTGTTCTTGTCTCTTGCCCTCGTTGCCTTCTTGTTTCTAAAGAGCACACTAGCTTTATTTCTCAGTTTCAAATTGTATCCACAGTCTTATACACCTATAGAAAATGAGCATTTTACTCTTCTACATTCCTATTCCTGCCCTCTCCACCATCACCCCAACACACACTGGCCCCATCCTCCTTCCAGTATAATTCTATCACTGTGCTGGGTTAAATTTAGTTCAGTATTTATGTAATTGTGACTATGTCAACATTCTTCACAGATGACCCATGTGTTGTATTTTCTTTCTAATCCAAGGACTTTTGTTTTCTTTGCAGTTAATAATGTACGGTCTTTTTTTTCATTTGCATAGTTTTTTTTACGTACCTATTTGTACTTCATTTTCAGCTTCTCTATTACAAGCGTAAATGCTCTTTCAGTATGTTCCGATCCATCAGATAACCTACCAGTTTCATCTTTTATTTTTCACTTCTCCCTGGAGCTCTCTGGCCTCCTGTTCCAGTCCCACTGGTTGCTCTCTAGTGCACAGGGGGAACACAGGGAAGTCTCATCTGCACAGGGGCCCCCCGCGGGCTCCCTTCCATCTGCGCAGGGTCCCCCTGGGGACTCGCTTCCATCTGGGCAGGGTCCCCCTGGGGACTCCCATCTGCACAGGGTCCCCCCGGGGACTCCCTTCCATCTGCGCAGGGGCCCCCCGGGGACTCCCTTCCATCTGCGCAGGGGCCCCCCGGGGACTCCCTTCCATCTGCGCAGGGTCCCCCCGGGGACTCCCTTCCATCTGCGCAGGGTCCCCCCGGGGACTCCCTTCCATCTGCGCAGGGGCCCCCCGGGGGCTCCCTTCCATCTGCGCAGGGGCCCCCCGGGGACTCCCTTCCATCTGCGCAGGGGCCCCCTGGGAGCTCCCTTCCATCACTCGCTGGGCCGTCTGTGGGATACCCCATTTTGAATGACAGGTCCTCCTCTTTATTCTTATAACCTTATTTGTCTAGAACATATGTTCTTTTAATCTCCTGAGACCTGAGGAAGGGTCCATAGAGGGTAAAACAATTTGAGAATTTGCATGTCAAAAATTGTTTTCTTTTATCCTCACGTTTGTCACAATATGGCTGGGTATAAAATTCTAAGATGGAAGCTATTTTTCTCACAAATTGTAAAACACTGCTCATGATTTTCTAGCTTCCACCATTGCTTTTAAGAAGTGAATGTCATTCTGGTTTTCCATCCTATCTATGTGACCTGTTTTATCTGTTTGGAAGCTTTCAAGATCTTCTCTTTATACCCAAAAAAGGTGCTAAACGTCATAAGAACGAGACTCGCTGTGAGTCTATTTCCATCCATTCTTCTGGGCACTCAGGCAGCCTTTCAGTCTAGAAGCTCAGATTCCTCAACTTTGGGAAAACTTTCTTGAATGCATTTTCAAATAAAATTTCCTCCCCTCTGTTTTCTCTATTTTTTTTTCTTTCTGGAACCCCTATTATGAACATCCTAAACTAATCCGAGATTTTCTTTTCTCTCTCCTCACTTTTTGAGAGCTTTCTCAATCTTATCTTCCAACCCTTCTGTCGCCCCTTCTGCTGACGCAGATTCTGGGCCTGGGGCATGGCCAGATGGCGAGGGCCGCAGGGCCCTGGCGCTGCCCCATAGTCCTTGCCATTACCTCCACAGGTGAATGTGCTGGTGTCCTTCGTGCTCCCCTTGGCACTAACTGCTTTCCTGAATGGGGTCATGGTGAGCCACCTGCTGGCCCTCTGCTCCCAAGTGCCGTCCACTTCTGCCCTGGGCAGCTCCACCCCCAGCCGCCTGGAGCTGCTGAGTGAGGAGGGTCTCCTCAGCTTCATCGTATGGAAGAAGACCTTTACCCAGGGAGGCCAGGTCAGCCTGGTGAGACACAAAGACGTGCGCGGGATCCGCAGCCTCCAGCGCAGCGTCCAAGTTCTCAGTTAAGTCCTCTGCAACATCACCCCAGAAGAAAGGCGCCCAGATTCCAGGGCTGCCTCCACCAATCCCTGACCAGATTCCAGGGCTGCCTCCACCAATCCCTGACCAGATTCCAGGGCTGCCTCCACCAATCCCTGACCAGATTCCGGGGCTGCCTTCACCAATCCCTGACCAGATTCCAGGGTTGCCTTCACCAATCCCTGACCAGATTCCAGGGCTGCCTCCACCAATCCCTGGCCAGATTCCGGGGCTGCCTCCACCAATCCCCGACCAGATTCCAGGGCTGCCTCCACCAATCCCTGGCCGGGTGACCTCGGCAAGTCACTACCTCTCTCAAGGCTTCCTTTATCCTATGTCCCAGGGGAACTGTATAATCAACAGACTTCATGTAGGGTTCGGTGGTATAATTAGGAAAAAATAGGAATTCTGTACATGAAGCCTCCAATCTGCTCCAGGGAGTAGCACACACAGGCAAGTAGAGACCTGACCACTTTTCAGTAAGTCTGGCAGTGTGGACGAACACAAGGAACAGTTTAAAAACTGCGGCTGCAAATTGTGGACTCTCAGATGGGCTGGGTCCCTCAACCCAGTTCCCTTCGAACTCCATTTTCCCTCCTACAACACTGATCCGTTTGCTTTCTTATTTCGTAAGTCTCTGGGAAAAATTGGCCTTATAAGAGAAACTCCAAAAGGCACAGGAGAGCAGAGGTCTCTCCAAGCACCCACCATAACCCAGGCACTAGCTAGGGTATAGAAGGATCAAGTACAAGACAGAGTCTCTGCTGTCATCAATGTCAGTCTTGTGTATGAACAGAGACACAAGAGCTAAGTGCAATGTGATGTAATAAGTAACACAAAGTCAGCACATGAAGGTGTCAGCCTTCATTTTATGGACAATGGCCAGTCATTGAAAAAGTTGATGTCCATGAGTGAGGGGAGATTTGCTTTTGAGACCTATTGCACTCAGCACTTTGGAGAATGGGCTAAATGGTGCCTCTCAAACCTCAGAGTGCGTAAGAATGATCTGGAGAGTCGTAAAATACAAGCCGCAGGGCCCAAGATTCTGCACTTCTACCAGGCTTCTCATTGATGTTAACACTGCTGGTTCAGGGGCCACCCTGGGCTAAATGATGGCTTTGCCAGTCAGAGCAGAATAGAAGCAGGAGAGGGAAGGGGTGGGAGGTTGGGAAACTCGTCATAGTCCAGTGCACAGGAGGTAAGAGTCTCTTAGGGAGGTAGCAGTGAGAGCAGGGAAAGCACACAGAGGAGAGATGCTAAGAAGGAACTTTTTAATAGACTGGATACAGAGAGGAACAGAAAAATAGGAGTTTCTGGCACATGGCTTGAGTGCCAGATGAATGGCAGTGCTATAAATTAACCAGAGAAAGGACTAAAGGAGCAAGAAGCTTTCTAAGACAAGAAAGACACAAGTTCTTTTTTTCTTTTTTTTTTTTTTGAGATGGAGTCTTGCTCAGTCACCCAGGCTGGAGTGCAGTGGCGTTGTCTCAGCTCACTGCAGCCTCCTCCTTCCAGGCTCAAGCAATTCTCCTGCCTCAGCCTCCCAAGTAGCTGGCATTACAGGCACCTGCCACCACGCCCGGCTAATTTTCATCCTGTTAGCCAGGCTGGTCTCAAATCCCTGACCTCAGGTGATCCACCTGCCTCGACTTCCCAACGTGCTGGGATTACAGGCATGAGCCACCATGCTTGGCCCAAGAAAGACACAAGTTCTGTTGTACATGCAGATAGATAATCAAGTAGGGATATCTAGCTCTGGGTTGGGAATATATTCTAGTGACCAGGAGGAGGTCCTAGAAGCATGCTGTGTCCAGGTCATGGCCAGAGTGGACATTCACCCAGAGGACAGGATCATATGAGGTTTGAGAAGAGATTCGGGTTGGGATATAGCAGATAACCTCAAAGTGTCCTTCCAACCCTTGACTCCAGGACCAAGTTAGAGGGCAACGCTGCTGACCCCTTGGGCATCATCCTCCCTCGGCAATGGTGTAACTGAGAATGTGTTTGCTTTCTCCTGGCACTGTCTCTCGCTCTCCCATGCTCTGCAGGAGCCATCGTGGCCATGTATGTCATCTGCTGGCTGCCGTACCATGCCCGCAGGCTCATGTACTGCTACGTCCCTGATGACGCATGGACTGAGTGAGTGTGGCAGAAGGGCCCTAGCACACAGGACGGGGGCCCACTGGGCTGGGCCTGGGGTCTCCATTGCTCTGCAGAGGGACCCTCCATTGCTGGGTCCTCTGGAACCCTGGACTGCATTCCACCTGGTCCCGTGCAGTCTGTGCCTTGAAATCTCCCCGCCAGGGATGGGGAACAGAGCGTTGTCTCTGACCTGGTAAGGCCGTGTGCATGAGAGGCCTAGCCAAGACTGTGGGATTCTCACTACAGGAGAAAGAGAAGCCTGCAGTCTGGGAAGGGGGAGAACGGGCCATGCTTCTGAGGTTTCCCCTCTCTCTCCTTCCTCTCCTATTCCAAGGAGAGTGTGAGGAAGACACAAAGCTGCGACCCCATGAGCTAACAAAGGTCTCCTCGGCAGAGACCAAGACATGCACCCCCTTTTATGACACGGTTGGAGAAGATGAGAGAATTCATAATCTGCCTTTCGGAAATCACTGTACCCCAATCATAAGTGGGAGTCAAACATCCAAAAGAATCAAGGTCCCAGGAAGCCTCCACAGAAAGAGCCATGTGACAGATGCCTCCTCCCCAGGAGCCATCAGCACCCTTTACACTTGTGCGGGCAACATGAGCTCATGCCAAACACTTCCCACTGCAGAGAACCTGCAGCAAGGAGTGCAGCTCCTCAGAAGGACCTTTGGCTCTTAGTGCAGCCACATCTCTCGACCATACACAGCAGCCCGGGGCACCCAGGGCCTCAGTGGCTGGACAGACGGCCCCTGTCAGTCAGCAGTGTCACCTTACCATGAGGTGACCAGGAACTGCAGCCAGGGATGGCAGATCATAGAGGCAGGGTGGAGGGCGTCAGCTGCTGGTGATGAAAACATTTGTGGAATTTACATTGTACTTCCTGGCCAGGCGCGGTGGCCCACACCTATAATCCCAGCACTTTGGGAGGCCGAGGCAGGTGGATCACCTGAGGTCAGGAGTTCAAGACCGGCCTGGCCAACTTGGTGAAACCCCATCTCTACTAAAAATACAAAAATTAGCTGGGTATGGTGGTGTGCGCCTGTAGTCCCAGCTACTCAGGACTGTAGGCAGGAGAATTACTTGAGCCCAGGAGGTGGAGGTTGCAGTGAACAGTACCATTGCACTCCAGCCTGGGAGACAGAGCAAGACTCTGTCTCAAAAAACAAAAAACAAACAAACAAACAAAAACCACTCTGCTTCCTGATAGCAGAAAACAGGCTTCCTCGTGCAGCCCTGTGGAGGAGAGGCATTCTCCAGCAGGAAGCGGACACTGCGAGGAGGTGACCGATCCTCTAACCAGGCTTCCGGGTTTCTCTTGCAGCCCACTGTACAATTTCTACCACTACTTCTACATGGTGACCAACACACTTTTCTACGTCAGCTCAGCGGTGACTCCTCTCCTCTACAGCGTCGTGTCCTCCTCCTTCAGAAAGCTCTTCCTGGAGGCCCTCAGCTCCCTGTGTGGAGAACACCACCGCCATGGAGCGGTTACCCCCTGAAGCCCCACAGTCCCACCCTAATGGATACAGCTTCAGGCTTTGGGGATCCCCCAGAAACCCTGACCCGAATGTCTTACAAAAATGAACAGAACAAGCAGAATGACCAGTTGCTTAATCATCTGGCAAAGCAGGTGAGCAGCCTTATCACTAATCATTCAAGCTTTGCAGCCAGGGCGACTTCCACCAACCCCAGCTCTGCTGAGAACCATCAAGTGCAGGGAAGCCGCGTGACCCCTCCTAGCCTCAGGCTCCCTCATCTGTGTAGTGGAGATAAAGAAGAGCACCCATCTCTTAGTGTTGTCTGAGACTAAAGTGCTTAGCACACAGCCTGGTGCATAGTAGATGCTCAATAAATTTTTGCTGGCACGATTTCTGTTGCTACTGTTGTTGCATGGCTATTATCATTGCTTTCCTGCTGTCCTGAAAGCCCACGACACTTTTCTGTAGTTTTATGCTCAGATGTCCTATGAATTTCCTCAAATGACAAATCAACAGTACCCCAGAAGCTGACCAAATTGGTACCTCACATGAGCTGTAGTAAGATTCTCCATTCTCTCCCAGGCAGGGAGCAGCTGTTGACACTGACAGCAGCTTCTGCAGGCTCTGGAAAGCCAGTGCGCTGCTGGTGTCCCCTCCTGCCTCTGGCCAAGCCAGCCCATGTGGCTTACGGGGAAACAAACGGCCATGTGCACCCTGCCACAAGGCACATGCGGCCCAGGTATGCTCTGGCCAGCGCAGTGCTGGACAAGAGTTGGATCTTAATTCTCTTCATCAGGGCAGGCTCTGCCCGTTTGACAGCAGGCCTCAGTCCCTGCACTGCACGCACAGGCCAGGCCCACTTCCTACCGCCAGCCTTGCACCTGGAGGCGGTAAGGTTGAGGCCAGGGGAGGAATGGTGCTTTTCACTGAGTGCAGAGGACGCAGAGGCAAAAGGCAGGGGAGGGTACCGGCCTGTGAGGGGAGGAGGAGAGAGGTGGGTGCAGGACAGCACCAAGGAGAGGTTCGTTTTGATGAACTGCATCAACGCTTCCCTAGACTCTGTCCACCTCCTGACCCATCCCCCACCCCCTACTCCCACAATGAACGCTGCACACACTCATCACACATACATCACACGGGCACACGTCACACATGTATGCACAGACCCATCACATGCAGACATACCACAAGCACGCGGCACGTGCACACTCACACATCACATGTGCACACATCATGTCACATACACACTCATTACGCCTACAGCACACATCAGATGCACATCACACACACCACATGTAAACTCACATGCACACGCGTCACGTGCACACACACCTGGTCTGGTCCACTGAGACAAGCCGGCAGTGGCTTCTGTGCAACTCGGAGGTGACTGTTCTCCAGCTCCACAGCCCCAGAACCCCTGAGAAGAGGCCAGAGGTGGTGACCACACTCCCTTCACGAAGCCTTCCCGGCCTAGGACCACCATGGGTACCCACACGTGGGCCTCGTCGGGCGAGGACATGGCACCTGGAAAGGAGGAGCGACAGAGCCCTGGCGTGGGGACCCCTAGAGGGGGCGGCTCTGACAGGCAGGCCACGGGCTCGCGGTGTTCATGGAGGAAGAAGGAGCTTCAGATCCGCATCAGGAAGGGTGAGGCCCACCCCGCCTGGCGCCGCCTCCAGTGATGGTGCAACCTCCGTTTAAGCCGCGGCTTGAGAGTCCCTGGGTCAAAGCGGTGACTGCGGCATCCTTACACCCCAGTCAAAGCTCCAGAGAGGTCCAGGAAGCAGGAAAGGCAAGAAGTAGCTCCCAGTCCAAACGCAGATGAGACGGCGCGGGAAGCAGGCTCGGGCGAGGTCTGGGGCCTGGGCCGGGAGAGCTGGTTCCTCGGCCTCCTCAATGGGAGCAGGGGAACCCTGGGCGGGTTCAACTCCCTGAGTCTGTGTCTTCATCTGCAAAACTGTTGGGGCCAGAAAGCTCTTAAGCCATTTAAAAACAGTAATTCAGGTCAGCAAGAATGGATCTGAATTTGAAGCAATTTGTAATCTTCATTTATCTCTTTTGCGTGTGTGTGTGGGGGGGGTGTGTGGAGGGTGTGTGTGTGTGTGTGTGTCCACAGAAATGTTAATGCGCTTGATTTGGGGTATTCTTCCAGGATCCTGCTAAGGGTGTTACGTAATATGTGGCGTATATCCCATGTTGCTTTTCTAAAACATGGCAAACCCAAATTGAAAAATACATCTGGCCCCCAAGGGCTTCAGATAAAGGACTGTGGATCTGTAGTACCTAATAATAAGTTTATAATAATTAAATAAGATAATGTTAAGCTCCTACCACAGTGCTTGGTATATAGTAAATGCTCAATAAATGCAGGTTGTCATTATTGTCATCATCATCCTAGACCCCAAACTGGGTAAAACCTGGTAGTGTCCCTTAGAAAAGATTATATGAATGAGGCACACTTTTTCTGCTACATGTTACCAAAGTACAGTGAGAGGCAAGAGAAACAAGTTGTAAAGAATAGATTGGGGAACATAAATGAGCTATTTTATATATTATCCAAAATTTTCATGCAAATCATTAGGCAAGACACCAGGACCCCAAAGGCCAAGAAACACACAAGAGGAAACATGCTCAGCCTCAGCAGGTCCTGGAGAAACGGCAGCCCAAACAATAACACGTGACATTTTATGGGCAATACATTAACAAAAAATGTCAATGACCAGAACAAATATTGGGTGACATCAGTATGCTCCTGTCTTAGAGGGAGAGGAAACTGAATAATCTTCTTGGAAAGCAAATTGGCAATATATTTTGAAGGCCATAAAGTGCTCAGAAACTTAGACCCTGTAATTCAACTCCTGGATATTTACTTTGACATAATTTGCTAAAAAAGAAAAGGCCTCCCTGTGTGAACACAGAGTCATTGCAACACTCTTCATTTGGGCCTTTACGAGCAGGCACTGGTTCAGCAACATAAATCTGTTACGCTGCCTGATCTTCACAGCAGCCACTACAGTGAAAACTGTTCTTACCATCATTTCACATATGCGGCAATGGAAGCAAAGACAAGCTAAGCAAGGTTCTTCTCCTGCTACTTGATAACTCGAGGAGTGGAGCCCAGGCTTGGGAGTTGGGAGCCGGTGCTCAGCCTCTACATCACGCTGCTGCCCAGGAGCTCGATGGCAAAAGATGCCAACAGGCTGGATGCCCTGGCTCATGCCTGAAATCTCAGCACTTTGGGAGGATGAAGCAACTGGATCACTTGAGGCCAGGAGTTTAAGATCCGCCTGCGCAACGTGGTGAGATCCTGCCTCTATAAAAAATACAAAAAATTAGCCAGATATGGTAGTGCACACCCATAGTCCCAGCTACACTGTAGGCTGAGGTGGGAGAATCACCTGAGCCTGGGAAGTTGAGGCTGCAGCGAGCTGTGATTGCACCACTGCACTGCAGCCTGGGCGACAGAGTGAGATACTATCTCAAAAAAGAAAGATGACAACATTATGGAGCTGGGTGAATCACAATGCCTTTGGTCAATCAAATCCCAATTATTAGGTCACCCTTAACAAATATAAATTATAAAGTTTATTTAGCAACGTAAGAATATTCTGATTATATGACTAGGAAAGAAAACAAGACAAATTATATTATGATATTATGTACAGATCACACAGATACAGAGAAAAGATCAGAATGAAGCACTTAAAAATAAAAGTGGGGGCTTTGCTAAAGACGTATGAGTGACCGCAGAACAGTACTAGTAGCTGTCCCCTTCATCCACCATCCAGGCACAATAATTTGGGGCACGGCAGACACACAAACGTACGGAGAAAAAAGAACCGCAAAACCAGTTTTCTTTCATGCGTTGACATAATATTGGTTGTATGATCTTGAGATAGCAAATGGCAGATAGGAATTTCGTTCCCCTGATGTTGTCCCCGGGTGGCAACACTGACAGCCTTGATTAAAGAGCCAGGAGCCTGGGATCAGCCGGGCCTGGGAATGAGTCCAGCCTCTGTTGCTTATTAGCTGGGTACTTAAATCCCTTCACTTCCTTGGGTCTCGTTTCCACGTCTGTAAAGTAGGTGTCATCACAACTACCTGCTGGGGTTTTTTATTTTATTTTATTATTTAATTTTTTTTTGAGACACAGTCTCACTCTGTCCCCCAGGCTGGAGTGCACTGGCGCAATCTCGGCTCACTGCAAGCTCTGCCTCCCAGGTTCACGCCATTCTCCTGCCTCAGCCTCCCGAGTAGCTGGGACTGCAGGTGCCCGTTGCCACGCCCGGCTAATTTTTTGTATTTTCAGTAGAGATGGGGTTTCACCGTGTTAGCCAGGATGGTCTTGATCTCCTGACCTCATGATCCGCCCACCTCAGCCTCCCAAAGTGCTGGGATTATGGGTGTGAGCCGCCACGCCCGGCCAACTATCTGCTGGGTTTTAAGAATCAATTGGCATCATGAGTATGAAAAAATCCTTACTGTATTACCTAGCACCCAGAACAACTCAATAAATAGTAACTGTGGAAATTATAAAAATGGGAAAGATATCAGTGATTGCCAAGTGTCTGGGATGTGGGGAGGGGCCCTGGAGGGAGGTGGGTGTTGTTTTAAACATGTGATATGAGGGATTCTTCCAGTGATGGAATTGTACTGTATCTTAAACCTATCAACGTCAAAATGCTAGTAAGGTGCACAGAGTCTTGTATTCTTCCTTAAAACTGCTTGTGAATCTATAATTAACTCAACATTTTAAAAAGGAAGAAAGAAGAGGATCACTCATAGTCCCACTGTGCAGATAATCACTATCAAATTTTTGGTTTACATCTTCTGGCTCAAAAACAAACAAAAAACAGTAGCTGTCATGATTATAAAGGGACACTCCGGGCTCCTGAATGCAGATTATTATTATAATTCTGTATTTAAAATTTTTAAATTGTGTATTTCTTTGTGTGGTTGGTTGGTTTGGCTGCATACCTGCTTGCTTGCTTGCTGCTTGCTTGCCTGCTTGCCTTGCCTTGCCAAGATCAAGAGAGAGGTTCCAAAAGTGTTGATTTCATCAGGCTTCCGTCTCTGAGCCATGACTTTATCAGTATCAGGATCTTAGGAGGCTTCTGCTAAACCTTGAAAGATGAAGTATGCACTGCACACCTGCGTTAGTTTCTTATGGCTGCCAGAACAAAGTAACACAAACTGCGTGTCTTAAAACAACAGAAATGTATTCTCTCACAATCCCGGAGGATACAGATCTGAAATCCAAGTGTTGGCAGGGCACACTCACCAAAGACTCTAGGGGAGGAAACTTCCTTGCTTCTTCCAGCTTCCGATGGTTCTCAGCAAACCTTGGTGTTCCTTGGCTTGTAAATTTATTGCTCTAATCTCAACCTCCATTGTCACATAATTGTCTGCCTCCATGTCTCTCTCTCCCGTCTTGGAACGACACCAGTCATACTGGATGATGACCATACGCAACCCCTTCACTCCACTATGACCTCATCTTAGCTAGTTACATCAGTAATTATATCAGTAATGACCCTATTTCCAAATGAGGTCCCATTCTGAGGTCCTGGGGCTTAAGAGTTCAACATATCTTTTTTCAGGACACGATTCGACCTGTAACATCACCCGAATTCCCCCTCCTCAGCAGGCTGGACGCCCACCCTGGGAAAGACCCTTTGACAGAGCAAGAACTAGATTAGAGGAGCCCATGGTCTCAAGTGAGAAGAACGAGTCCTCGCCAAAGTTTTAGAAAAAAAGGAGAAGGAAAACTGGGACAGCATATTTGGCGAATGACAAATGCAGTCATAGAAGAATTCTTGTTTCTTCTCTAGACGTGAAGGCCTTTACAAAGCTGTACTGGCCTTTCCAACTGTTTTGTGAAATAAAATGCTAATTCCCTCTGGGCTGGGAAATCTGCCCAAGCAAGTAGACTGAAAAAGAAATGAAAGCTGTCAACACTGGATGCACCCTTGGTTCACAGTCTTCCCTTCAACAAAAGCTGTCTGCAGAATCGTAAGCCAGATCTAGGAGGTTTCATGCAATTTTTTTAAATTAAAACTGATTTCTAAACCTTAACACTGGCTGTCCCAGACTCGGGATGGCACATAATGTGGTATGTTTCATAAATGTCCACATCCAGGATTACCTCCAGGTAACCCAAGAACTGGATGTCTCAGTGAGAAAATACTGGATCTGTACTTTGATTTTACAGAGAGCCTTACAAGCCAACAGTGCTTTCTAATATATGGCATTCAGTGGCAGTAAGTTGCTCAGGACAGGAAGCAGCTGTGATGTTAGTGGAAATATTATTACACGTGCAGACATGAATCTAGGTTTGTTCTATCACTTAATAGCTGTGCCACCTTAGACAAGTCATTTTACCTCTCAGAGCCCCAGTTTTTCTTCCATAAGATGGTCCCAATAATATCCACCTCAGAGTATTGTGTTGATTAAATGAAATAATGAATATTTAGTCATCTAGTAAAACGCCTGGCACAGAGTGGATGCTCACAAATGTTTGCTACTCACTATGCTCATTTTGTAGCTAGCACACTCTCTGGGGAGCTGGGTATCTTGGCCAAGGAAGAGAAGTATGAACCCAAGTCTCCTGATCTGAAATGTGAAGCCCTCTCCACTGTCACATCCTGCCATGGGAACTCCAACTCCTACGTAATAAATGTTGCTTCTTGCAGCATGATTCCTCCTCTATTATTGTAGTCACTCTTAATTTGCAGAAAGCATTCAGGTGATGTTTTTCTTTGGGAACTATCTCTGACCCTGACTACTGGGAGGTCAGAAAAGCATCTCTGAACCCAGATGGCAAGGAACAGAGAAAACAGCTCTAAAGGTAGGCCTAGTAGGCACTATGTTAGTGATGCATAGCATAGTCACGAAGACCCATTAAATACTGGCCTACAGCCCCGGCCCACTGTGAACCCTTGTAGTAAGTTTGGGTGATTGTTTTGCTGATTGGTTTGGGTCACTACTCGGGTTTTGAGGGCTTTCTATTTGGTTAGACTTGAGACTATAAAGCAGAGTCTTAACTCTGGAGTAAGCAAGAGTCTTAACTCTCGGAGTGTCCTGGAAAAGATTCTTGCAGGTCTTGGAGTGCCCCCTAAATGAAGAAATAGGAGGTTTAATGGTTGTCAATGGACTGTTAGAGGGGCATGAATGGGGTTTCCTATTTAAAATGACATCTGGCTAAGAGTCCCCCGACACAGCCATTTCCATTAGAACAACTGTAAAGATACAATGGGGGAAGAGCTCATGACGTTAGGAAAAGCAAGGAATGGAAGCCAAAAAATCGCATAACTTCTAGTAACTATCAAACTGCTAGAATTTTCAACCACTGGTTTAAAAAATGCTCTATTGCTTAAAACAGCAAACCTCTAGGCTTAAAATAAGTTGGAATTTGCTTAGCTTCCCACTGCCAGAAGTGTAGATGAAGGCTTTTAAGTCGTTGGAAACCTGCACCCCCATTTTATACCTCCCCATCTGTTCTCTCTTCTACATTAGTTTAGAAAGAACCTGGTAATAACACTGACATCAACCCAAATGTCCTGATTTGGATCATATCTAGAGATAGGCTCACGGGCATTGCATCCTAACCAGCCCTGATCCATGGCACAGAGAAGGAGAATCCACCAACTGCAAAACAGTTAGGAAGTAAGGCCAAGGGCAAGCCTTACCAATTGAAAAAATTGAATTTGATTTTTCTTCATTCCATGAAGAAAAATAAAGACACATACACACACACACACACACACACACACACACACACACACAGAGGACCAAATTGGGGGTGATGAATTCTGCAAGATAAAACGTGCAATAGGTCAGGAGACACCCTGGCAATGGATTTACTATCCCAGACAATGATTTCTTCCCTTCATAGCCTGCAAGAAAGCATGGCTCCTTGGCATCACATGCAAAAGGCCATCAAGGAAAGGACAAGTTGTGACAAAAGGGAGCATGGCAATGCCCTGCAGGCAGTAGAGAGGGAACGACAGCGTAGGAATTCAATCTGGGGTTTGGTGACACACTTGAGAAGCCCTTCTGGAAAGGAGTGGAAAAGCATGAGGAGATGAAGATGAGACAGGCCCTGCTGGTAGATGGAAGCCACAGAGCAGCAGATCACCAGAGCTGACAGGAAAGGGTGGGAGTTCCAGAGGAAAAAATGTCCGCAAATAGGAGGGATTTATTGAAAAGTTTTAACCAGAGGAGTGACACAATCAATCATTGAAACAGAGAAGGAACACTATCAAATTGTGTGTGTGTGTGTGTGTGTGTGTGAGAGAGAGAGAGAGAGAGAGAGAGATTGACATTTGGGCAGTAAGGAATTTCCTGTTTAAGAAAAAGTATACAATTTACATGTAAGTCCTTTTTCCTTACAAAAAAGTAAAGCATCTGGAAGGGCAGAGAGAAAAATGTAGAAGCCCCCTCAACACACCCCACTCCCTGCCCCTTCCCCAGCGTGGCCATTGTCAACAGTTTGGTGTTCATTACTCCAGTTTCTCTCTACACATTTGCAAAAATGCACGTATAAATTATGCCTATATATTTTTACATGTAAAATAAACTTTATGTTCCCTTCTCTGATCAATATCTCCATGTCAGTATGCATAAAACTGCCTTGTTACTTTTCACTTTTGTGCTTGGAACACTGTTCTAGAAAATCAAGTCTGCCTAGGAGGAACTAGAGTGGTTTAGAAGGTGGGTGCCCTCATCATCACTGGACTATAGAAGAGTAAGGACAAAAGCAGGGAAGATGAGTTAGAGAGATGGAGATATTTTCTTAGCAGAAAGGCTGAGAACTCAGGGGACAGACCAGACTGATATGAAATGAAAAATGAGATGTTGAAGGCCAGTGAAACACACAACAGGGAACTGGAGATAGGCCTAGATCCAGCTGTTCTTAAGGAAGGTATTAGAAAAGGGGGTGATGTCTTAGTTGTGTGAGATCAGAAGTGGTGAGGGGAAGCACCTGCTGCTCATCTGACAAGAACAGCAGCCTGGCATGTGTCACAAAGGGACCGAGCACCCAGGAAACTCTGAAAATGCGACTTTCAAAGCCACAGACACATTTTGGAGTAGGAGTATTTGGGGAACAATCCCTTAAAATATGACTGCGGTGCCAAGTGATTACAGAAAATCTGGATATGTTTGACAGGGGAAGGCTAGAGATAGCAATGTAAATACTCAAAATGCTATTAGCTGAGTTTCAAGCTCTCTGTAGGTGGAAATATAGAAATTGCCGGCTCCTTAAGGAGCATCCCTCAGAAATGTATAGAATATGGGATCTAGGGAAGGCCCAGTCAAGATGAGATCTATTGGAGAGGAGCCAGACAGCATGTGGGTGGATCAAGCCCCAGCCTGGGTTAGATGTTGATCTGACAAAATAGCTCCTGATGGTTCTATGCAGGGAGATAAGTTAGTATTTGTGACACTCTTAGAACAGGGAGTCGAACGTGATATATATATCTGGTAAGTGATAAATGTGTTGGGCTAAAATAAGTTAAGTTAAAGTGAACATTTTTATTTGTAGAGTAGATATAATTGGCAGATCCAAAACTCATTGATTTCATCTCTCTCACTGTGGGAAGTCCAACAAGATGAAATCTAGAGAAGTACGTTAGTAAAACAGATGTCTGTGCAGAAAATAAAAGAAATCGTAAAAGGCAGTCCCATTCACCATTATCTCTTCACGGCCTAGCCCTACAAGTGTTAGAGACGAGGGAGCTCAACTCAGGAAGCAGGATAGAGGCAGCACTTAGCGGGAAAAAGGGAGACAGGAGTGGCACATCCTTCTAAATAGAAAAAATATAGCAGAAAGAAAGGGGATTGAAAGCCATGAGCACTCCAAAATGAGGGAGGAGGGTATGTCAAGAAACATACGAGTAGTACTGGCCTTCACTACCTATGAGCAGTGCTGGCCTTCACCAGGGTTTGGGAAGGTGATTGGTTCTCCAGCAGAAACAAATGTGAGGGGGAGGGGGAAGCTTCTCCAAGAAGCAGGTTCCGTAGCTCCAAGCAGGTTCTGCCCCATGGCAGGACTGCAAACACCTGCACACAGGTGAGAGTGTCTGGGGACAACCAAGCTGGTCAACCAAGAGGGTGGGGCCTTGAATATCACTGCTGTGATGAGATGATCACGCTAAGCAGGTTTCTCAGCTTCACAGGAAGGCAGCAATGCCTCCGAGTCTCATTGTTTGAGATAGGAAAGAGCAGGCAGAGATGGCATTTTCCCTAGATAGTGGAAACAGCACCATCCTTAACATGGATGAGACAGTTACCCAGTTGAATTCAAGTGCAGACGTTGTGGATTCCAGACCCTCAGGCACAGACCGGCTTCCTGGCATGACTAAAACCAAAAGGATTTTCCTATCCTCCTCCTTCACTCAGATATCATCGAGGGTCTTCTATGGCTTTTGGAAACATTAAACAGTGTACTTTAACATAATTTTGCCTGAGAAAATGCTTTAAGGAATGGCAATTTCCTTGTTTGCTAAATGTTATGAGGGAAAGCCCAGTGCTTTAATAATTGCATGGATTCCTTGAATCACTGGATCTAAAAACCAAGGAACATCAAATAATTATTAACGTGCTAACACAATCTTCAGAGAACCTGGAAGAATCCATTCCAGTGAGCATTCCCAGGCTGCAGCTGCAGAGGGAACCCCAACTCCACCAGGCATCTAGAATATTCCTGGATGAGAAGAAGCTGAATAACAAGTAAGGGAAGATGGGTTGGGACTTTAATTTAAAGAATACATATAATTTCTTTGGATTTTTCATCCAATTTTGCTTTACATTTGATTCCTTTGTGTTTCAATGTCTTTGAACATCAACTGATGAGGGACTTTGATTTTGCCCCCAAAATATATAATAGGAGATGATTAATATTCAAACGTGGGGTGTATTAGCATTTTCATGCTGGTGATAAAGACATACCAGAGACTGGGTAATTTATAAAGAAAAAGAGGTTTAATGGACACACAGTTCCACATGGCTGGGGAGGCCTCACAATCATGGCAGAAGGCAAAAGTCACGTCTTACATGGTGGCAGACAAGAGAGAATGAGAACCAAATGAAAGGGCTTTTCCCTTATAAAACCATCAGATCTCATGAGACTTATTCATGACCACAAGAACAGTATGGGGAAAACCACCCCCATGATTCAATTATCTCCCACCAGGTCCATCCCACAACATGCGGGAATTATGGGAGCTACAATTCAAGATGAGATTTGGGTGGGGACACAGCCAAACCATATCACAGGGACATCTCTATTTTGTTAGCAGATGGTTATTGGAACATGTCTCAGGGCCATCAAGTTGCATAATCCTAGCAGGCATAATTCACATTGCTCATCAAGATAGGTTAAGTGATGCCAACAACAACAACAAATAACTGTGAAATAAATTGTGCAATGCGCTCCATGTTTATTGCAGCACTATTCAAAAAAGTCAAGATTTGGAGCAACCTAAGTGTCTGTGAACAGACGAATGGATAAAGAAAATGGGATACATATACACAATAGAGTACTATTCAGCCATTAAAAAAAGAAAAAAAAAGGAATGGGAGGCCAAGGCAAGTGGATCACGAGCTCAAGAGATTGAGATCATCCTGGCCAACATGAAACCCTGTCTCTACTAAAAATAAAAAAATTAGCCGGGCGTGGTGGCGGGCACCTGTAGTCCCAGCTACTCGGGAGGCTGAGGTAGGAGAATAACTTGAATCCCGGAGGCTGAGATTGCAGTGAGCCGAGATCATGCCACTGCACTCCAGACTGGAGACAGAGCAAGACTCTGTCTCAAAAAAAAAAAAAAAAAGAAGGTCCTGTCATCTGCAACAACATGGCTGGAACTGGAGGTCATTATGTTAAGTGAAATAAGTCAGGCACAGGACAAACTGAAGGTTCTCACTTATTTGTGGGAGCTAAGAAAATTAAAACAATTGAACTCATAGAGATAGAGAGTAGAATGATGGTTAGCAAAGGCTGGAAACAGTAGTTGGGGAAAGGGGTGTAGGGATGGGTAATGGGTACAAAAATACAATTAGAATGAATAAGATCCAGTATTTGATAGCACAACAGGACGACAATAGTCAATAATTTATTGAACATTTAAAAATAAGAGTATAATGGTTTATAACACATAAACCATTGTTTATGCTTGAGGTGATGGATACCACATTTACCCTGATGTAATTATTATACATTTTATGCCTGTAGCAAAATATCTCATGTGCCCCATAAGTATGTACACCTACTATGTACCCACAAAAGTTAAAAATAAGTAAATTGTACAAGTAGTTAAAAAAAATTCTTCCTTAATGAAAAAAAGAAACTAGAACCATAATTCTTTTTAATGTATTTATTATTCTTAACTGGTTTAGGATTAGTGTTATTTCTGGCCTTGCAGAAGTACAGGTGTCTATATTTTCCAATTCTCTGGAAGTTTTATTTTATGGTGGTAAAATATATACCAAAAAATTTATTATTGACATTTAGCATATTCACAGCGTTGTGTAACAATCACTACTCTGTAGTTCCAGACCATTTTCTGATTTTCTGGAATGATTTGTGTAACACAGAATTCTCTCTCCTTTGAAGGTAACTTTATATCCAACACGTTACTATGCCCATCAAATTTCATTTCTATTGGGCTCCTTCCTCTGTTTCTGAGAGAGATGGAGTGGTCTCCATTTATGACTACAGAATTTATGCATTCTTCTCATATATATATATTTTTTTTATAGAGGTGGGGTCTTGCCATGTTGCCCAGGCTAGTCTCTAACTCCTGAGCTCAGGCAATCCTCCCACCTTGGCCTCCCAAAGTGTTGGGATTACAGACATTGAGCCACCATGCCTGGCCCTCTTCTCATATTTCTAACAGTTCTCACTTTATATATTTCATAGCATGTGGGCATGTCTACAGAAGTTTGTGATCAAAATATTAAATTCTATTCGGATTAGCTCTCTCAACTCAATCGGAGCACCTCCATCTATTATTTGGTAAATTTAATCAACTTATATTTGACTATCGATATATTTTGATGTTTGTCCCCTCCAAATCTCATGTTGAAATGTGATCCCCAATGTTGGAGGTGGGGCCTGGTGGGAGGTGTTTAGGTCATGGGGGGCAGATTCCATGGTGCTTAAATTGCTTGGTGCTGTCCTCAGGATGAGTGGGTTCTCCCTCTGAGTTCACGCGAGATCCGGTTGTTTAAAAGTGTGTGGCACCTCCCCACCTCTCTCCTGCTCTTGCTCTCACAATGTGATGTGTCTGCTCCCCTCTGCCTTCCACCATGATTGGAAGCTTCCTGAAGCCTTCACCAGGAGCAGATGCCAGTACCATGCTTCCCATACAGCCTGCAGAACCATGAGCAAATAAACCTCTTACAAATTACCCAGTCTCAGATGCTCCTTTATAGTAACACACAAATGGACACACACACCTGCCATCTAATTTTGTTTCTTATTTGCCAAGATTCCCTGTTCTCCCCATCCCCAACTGTTCATTCCTTATGTTTGATTTCATTGATGTGGTCATTGCTGTCTTCCCTTTAATGTTTTGGACGTTGGACATCCTTTCTTTTCTCCCAGTGGTCATCCGAAATGCTTAACATGCATATTTAAATGTTCCTTTTCTACCAGCATATTAATCAGTGCTGACCCAGTAAATCAAAAATTTCAGCTCAACTTCACTATTTTCTTAGTTTCTCCATCACTGATCACTCCCACCCCTGCTCCCATGTTGAGATCATTGAGGGCATGAGAGAGTCATTCATTCACTGAGCGGGCACTCGATGAGCACATACTGGGCAAATTCCAAGTTCTGGGCATGCAGCACTGAATATGTCTTACAGGATTCCTACCTTCACAGAAGGAGACAAAAATAGAAAAATGTATTCGATGTTAGTCGTTCCCCAATATGGGACGGCCTCGTTGGGAAGGTGACTTGCAGTGGCAAGGGAACATCAGAGTGTGGGAGGGTCCAAGGGGCGTAGAGGGATGAGGGGCAGCAGGCCTGAGTGGGCACTTGCCTGGCAGGGTCCAGGGAGCTGATGGGCAGTGAGCAAGCGGGCCATTGACCTTAGCCATGGCCGCATGCTTAACCCAGGTCAGTGGAGTATGGGAAGTGTGGTGGGAAGCGCTGCAGGGAATCAAACAGGCTCGCTGCTCCAAACCACTTCCCTGGTAATCATCCAGACAAATGCCCCAGGTCCCTTCTGCCCTTTGCAGCCACCATGAAGCTCAGAGTTCCCCCAAACTATCTTCCCTTGGTGGCAGGCTTCTCTGCACATTCTGAGCTGGTTTCCTCCATATTTGTTCTGCTGCACGTCCAATGCAGTCTGCCTTTTATCCTCAGGAATTCTGCACCATGTTAATATACTCCACCTTTCCAGTTTTATTCTTATTTCTTTTCCAAAACTATCCATTTTAAGCAGGTAGTCCCCAAAGATGACTAGCCACACTACCTTCTCTCAAAACAATGCTATAAATACTCACCAACAAAACAATACATGCATTATAAGTTTTATTTATAAGACTGGAACAGACAAGAATATTAGTTGGAGGGTTTTTTCCAATTTAAATTAACTAATAAAGTGGGAAGAATGACACAAAAGCTGCTATTTACAAAAGACAAGTATGATTAAAGAAGGTCAGTTTTTATTCCAAAATAGGAATAATGAGATATACAAAGTGATCATTTTATAAACACTGATCTAAATATTTAATACTTGTGGACTTTTTTTCTTAGGAAAAAAAGATTGACATCAACTCTTCGGCATCATCTTTTACAATCATTTATTCTTGGATTGTTATCCATTAGAGTGCTTATAAATGTCTAGGATAGATGTGTAAATGCATTCTGAGGCCAGGCGCCTATAATCCCAGCACTTTGGGAGGCTGAGGTGGGCAGATCACCTGAGGCCAGGAGCTCGAGACCACCCTGGCCAACATGGCGAAACCCCGTCTCTACTAAAAAAACAAAACAAAACCAAAAACAAAAATTAGCTGGGCATGGTGGTGGGTGCCCATAATCCCAGCTACTCGGGAGGCTGAGGCTGCAGAATCACTTGAACACCAGGAGGCAGAGGTTGCAGTGAGCAGAGAGTCGCACCATTGCATTCCAGCCTGGGCAAGAAAGAGTGAAACTCCGTCTCAAAAGAATGCATTCTGATGATTACCTTGAACTGTCTTTAAACTTTTCCTTCAAGTTATGTGCCACTTCAAAACCAGTGTGGCATTGAGGGTAGGAGAGTGGGAGAAGGGAGAACTGGACTGCAAAGTCCAGAGATCAGAACTTTGAACTGTGCTTCTAGCTCTTTCCAGCAGTGAGACCTTGAAAAGGTACTCTTTGCATCTCAACCTTCTCATCTTTCAAAGGGGAAGAGTAATTCCAATCACACAAGAAAGGATTGAACAAGATGAACAAGATGATCACTGTCCAGGTGCCTGGGCAATGGGTGGCCTCTCAACTGCGGCTTTAAAAACCATTCTGGGCCGGGCACAGTGGTTCACGCCTGTAATCCCAGCACTTTGGGAGGCCGAGGCAGGCAGATCACAAGATAAGGAGATCGAGACCATCCTGGCTAACACGGTGAAACCCCATCTCTACTAAAAAATACAAAAAATTAGCTAGGCATGGTGGCGGGCGCCTGTAGTCCCAGCTACTTGGGAGGCTGAGGCAGGAGACTGGTGTGAATCCAGGAGGCGGAGTTTGCAGTGAGCCGAGATCACCACTGCACTCCAGCCTGGGCAACAGAGCGAGACTCTGTCTCAAAAAAAAAAAAAAAAAACCATTCTGTCAGCCTGTGAAGGGGTGAGCCCTAAGAAATCCATCTCCCTGCCTCCTCTCTTCTGTTCCCACCTCCTCTCTAGTCAAGCGAGATTCTTCCCTGAGGAACCAAACATCAGTAAGAGAAAATGAGCTACTTCAGGAACTGAAAACTAAACTCTAGTAAATTATAGTCATAAGTCTAGTTCTCATCAACTATTTTATATATCACTTTGGTTGTTTTCATTGTTTTTTGGTTGTTTTCATTGTTTGTTTCAAGTAAGCAATGTGGTCCTTTCTCCTTTGTAAGGCAAATTTTTGGTCAACCTCTGTTAGCCTCATTTCCTCCTCCCCAACCCCCCCCCAGAAAACCCTTTTAGTTTTAAAGAAAGCTTCTTTGCATTTTTGCCCTTTCTAAGAGGTAGGGTATTTACCCTACATTATTTTAATAGGATCATATTTGCTCTGAAGTAAATCAATTTGTTTAACTTTATTAAATTTGATGCCTTTGGGCTAGCCTCTGAAACAGCAAACTTATAGGCAATTAAATAATTGTTATTAAAACGATCTACTTATTTTTTCTTGTCTCCAACCTTTACAGTTAAAATGTTCCTTTGGAATATTGCTTTGTAGGAGGTTACAGGGGAACCTACTTGGCTGAAATCCCATCTACTGAAATACTGGCACTGCTACAAAATAACCCAAGATTCTTTAGAACTAAGAGAAAAAAATCAGGTTTGTTCATGGAAGCACACGAATGTCAGGACAGGAAGCAAATATTTGTTCCTCGTGAAACAGGCTTGAAAACAGCCGTGGGCAATGGGCTGGCCCAGAACTTGGGAGTCTCAAGTTTTCATTCCCACCCACTGCGGAGTCTTTTCCTGGCTCCCAGGAGCCCACGTGTACTATGAGGGGCTGCGCTGCAGACAGTCCCTGGGGTCTATTCCAGTCGAACACCCCACAGTTCCAGGCCTCCCTTTAGCCTCCAACAGCATGAGGGCTCTGAGCACTCATCTCTTCCAGAAAACTCGCCGCTGTCTTCCTCAGATGTGTCGTCCGGTCAGAAAGAAGAGCGGCCGGTCTTCCCTGGCATTGGCGGTCTGGAACTCATCGCGCAGCCGGAACTGCCACTCATCCTCGAGCTCCAGGCGGACAACCGTCTGACGCAGTGAGCTCCGGTCCTGACAGATGACACACAAGGTCGCACCTGTGTGGACAACGGCAGAGGTGCGGGAAGGAAAAAGGTGAGTTTATCCAGATGAAAGCGGCTGCCTGGATTCTACTTGCAATGGCAAGACAGGGCGCTGCTGGGAAGGGCAGAGGCGGCTCCAAGTCAGCCTCTTGCTTCTTTCAGGATGATGTGCAATCTTAGCGAGACAGGAGTGTGGCTGGGATGGGCAGGTGTGCGGGGGAGAAAACACAGAGGCAGAAGGAAAGCTGAACAGGGACTGAACTGAGGTGCGGAGAGGAAGGAGAGAGGCTGGTCGAATTGCAAACCAAGCATCCTCAGCCCCAGCCAGTAGCTCACATACCCCACCCTACCTACTCCACCTTACAGCTTCATCCCCCTCTTCTGCCACCCATCCAGGCCTGGGACAGCCCCCACTGTCCCATGTGCCGACCACAGGAATTCTCCTTCCTCTCAACTCCCAGCACATGGCGACACGTCAACCCAGTCTCCTGCATGCTTTCCCTGTCTGCTCCCTCCCCACCTTCGTGTCCAGTCCTCCCTTTAGATGAAATGTTTCCCAAGGCAGAGACTGCTGTAGAAACCTCCTGATCTCTCCCAAGGCCTTAGATGCTGCTGGTGTTCACTCAGTGCCTGCTAGAGAGGAAGGTCAGAGCCAAGGCCACCAGGAAGTGCGAAGGTCAGCTAGGGATCTGAGCAGGACTGGAAATGCAGACTGGAAATCGTGTTTTCAAGTCATGCGGAACAAGTGCTTGTCATTCTCAACCAAGCTGGCGCAGACAGGAGGAAGGCTGGCGTAAAAGCCAAGGTGGTGTGGGACCTCCCAGGACGAGGAGGAAGACTCGTCTACCAGGGGGAAGAGTGTCAGCAACGACTGGGACACTGATGTGAAGGATTTGGGCTGGAAAAGAACACAGATGGCTGGTGCGGTGGCTCATGCCAGTAATCCCAACACTTTGGGAGGCCAAGGTGGACAGATCACCTGAGGTCGGGAGGTCAAGACCAGCCTGGCCAAGATGGCAAAACCCTGTCTCTACTAAAAACACAAAATTAGCCGGGCATGGTGGCAGACGCCCGTAATCCCAGATACTTGGGAGGCTGAGGCAGGAGAATCACTTGAACCCGGGAGGCAGAAGTTGCAGTGAGCCAAGATTGCACCACTGCACTCCAGCCAAGGCAACAGAGTGAGACTCCATCTCAAAAAAAAAAAAAAAAGAAAGAAAGAAAGAAAGAAACACAAAGGCTAAAAAAATGTCTGCAATTCATCTAAAAGAAAGGGGGATGTGTTTTGCCTCTATCCAAACAGGTATAGGGAAAAGAGAGCCCCCGGAGATGAAATCCCAGCTCTCTTGCACGTTCCTGGGTGGCTGAGGCAGTCACTTCCCGCTCTGATCCTCGGTTTACCCATGGGCAAATAAGGACTAGGACCAAAGGTCCCTTCCTCAGGGTACCCAGTGACTACAGCCATTGAAGACAAGGTGCAGGGTTAAGAGTACAAAAGTTACCTTTCAGAAAATGAAACTTTTTCAAAAAGCTAGCTCCCACAAAAGAGTCACAGAGGTACAGCAGCAGTCCACTGAACAGCAAGTCCGAGCAGCTGATGTTTAAAGAGTGGGGCCTGGAGCTCACATAGCAAACAGAAATCTGAAAAAGAAGAAATCTAAGAGAGAGCACCGTTTTCTAAGAAATGCTCAGTAATGTTTGCATCTAGTAAATACCAACTGCTTGGTCCAGCTCAAGATTTTTGGGGGGCCAGAGACAATATTTTCATGTTATTTCCAAATCTGTATCTGAAAAATCAATTCTGGAAGTTTTATCCAGATTTATCTAGTCATGAGTTCATCTGAGAATCAGAACATTTAGGCGGGACGCAGTGGCTCACACCTGTAACCTCAGCATTTTGGGAGGCCGAGGTGGGTGGATCACCTGAGGTCAGGAGTTGGAGACCAGCCTGGCCAACATGGTGAAACCCCATCTCTACTAAAAATACAAAAATTAGCCAGGCATGGTGGCACATGCCTGTAATCTCAGCTACTTGGGAGGCTGAGGCAGGAGAATCACTTGAACTTGGGAGGCCGAGACTGCAGTGAGCTGAGATTGTGCCATTGCACTCCAGCCTGGGCGAGAAGAGTGAAACTCCATCTCAAAAAAAAAAAAAAAAAAAAATGTTTGGGCATCAGAATTGGGCTGGCTTCCTATCTTCTTACTTCCGGGCAAAGCATCTCAGCTCTCTCAGCTGAATGGCAAAAGCTATAAAGTGGGGTCAACCCCGAGACGAAGGAGTTGAGGACTTAGGATTCAGAGTCCCAGATTCCAGCCCATTGGTTCTAGAGATTTCTCTGAATTAGGGATTCGACAGCACCCCCTCTGAAAGTCACCTGAGATCCCAGGTTAAGGTAACAGTCGACAGACAGCACTGGGTGGTCACGGTTCTTCAGGGAGAGTGGGAAGAAGTGGTGGCTGTGGTGCTGCAGGAACTTCTCCAGCAGGAGCTGGGCGGGTGCCGCGAGGAAGGTGTGCTTGCTGTCCGGGGCACAGATGTACTGGGCCGGCACGACCGCCGCGGAGTTATCGGACACCTGCACAGGAAGGGGGAGTGTCAGGCCACTACCGCCCTGAGGAGCGAGGACCTTCCCACGGCTTCTGGGCGGCACGGGGTGGCCCAGAATGGAAGCTTGTGTCGCTCAGGGGAATGAACGGAGAACACATACTTCAAGAATAAACTTCTCTGTTGAGAAAGATTAGGTTTTACTCAAGGGAAATATGCAAGAGACATGTTCAAATGAACCAACCCAATCAGTAAGAATTAAAGACACTGATCATTCCATGCAGGAAACCGGCTTTCCGGTCTAGAGAAAACAAGAGCACCCACGGGCCTGGGGGATGCAGGCCTCTGGGAGTGGCCAGCTCCCCAGCAGAGATCCTGTCCCGGTCCCGCCCAGCCCCAGGCTCTTCCCACCCACAGCCGGCATCCGAGCCACAGGCTCTTGCTCCATCACCAACACGTTTACATCAGACTCTCACTGGCTTCCCTCCTGTGAGTCCTAGAGAAAAGTCTGGAACTTTCCCATAGCTGGGAAGGTTTGCCTACTTCCGCGGCTCCTCCCCGCCACCCTCCTCCCCTTCCTCCATACTGACCTCCTCACTCCTACCCTTCTGCACCTTCACCCACTGAAGGCATCCTGTCCCTGTCCCTGCCTCTGTCCCTGCCCCTGTCCCTGTCCCTGCCTCTGTCCCTGCCCCTGTCCCTGTCCCTGCCTCTGTCCCTGCCCCTGTCCCTGCCCATGCCTGTGCCCCTGCCTCTGTCCCTGCCCCTGTCCCTGCCTGGGCATGTGACTCACTCTCTTCCTCCAGGTCTCTGCTTTAATGTCACTTCCCCGGGAACTCCCACAGACTCAGGTCTCCCCGCGACACACAGTTCACTTTTGTGGTGCTTCTCCCGATGGTCCTTAACTAGCCACGTGTCTGACATCTGCCCCGGCTGCTGGGCTGTGTACTCCTGAGCATGGGGATTGGCTGCTCAGTAAGTATTTAATGAATAAATGAAAACAATGCAGTGATTTCACTCACGTGAAAGATTATAAGACATGACTAGCTTTCTTATGTATAACCAATATGCAATCAAATGTAATAGAAAATTAAGATTATGTTCAAATAATAAAGATAAAATATCTAAGAGTTTAAAAATGACACTGAAGGACATAAAAGGAAAGTTCGTTTTAAAGGCACGTCTGGCCCTTTGATGGAGACATGGTGAAGGTGTCTGTTTTCCCTGATTAAACAACAAACCTCACACAATTTTAAGATCTCAGTGATGGTGTAAGTGGGGGCCTTTTATTTAAAAGTCTTGTTACTTTGCAAGAGAAATGAGGAGAGGCCCCGCACTGCTGGAAAAGGCGCAGTACCTGCCTCTGGGGGTCAGTGAAGATGGAGCTGGTGTCCCAACTCAGACCCAGCCCACCTCAGCGTAGCTAACTCTGTCAAATCAGCAGTTTACAGAGATGAGGAGGGAAAGAGGCTGGGAAAGGCAGCTGGTGGCATTAGGGCAGGATCAAGACAGACAGAAGTGACAGAGAAAGGGGCTCTGGCCCATAGGACTGGGGAGAGCTTCAGGCAGAGACACACCTGCTGCATTGCTTCCTGGAAGACACAGAGCTATCAAGACTTGCTGTGATTGTACATCTTAATTCTCCAGGCCTGCTTAGCTGGAACACACGTAATCGCACCAGGTCCCTCCCCACCCCGAGGCTTCCCAGTGGACACATAGTGTGACTATGGGGCCAGCCTGCAGAGCCATTCAAATAGTTATGCAACCAGGCACCATCCCAGGGGCCCAAGGAAGAGCATGGCCTGAGACCTCACCCAGCTGGGGTGGGTGAGAACACACAGGAAGGCTTGGTTGGAGCCTTGCCCCCAGCAGAAGCTTGCGGGATACTGGTTAATGTATCAGAGGTAGAAGAGAGACCCCACGGAGCCTGTCATTTCCCAGGGCTCAATGCCAATTAAAAACCTTTACTGACCCCACCCAGTAGGGCCCCGACCCACGCGCTTGAAAGAGACACGGCCTCCCCCGATTGCTCCTACCCTCAGTGTGCGTGCCAGGGTGGCCCAGGCGGTGGACACAGAGGCCTGCCCAGCAGTGAGGAGCTCACCTTGGACGTGATGTGGAAGGACCTGTGGCCGCCCACCACGATCTGCTTCTTCATCACGCTGAAGCGGTTGAACCGGCAGAGCAGGAGGCCGGCGCTGTGCACCCGCAGGTTGAAGTCTACATCGTCACACAGGAACCTACTCAGGGCCAGAGGAGGGGTGGGTCTGATGGGGCACGGCTCACACCCTCAGTCACTGCCCCCAGCACCTAGAGTGTGGGTCCCCATCATAGGGGGCTATGAAGGTGGAGTGGGCTTCATTCTTGCCTCAAGACCTTCCTTACTCTAGGGGAAACGTAAGGCAAAACAGACAAGGAAAATCCACAGGACAAACAGGGCCATCTCTGCACGGGAAAAGCAGTGTGTACCTCACGCTTCAACCACACGAGGACTGCCCAGTGGTGACCAGAGGCCAAGGGCCAAGTGCACGTGAGAAACGTTACCAACACGACCTCCCGCATCGGTGAAAAAGAAAGCAACAAAAAACCTCCGAGGGTAAAAACATGAGCTGCGTTTTACAGCTGAGAAGAATAGGGCTCGGAGGTGAGTGGCCTGCCTGTGCTGCAAACATGATACACAGCAGAACCCGGGTTCCCAGAGGCCCAGTCAGACTGGCTCCAAAACCCACCCTCTTCCAGCAGCTGATGTAGGTTGTGGCCCAGTGCCCGGTGCAGACAGGCCCTCCATGGACACTGAGCAATTGAATCCTCTGGAGATGGGAGCACTTCTGTGACTAGATATGTACAGAAACCTACGGAAATTATCATTTTCTTCCATGCTAAAGCTCCTAAAAAGCAATGTATTGGGAGAATGAATCAAAAAGGCAAGAGAAAAAAACCACACAGTCCAATGTAACTCACTCAGTAAAGCATCATGAGAATTGGTGAATGAAGCTGAATGATCTGCGAATACTCAAAATTATTCAGCACTGAAAAAACTGGGACAACGGAGAGCGAGGCCAGGCCAGTGCTCACCGCCAGGACGCCTCTGCAGCCCGAGGCTGCCCTCACTCAGGACTCTGCGCCCCCAGGGCCGCCGCCTCCTCCGCCCCGGGTGCAGGTGCTCACCGGTTCTGGTTGTACTGCACGTTCTGGGTCAGGTCCACGTTCAGGATGATGAAGTTATGCACGTGGCAGCGGGAGAAGGGCTCTCGCACCTCGCTGGCCCGGGTCTTGCTGGACCACTTCCGCAGGCCCAGCAGGGCGTAGTGCGTGATGTTGGGGGCCGCCTCAATGTGCTGCATGATGTGCTTCAAAGACACGTTCCTTTCCGACCAGGAGAACTCCCTGCTCGAAGGAGGGAGAGTGAGCCCCTAGGCTGACACCAAGCAGCAGCAAGGCCCTTGGGACCAGGCAGTGTGGTACCGGCTCTGAGACTGCCGTGAACACCTGCACAGGCCGGTACTCTGCACAGGCCCCCAGGGGCCAGGCACCCTGCTGGGTGCTTCCCACGGGCACTCATTTCTTCTATGTGCTGAACACATTTGCAGACCATAATGTAGTCAATTCTCACTACAACCCCATGGCATAGGTATTAATCGCAGATGAGGAAACTAGAACCCAAAATGATTTAGCCATTTGCTTAAAGTCACACAGCAAATACAAATAAAGCTAGGAGTCAGCAGTCAGGCTAGCGAGGAGGGGTGGGGCTGGGGGCAGCAGGAAGGGAGTTTCTGGGGGGCAGTAATGTCCCTTTCTTAATATCGGAGTTGGTTAAATGAATGTGCTCAGCTTGGGAAAAGTTCTGTATATGTATTATACTTTCCTTTTTGTCTATATATTAAATGGATAGTGTGATTTTCTGTTTTATACTTCAATAACAATTTTTTTTTTTTTGAGACAGAGTCTCGCTGTGTTACCCAGGCTGGAGTGCGGAGGCACCATCTCCACTCACTGCAAGCTCCGCCTCCCGGGTTCATACCATTCTCCTGCCTCAGCCTCCCGAGTAGCTGGGACTACAGGTGCCCGCCACCACGCCTGGCTAATTTTTTTGTACTTTCAGTAGAGACAGGGTTTCACTGTGTTAGCCAGGATGGTCTCGATCTCCTGACCTTGTGATCCACCCGCCTCTGCCTCCCAAAGTGCTGGGATTACAGGCATGAGCCACCACACCTGGCCCAAAGACAATTTTTTAAAATTAAAAGCAAGCCAGGCTTGGCACGTGAGCTCACTTTTACCACACCCAGGGCTCTGGGAACCACACCCACCCCTTCTACTGTGAGGCCCTCCGGTCTTCCTGGGTGGGTACACTCCCCACACAGAGAGTGCACACTCGTTGGTCATCCTTCGTAGGGTGGCAGTGCCGTCAGGCCACCTCACCTGCTTCTCTCCCCAGCAGAGTCGACATCCACCACGTTCCACATCACGCAGGAGTCATCAGAGATCACAATGAAAGGCCAGATGTCCTGCGGCTTGATCCCCAGCTCCTCCTGCCGGTTCCGCTCAAGCTCCAGGTTATGGTACGACAGCTCCTTGATGAGGAAATGGGCGGCACCTACAGTGGGCGAAGCAACTGGACTCAGGGCTGTCTCACACCCACACCCACAGCAGACAGACCCCAGGCAGACCTGCCGCCAAGGCCGCCCAGACAAGCCAGCTCCGACCTTCCTGACATGCATCACCTGTCACAGAACACGGCCCACGGGCTAGGGAGAGAAAACTACAGGGAGGAAAACACTCCTCTCCAGGTGGAACACACATTTGCTTTCTTATGCTTTCTTCTCCAACCATTGAAAATATCAATTTGGCCAGGCGCAGTGGCTCACGTCTATAATCCCAGCACTTTGGGAGGCCAAGGCAGGCAGATCACCTGAGGTCACGAGTTTGAGACCAGCTTAGCCAACGTGGTGAAACCCCGTCTCTACAAAAATACAAAAGTTAGCTGGGAGTCATGGTTGGTGTCTGTAATGCCAGCTACTCGGGCAGCTGAGGTGGGAGAATAGCTTGAACCCATAAGACGGAGGTTGCAATGAGCCGAGATCATGCCGTTGCACTCCAGCCTGGGCGACAGAGCAAGATTCCATCTCAAAAAAAAAAAAAAAAAAGAACGAAAGAAAGAAAATATCCATTACATGGATAACCAAACACTGGGGCCGGGGGGAAGACTGCATAAAAAAGTCAAACAAAATGAAAATAGCTTTAAAAGTCCAAAAGTAAAAGGCTTGATGTCACATGTTTAACTTTCGTCTCTAGAATACTCTCTCAAGTGTTCGTTCACAGGAGTTTGACTGAGTGGATGATGTTAAAGGACACTCACCAACTCCAGCGCTGTTGAAGATACTGGGGAGCACCAGCATGATGTGGTTGGGCCAGTATTTCTTATAAATCGCCATCTCGTATTCCTTGACGACCAGCACATGCAAATGGCTGGCACCATCCATTGCATGGTACAGATTAAAGAGCCCATGTTCGTGACGGCCAGTGGTTGGAGTGAATGTTGGACTTTTTATATATTCATGGCTCTGCAAAGTACAGGTATCATGAGGTAGAGTGTTTGTAAATGTGGCCACAATTAGTCCCTTGACATGACTTTGCAGCATTTTCCATCACAGAATGATGACCATTTCCATACTGCTGGAATTTTCAGCTTTGTGACTTGCTTTTCCCAGTAAAAGGCAGGAAAAATGGCCTTGTGCCAGTCCTGGGCATAGCCTCAAGATGACTTACATGTTCCACTCCCTCTCAGAACTCTCCCATGCACAAGCCCGGGCTAGCCTGCTGGACGATGAGAGACCACTTGGAGGAGAGCTGAACAGCCTAGCTGAGGCCACCAGCCAGCCCGCAGACAACCTGCTGGCTCACTGTCAACACGAGTGAGTGAGTACAACCGAGCCCAGAAAACCACCTGGCTGAAGCAAGCCCAACCTGCCAGCCCACAGATCCCAAAGCTAATGCTTATTTGGGAATGGTGTGTTAGGCAACAGAAACTAACTGGCATATAGCAGTTAACCAAATTCATTACCTTCTCATATTAGAATCTAATGTTATGCCCAGAGTACTCATTATTCATGCATGCCTTGCATTTTCCATACACTATGAACACACAACACCCCTAATGGCTGCCCCATAGAGCTTAGCTATCCACTCGGGTTGTTATATCTTTTATGTAAATAACTTTTCTTCAACTCCTTCCTTAACAATAAGTTCATCTGGCAGAGGTAGGCCCTCTGCTCCCTCTGAATTCCTCAAAGCACCTGCCAAACACTGTGAGGCACTGATGCTCATGGCCAGCTCCGCCAGGAAGGCTGGAAGGTGAGTGGAGTGGTGGAGAAACCCCAGCTCTCATATTTCATCCATGGAATTTCACCGCAACACCCAACCCCAGCCCGTGGGTTAGGAGGTACCTTACAATGAAGGCCTGTTGGGTACATTACAAATATTTTCATTGCTTAATAACAGGCTGCTGGGTCTGAAAGGCCAGGTGCAACTCCACAGGTGCCTGGCACTCTGGAGAAGGAAAAGCAGCTTCTCCACATGGCCTGCCTTGAGTGGGGCTGGGTAAGGAGCAGCCAGCTGACTGTGAGGTGATCAGTTGAGCACTGTCAAACCAAAAGCTCTACAAGGAGCATCTCTGTAAGAATGGTCAGAGACAATGGAACATTCAGAACAATCTCTTCAAAAGATAAAAGGAAATGTGTCTTTTAGAGAGACACACTGAGCTATCTATATCTATAGGTATAAATATCTATAGATAGATGACATGATTTGAGGTCTGGGATTTACTTCCAAACAAAACAGGAAGAGGAGAGAGGGACGGATGAAACAAGGCTGCCCATGAGTTAGCAATTGCTGGAGTTGGTAATGGGCTCTAGAGGGTTCACTGTACTGTTCTATCTTCCTAAGCCTACGCAAAATGTTACCTGGCAGAGCATTCAAGAAAAGATGGAGCGGATGAACATCTACCCAGCTCCTGTTATCTTCCAGGCACGGAGCTAGGGCCTTTCATCAGTTATTCCAAATAGTTTTCACCACAAGCTTTTGCAAGTTACTACTGTTCAACACTACAATGAGGAAATCAAGGCTTGCAGATACTAAGTGACATGTTCAAATACACAACTAGTAAATGGTAGAGCAAGGCTGAGGCTTGAATTGGAGTGACTCCAGAGCCTGTGTGGGACACCAGCCTCCTCCAAGTTCAGTCCCTGTATCGGTGCCTGCACTCCCTCATCAGGCAGCTCTGTCTCTAGTCCCCTGCTCAGTCCCCACTTGAAGCCACTTGGATCTGCCCCACTAGGTCTCTGAGCCAGTACCTTGTCTGTCACGAGGGGCAGTCGCATGCTCTCCAGCTGGCCTCCAGGTTGGCTGAAGACAAAGTGGTGCTCCTTGGACTTGGGGATGATGAAGTGCAGCTGGATCTCCTCTCCTAGCATGGAGTAAGAGAAGGCAAAGGCGTGCAGGGTGGACTCATACAGCTGGGGTGTGGGGGAAAGGACAGAGCTTGCCGTCAGAGTCCGGCCTGCTTTCCAGAAGGCCCCAGGCCCACCCTGCTGTGACGATGTGCAGTTCACGGTCACCTCTTCCCTACAGCACAAGAAACCCACAGGGTGACTCCAGTGAAAAGTGTAGACACCCAGGTCTGTTGACAGGTCAAGCACGCCCAAGACCACATAGCCACGGCGAGAGCCTGCTCCCATCCTCGGTCCGCATGGGGCCCCACCCCACTGTGCCGCGCAGGCAGCAAGCTTTTTGGTTCCCGTGGCTTTGAACTAGAGTCCTGTTCTGGGTCACCAACTAAAGCATTCATGCTACAGGGCTCCTTTGTAATTCTAATACGTGTATTTTTCCATCACAGTTACATGCAATCGCATATTAACAATAGCTGCATATGCCTGGACACTCCCATAACACTTCTCGCCTGGCACCGTTCTGTCCTGTGTGCTGCCATTAACAATCCTACAGATGTGGAAACTGACATTCAGAGACCTTGGACTCACTCCTGTCACCAAGTCTGGCTGTGCCCTTAGTCACCTCCTCCAGCCTCCATTTCCCAGGAGCCTCACACCCCACATCTGCGCACGTGCTGCTCTGGGTGTGACTTCCAGCCCAGCTTTGCCCTCAGCTTGAACATCCGCTTAGGACCCCACCGACTCACAGCCCTCCCTACTGACATCCCCTCCTAGCTTGTGCTCTGCATGCATCCCAGGGTCCCCAGGGGAGGAGGCGGACGAGCACACACTGCTTTAATCTCTGCCATGGCTCTGCGAGACCCACAGAGCCCTTTCTTTGGGAGCAGAGATGAGGGACAAAGGGATTTTGACTGGGGGAGGCAGTTAAGGAGGACACACTGAGGCAGTTTCATAAAAAAGGTCAAGGGAGCCTTGGAAAAGAAAACAGAATGAGCAGGTGCGGGCCACATGGAGACGGCAGCCAGTGGGTCACACGGCCTCTGCACCAGCGCCAGCTGGTTTCAAGCCCCCTCAGCGTCCCAGGCCTCCTCGTCTTCCACTGTGGCCCCCAGATCTGCACACCCCTGAGAACACAGGCCAGGCGCAGCCCAGCCGGCTGCCTCTCCTCCTCCTCTGCGCTCTGGTGTCTGTTGATGCAGCCCGAGGTCGTGACGGCACCAACCACTCCCGACACTGACAGGGATGACTGGGGACTGACACCCTTCAGTCCCTTTCAGTTCCCTACATTTCAAAATCAAGGATGTGTTTTCACATATGCTTTTGTTTGCCTTGAAAGAAAAACTACATCTCCAAGAAACAAAACGTTAGGAGAGTTTATCTGGAACAAATGGGATTACTGATTATTTTGACCCTCAAAAAATTGCTCGTATGTTCTTTCTTTCATCTACAGTACAATTGCATACTCAAACAATGAGTGCTGCGTCCCTGGCAGCCAAGCTCAAGGCCAGGCAGACAGGGGCTGTTTCCCTCTGCAAAAGGGATGGAAAGAGAGGCCAGTGCTCTTGCCTCAGGCCTTTCTGAAAGCAGCCCAAGACATCAGCTGCCCTACATGCCTCTGCTCCCCAGCCAGGCATCTGACTAGCTCCCGCCAACTCTGGTCCTCTCCCTCCGCCCCTCTCTCCCTTGCTTGGGTCTGAAATGAAAAGAAATACTCCATGTAAAATAAATCCTCTCCCCTGTTTATAAATAACCAGCCTCCCAGGCACTCCATACACCTCTATGGGACTAAGAGACTAGTCTAAACACAGCTCTGCCCACACTGGGCTCCACTTGGAGTTCCTGCTGAAAGAGTCCTCGTTCCTCTCCACGGTGCCCACCAGGCGTTTTGCGGTCTGGCCTCTGCCTACCCTCCGAGTTTCGTGGCTGAGTGTACCTATCCCAAAGTCTGGGTTCCAGAAACACCCAACCCACATCACTTCCCATCCCCCGGAAACCCCACCTCCCCTCTCCCACACATGCTGTCCCTCTCCCTTCATCCTATTAATTCTTGGCCCCTTGGCAAATTCTTATTAATTCTTCCAAATCTTCTCTCTTCCGCTCCCTACCCAAACAGGATCCTCATTTATAAAACAGGGACTATGAAATTTTAGTGTGAAATAAATAGGACACTAGACAGGACAGTTCCCATCCAGTGCACCGTAAGTGGCCAGCAGGTGTGGCTTCAGGTGACCCACCAGAGCCTGAGGCAGCCAGAGCCCTGGGTCAGGAGCCTTATCCATTTCTAAGTGTCCAGGATAAATATTTTCTATTGCATAAAAGGTTGGGAGAGATTGATATATAAAAAGTGCCTAGGCACATTACCTAGCATGCAGTAGGTGCTCAATAAATGCAAATGCCTCCTCTTATCAATGGATTTCTGTACTACATCTCCAAGAAACAAAACGTTAGGAGAGTTTATCTGGAACAAATGGGATTACTGTAGTACCATAGTACTCTTTTTGCCTGCTTCACATCATTACGTTTTGCTTATGTGCACATCTCCCTCCTAGACTGAGTGTGGAGGATGGGGACAGAGTTGATTCAGCTCTGCACCCCCAGTACCTGGTACAGAATAAGTACCTGGTGAGCATCTGCTGCATTGGACTAACTTCTGAAATCACTGGGACCTAAAGATGATGACCACTTCCACGGCTAGGTAACTTGGCCACTGATAAACACACAACCCCAGGAGAACCATGGTGCTCTAGTTCCAGCAATAATTCCACAGACAATTGAAGGGAACAGAGGATGCAAATAGACCAGGAATCCAGGGCTTCCAGAACTCTCTATCTCCTACTCTGGAATGAAAGCGTGAGAGAGCAGGGGAATGGACGATGTGGGCCAAGGTGAAACGCCTGGTGGGGAGCTGCTAGGGCCTACCTGGTAGCGGGGGTGGAAGCCCATGTACTGGTGGCACTGCTCACAGTGGTGGTAAGTGTTGTATGCTGCGTACTTGGACAGTCTCATCCGTGCCGTCTGACGCCGCACATAAAGGTCCTCCGGCTTCCGGGACATCCCTCTGTCTGCACCAAATTCCCCAGGATTAAAAAGCAGCAGGGAGCAAAGCAAATATTATCCCCTGCCTGCTCAAACAGAAACCAAAATGCTCAAAATGCCCAGACGACAGGATTCTGTTCTGTTGGGGAGGACTGCCTCTCACCTCCCTGGGCCCTGATGTGACAGCTGGTCAAACGAGACAATGAAGGACCACAAAAGTGTCAGTGGAATAAACTAATTAAGGCACTGTCCATAACATGTCTTACTGTAGACTAAAAACATTTCATCAGCACCTATGTAAAGATCCACTATACAATTTAAATCGATTGCCAACTTAACGTGCCAGCACTGAATGCAGATGAACTGTCCCTTGTTTTTCTTTTTTTGTTTGGTTTTTGGAGACAAGGTCTTGCTCTGTCACTCAGGCTGGAGTACAGTGGCATGATCTCAGCTCACTGCAACCTCCGCCTCGCAGGTTCAAGTGATTCTCCTGCCTCAGCCTCCTGAGTAGCTGGGATTACAGGTGCATGCCACCACACCTGGCTAAGTTTTGCATTTTTTGTAGAGATGGGGTTTTGCCATGTTGGCCAGGCTGGTCTCGAACTCCTGACCTCAGGTGATCCGTCCACCTCAGCCTCCCAAAGTGCTGAGATTACAGGCGTGAGCCACCACATCTGGCCCCGGCTTATTTTTCAAATGACCTGGCCGATTAAGATTTTAACACTCTGCCTTCATTAGACACTGGCCTACAAGAAGGATCCTTGGTGCAAGGGATCTATTCTGATAGCAAAGATGATAAAGTTGTTGGTTTAAAATGGAGTCTCGTGGGTCACTGATATGGTTTGTCTGTGTCCCCACCCAAATCTATCTTGAATTGTAGCTCCCATAATTCTTACATGTTGTGGGAGGGACCTGATGGGAGATAACTGAATCATGGGGGCAGTTTCCCTAATACTGCCCTCATGGTACAGAGTAAGTCTCACAAGATGCGATGGTTTTATAAGGGGTTTCCCCTTTCGCCGGGCTCTCATTCTCTCTTGCCTGCTGCTATGTAAGACGTGCCTTGCGCTTTCCACCATGATTGTGAAGCCTCCTCAGCCACGTGGAACTGTGAGTCCATTAACCCTCTTTTTCTTTATAAATTACCCAGTCTCAGGTATGTCTGTCAGCAGCAGCGTGAAATGGACTAATACAGTCATTTCCTTTCTCATGGCATTTACCAAATCTTTCTAATCTAAGTTTATAATCGCGCTGGCCCCGGTACACTGCAGTGTCAGCACACCACAGATGTTGGGGATCCCTAAGGGGGAGGGAAAAATCAAGACATCGGGGGAGGAGAGGTGAACACGTGTACCCACTTTGACAATTCCAAATTAGTAAGTAACCATACACATCTTTTATCTTATATTAACCAGAGTCTTCAGAATATTCCAATAGTGACAAATCAGCAAGGGTGTCATCATCATCACTTAGCACTTCCTGAGCAACACTCTTCAATTCACAGGTTTCCATTCCTCCCTTCCTCATACAGGGAGGTGGTGACCTCAGTTCTGTACTACGTATGGCAGGTTAATTCATCACCACCTGATTTTATGCCTAACAAAATCCAGCTCGTCCCTTCAAGAGGCTGTGCCCATACACTTTGGAAGGTGAAACGAGAGATTCAAAGTCTGACCTTCACTCTTTATACTCTGATAGTGTGAACAAATCAGGCTGGCATCTTCATACTTCGGGTCATGAATGATGTAGTCAAAGGGCAACTTCTTGAACAGCTCCAGGTCTGGCCAGGGGTCGCTAAGCTGGAGATAATGCCAGTCAGATTCTTCTCTGAGGTCTACAAGATTGGTAGAAACATAGATGTGACAAAATAGCAAGTGAAAACCATTTACAGTCATGCGTCGCTGAACAACACAGAATACGTTCTGAGAAATGTGACATCAGGCGATTCTGTCACTGTGCTAACATCCTAGGGTGCACTTACACACCTACACGGCACAGCCTGCTACACACTAGGATATGTGGTGTAGCCTACTGGTCTTGGGCTACAAACCTCTGAGCATGGGTGTCCAATCTTTTGGATTCCCTGGGCCACACTGGAAGAATTGTCTTGGGCCACACATAAAATACACTAACACCAATGATAGCTGTTGAGCTTAAAAAAAAAAAATTGCAAAAAGAAATCTCATAATGTTTTCAGAAAGTTTACAAATGTATGTTGAACCACATTCAAAGCTGTCCTGGGCCACATGCAGCCCGTGGGTTGGACAAGCTTGCTATATAGCACGTTATGGCACTAAATACTGCAGGTAATTGTAACACAATGTGAAGCATTTGTGTATCTTGGCCAGGCGCGGTGGCTCATGCCTGTAATCCCAGTACTTTGGGAGGTCGAGGCAGGTGGATCACCTAGGCTCAGGAGTTTGAGACCAGTCTGGCCAACATGGTGAAACCCCGTATTTACTAAAAATACAAAAATCAGCCAGACATGGTGGTGGGTGTCTGTAATTCCAGCTACTCAGGAGGCTAAGGCAGGAGAATCACTTGAACTCAGGAAGCAGAGGTTGCAGTGAGCCCAGATCTCGCCATTGCACTCCAGCCTGGGTGACAGGAGCAAAAATCCATCTCAAAAAAAAAAAAAAAGAAAAAGGAGAATTTGTGTATCTAAACATGGAAAAGGCATAGGGGAAATATGGTATAAAAAATGTAAAAGGGTGCACTATACCGGGCACCCATTATGCCCGGGGCTTGCAGGACTGGCAGTTGTTTCGGGTGAGTCAGTGGGTAAGCCGTGAGCAAATGTGAAGGCCTGGGACATGGCCGTGCATTACTGGAGACTTTACACTCTCCTCTTAGGATACACTCGATTTATAAATGATATTTTTCTTTCTTCAATAATAAGTTAACCGTAGCTTACTATAATTTTTTTTTAGTTATGCTTTAAGTTCTAGGGTACATGTGCACACGTGCAGGTTTCTTACATATGTATACATGTGCCATGTTGGTGTGCTGCACCCATTAACTCGTCATTTACATTAGGTATATCTCCTAATGCTATCCTTCCCCCATGCCCCCTCCCCACAACAGGCCCTGGTGTGTGATGTTCTCCTTCCTGTGTCCAAGTGTTCTCATGGTTCAATTCCCACCTATGAGTGAGAACATGCGGCGTTTGGTTTTCTGTTCTTGCGATAGTTTGCTGAGAATGATGGTTTCCAGCTGCATCCATGTCCCTACAAAGGACACGAACTCATCCTTTTTTTATGGCTGCATAGTATTCCATGGTGTATATGTGCCACATTTTCTTAATCCAGTCTGTCACTGATGGACATTTGGGTTGATTCCAAGTCTTTGCTATTGTGAATAGTGCCACAATAAACATACATGTGCATGTGTCTTTATAGCAGCATGCTTTATAATCCTTTGGGTATATACCCAGCAATAAGATGGCTGGGTCAAAAGGTATTTCTAGTTCTAGATCCTTGAGGAATTGCCACACTATTTTCCACAATGATTGAACTAGTTTACAGTCCCACCAACAGTGTAAAAGTGTTCCTATTTTTCCACATCCTCTCCAGCACCTGTTGTTTCCTGATTTTTTAATGATCGCCATTCTAACTGGTGTGAGATGGTATTTTATTGTGGTTTTGATAACTTTTTAACTTTATAACCTTAACTCTTTGACTCTTTTGTAATCACACTTAGCTTAAAACAAATACATTGTACAACTGATCAAAAATGTCTTCTTTCTTGATATCCTCATTCCATGAGCTTAATATTTTAATTTTTCTACTTTTATTTGTTTTTTATTGTTTTTGTCATTTTTCTTGAGACAGAGTCTCGCTATGTCACCCAGGCTGGAGTACACTGGCACCATCTCGGCTCACTGCAACCTCCACCTCCTGGGTTTAAGCGACTCTCCTGCCTCAGGCTTCGGAGTAGCTGAAATTACAGGTGCGTGCTAACACATCCGGCTAATTTTTGTACTTTTAGTAGAGACGGGGTTTCACCATGTTCGCCAGGTTGGTCTCAAACTCCCAGCCTTGCCCCACTAGAAGGTCTTTAGGGGCAGTAGTAGTCATGGAGCTGTCATCTCCTATGAGAACAATGCCTTCTTCTGAAGTCTCTCCTGAAGGACCTGCCCAAGGCTGTTCTACAGTTAACTGCTTTTTAATAAGTAGGAGTAGAGTACCATAAAAGTATGGTAAATACATAAACCAGTAACAGCTGCTTATAATTATCAAGTGCTATGTACTGTACATAATTGTATGTGCTAGACTTTTGACAGTACTGGCAGTGCAGGTTTATTTACACCAGAATCGCTACAAACACTTGAGGAATGCCTCTTGCCACAGCGTTCCGATGACTACGATATCACTAGGTGATAGGAATTTTTCAGTTACCCTAGAATCTCATGGGACCAGTGTCACAGATGCAGTCTGTTGACCAAAACATCATTATGTGGTGCACGACTACATTTTAAATGTGCACAAAGGATGATGCTTGGAGTGCAATTGTTGTTGAGTCCGTGGGCTGCTGGGAAACCCCATTGTATCTGCAAGGCTCCTGACACATATTCCATTTTCAGGATTGTTCTAATGAGGCAAGAACGTGGATTCAGAGCTATCTCCATCCAGAGGAACAGCCTTGTGCTGTTTGCTGTGAGAATGGCTTTGCTCTCCTGTCCTAAGTCTGACTTCCACTCCGGCCAGAGTCCTGACCCAGAGGACCTCAGCCCTGTGCTTCACTCCAGCCCGTCTCCCCAGATGACCACACTGGTGGCCAAAGCCAGCAAAACCTGCATAGCTTCCTTTCTTGCCTCTATCTAAATGCTCCCCAGCCAATATGGCTCAGCTCCTGTCACTCCACCTGTAGAAAGGCTCTTGGAGTGCTCCAGCCCAGGGCCTTCTCCCTTCTGGTGCCAACAACACTCGTAGTCCAAACCAGTTTTCCATTTGCCATGTCTCATCTCACATGGTGATCATTGTAGTCTATGGTGCTTACTAAATGTCTGTCAGCTAAAAGGTAGAAAAATCTAGTTGGGCCAACTCAAATTATAAAACATGTTGATTATATTAAATACATGTCCTACTATGGTGCACACATGGGCAGAGTGCATGTCCATAGGAAGGCAGGGGAGAAATGCCTATGAATATTTAATAGGTTTTGGTTAAGCATGGTGGCTCACACCTGTAATCCCAGAACTTTGGGAGGCTGAGGTGGGTGGATCAGTTGAGGTCAGGAGTTCGAGACGAGCCTGGCCAACATGGTGAAACCCTGTCTATACTGAAAATACAAAAATTAGCCGGGCATGGTGGCACATGCCTATAATTCCAGCTACTCCAGAGGCTGAGACAAGAGAATCACTTGAACCTGGGAGGTGGAGGTTGCAGTGAGCCGAGATGCAACCGAGCTAGACTCTGTCTTTAAAAAAAAAAAAAAAAAGGTCTTGGTGCTCTGTGTGTGTCACATTTAATCCCTATAAAACCCTATAAAACAGAAATTATCCCTATTCAACGAAAGAGATAAGATTTAAAGAATGGGCTTTATCATTGAACAAACTGGGTTCAGATTCTGTCTTCATCACTGGTATGTCCAAGAAAGAAAGGAGACAAATTCAGCAGGGCTGCAGACTTCATCTGAAATGTGGTTCCAAACCGTGGGGAAACCTTAGAAAACTCAGAGCCAGGCTGAAGAGCCTCTCCTTTCCTGGGAGGGAAGGCCGAGGGCTGGACCAGTTTCCTTGGCTCCAGATTTTCTCCAAATCAAAACTGAAGCACAGTTGACAGCACCGCACCAAGTGCCCTTCAGCACCGGTGCAGCTGGCTGGCAAGCTCTCCACGACACAGACAGGACTGTCTGACAAGCTCGCTCTCCCAGCACAGCAGACTCATTGACCAGACCAAGTTTATGAGCCCCTGGGAGGAGTGATGATGAGGAAACAGGGGAGGTTATTTTATACGAGCTCAAAAAGAAGCTGATCTTTTTTTTTTTGAGATGAAGTCTCGCTCTGTCGCCCAGGCTGGAGTGCAGTGGCGCGATCTCAGCTCAGTGCAAGCTCCGCCTCCCGGGTTCACGCCATTCTCCTGCCTCAGCCTCCCGAGTAGCTGGGACTACAGCCGCCCGCCACCACACTCGACTAATTTTTTTGTATTTTTAGTAGAGACGGGATTTCACCGTGTTAGCCAGGATGGTCTCGATCTCCTGACTTCGTGACCACCTGCCTCGGCCTCCCAAAGTGCTAGGATTACAGGCGTGAGCCACCGCACCAGGCCAAGAAGCTGATCTTAATCAGGGTAAACTCTGTTCTGGAAACGAGAACAGGATTTTCCCCACATTTCACGTATTTCTATTGTGCCCCAAGACACTGACCTCCCTGCCCAGCTGCCTGAGCAGGAAACCTCCCCTGAGAGGTAAGTCTGCTTTGCAGAGGCAGCAGTCAAATCTAATTCCATCCAGCCCTGCCACTACTCAGCTGGGCTCCCAGGCATGTGATTTATGAGGAGAATGGAACATCTACCTCACACTGGGCCTAGGAAATTAACATGGTAACTTATGCAAAGTATCAAGTTCAGCACTCCACATGCAGAAGGTACTCAGTAAACAGTCATCTACTAATGGTAATTGTATCCCTACAGCAAAGGCCTGATACTGACAAAAATGACTACAAGATAAATAGCACCCCCTATAAGGTCCTTGGGATGAGACTGATCATGAATCTGAGAATTCCATCTAGAAAGTGAAATATAAAATTAGTCACTTGAGAAAGTGATGCAGGTGGTTCCAAGCCCACGTATCCCCAAACAGATAACTCACTGATATTGATCTCCTCCTCGTCATAGACATCCACTTCCGTGAGCCGAACAAGCATCCTGGACAGGACACTGAGGAACTGCAGGTAGGCGCCTGTCTTCCCGATCTGTAAAGGTATGGGAGTTAAAACCCCCAGTGAGGAAGCCCTATCCATGTGCCAGGCACCAGCTGAACACCTGGCATGGCTCCTGCCATCTGCCTCACTTGAAGATCCTGTCTTTAAAATGAGAGCCCCGTGGATGCAAAGATATTTGAAGGGAACAAGCATGGCAGGTGGACAAATGGACTCCCACGAGCATAAGGCCTTCCTGCTTAAATATCGTCGCAAATGCATCTCTAGATTTTAACCAGTCGCATTTTTCAGCTGTTAGAAATAGAATTTCATCATAAGCCGAAGAAAGCTGCTTCCAAAAAATAGGATACTATAAAACATAATGTCTTATGAATCTTGCAAATTGCTTGTCTTAATCCATATGTCTGTACAAGATAGCAAAATTCATTGCATCAGACATTTTTAAAAAGTACTTCTTGTATTTCTCCTTCCAAACCCAGGAAAAGAACGACTTTCTTCTTCCTTCTCCTGCTTCCTGTAACACAGAGTTCCCTGCTTCCCCAGCCAAGCTTCAGGGTAGCATACCTCCTATTAATCTTAGTTCATTTTGGTTATTACTGTTGAGAAGTACTCATGGTCTGGCCCAGTACCCTCCCTGCACCCCTGTATAAAGAGCCACTACAAGCGGGGTGGCTCACACCTGTAATCCCAGCACTTCGGGAGGCCGAGGCGGGTGGATCACGAGGTCAAGAGATCGAGACCATCCTGGCCAACATGGTGAAACCTCGTGTCTACTAAAAATACAAAAATTAGCCGGGCGTGATGGAATCCGCCGGTAGTCCCAGCTACTCAGGAGGCTGAGGCAAGAGAATCGCTTGAACCCGGGAGGCAGAGGCTGCAGTGAGCCGAGATCGTGCCACTGCACTCAAGCCTGGCGACAGAGCAAGACTCTGTCTGAAAAATAACAATAATAATAAATAATAACAATAATAAATAAGAGAGCCACTCCAGGGACATGCTTTCCAAGCACCGAGCCCAACGCCTGGTTCATGCTACAACTCAGCAAATGCCAATGAATGGAAATAACTAAGTTTACAGAGGAAAACATGACACCCAACCACAGGGAAGCTTCAGAGAAAAAATCTGCAATACAGATGATAGACAAAGGACAAAAATCTGTAATATCTAAAGCGCTTCTACAAATCAACAAGAAATGTCAAAGGCCTAAAGCAAAAACAAATAAGAAAAACCAGAAAATCACTGAAAAAGAAATATCAATGACCAGTAAAAATAAAAGAAAATGTCAATCTTACTAGTAAAACTGTAATGTATTATTTTTCACCTATCAAAGAGACAACAATTTTAAATTGATAATATCCAATAGTGTGAGGGTGTGGAAGAAGGGAGACTCCTCGGTAAGAAACATTTTCTTTTGTCCTTTTTAAATCAGAAAAAGTAATATTGTTCATTGCGCAAGTTTAAGACACAAATGGATACTGAACCGCATTCCAACCCCAAAGCCCAGCTCCGTTCTGAAGAGCAGACCTCAGTCCCCAGTCCTCCTCCTCCCCACATGCTCACGCCCAGGAGATTCTGCCATTGAGAGGTGAAATGGACTTTCGCTATTAAGGAAACACCATGCACTAGGGGAGAGCTGCGACGGGGAAACAGAACCCCCAGTTCTCCGTCCATGGTTCACCAAAACCTTCCAGTGGAGAACCCAGAGTTTTGTTTCTATTTGTTAGAGAACATGCGCAGTGGCCGAGTGAGATGACGTGGGGTGAGGAACCGTAGTCTGATACACCCAGAGAGGTCTCCCATCCACCCCCAACATCACACAGGAAGGAATGGAAGCCACCAGCCCTGAGTGGCAGATGAGTCCCGCCCTCCTCCCTCTGGTCCACTCCAGGCCATTAGAGAAGATTCCATCATGGGAAGCGTGAAAAGTGAAGACGCGGGTGCGGTCACCCCCATGCCTGCCCTCCAGATGGGAGTGCGAGGACCCCCCAGTCCGGGGCTGTGCTGGGGCAGCGAGCAACACCCACCTGAGGGGGGCCGCTGAGCAGCAGCCTGCGGGGGTGGAAGCCATCCACGCGGCCCTCGGCCCGGTTGCCATAGTCCATGTGGCTGGGCCGGGGCACCGTCCACTGCCGGTAGTAGAGGGACTGCTCAGTGGACGTCATGGTCTTGCTGAGCAGGGGGCGGAAAGAGCTGGCCCACATGACTGAGGGGGAGGGCAGCAGGGAGGCAGCCTTGGGCAGGCCGCTGCTGTCAGTGGACACGACCATGTCGTACACGAGCTTGGGCAAGAAGACGACGGGCGGCTGGCGACAGGCCTTGGTCAAGGAGCACTGGGAGGCCTGCAGGACCCACGTGCCGGCAGCAGGCGCCACGGATGAGGAGGACGAGCCCGAGGAGGAGGACAGCTGGGAGCACGACGAGGTGACCGACACCTGGACGCTCCTCTGGCTGGTCTTGAGACTGCAGTCAGGCTGGGGTGTCAGCCCAGGACTGTGCCTGCTGATGGCCGACGGTGGCCCCTGACTTGCCCGGGGCCTCTGTTTCTCACCAGGGGCTCTGCCCTCCTCTGTGGGGCCACAGGGCTGGGGCGACCTGGCATGCTCTCCCTGGGGGAGCCCTGTGGGCTGAGCCGAGGACTCACCACCGAGCGCTGAACCTGCGGAGAGATGAACCTGGTCAGGGACGTCCTAGAAGGTACCTGTCCCAGGAGTGACCAATCCCAGGAGTGACCTGTCCCAGGAGTGGCCCATCCTAGGAGTGACCTGTCCCAGGAGTGGCCCATCTCAGGGGCGACTCGTCCCAGGAGTGGCCCATCTCAGGGGCGACTCGTCCCAGGAGTGGCCCATCCCAGGAGTGACCTGTCCCAGGAGTGGCCCATCTCAGGGGCGACTCGTCCCAGGAGTGGCCCATCTCAGGGGCGACTCGTCCCAGGAGTGAGCTGTCCCAGAGCTTGCCGGTGGCTCCTGTTTCTGCCCCAGGGCTGCTGTACTTGTGTTTCAGGCAAACAGACCCAGTGCTTGCGGCGCTGGCTTTTCTGACTGAGCTCCGGCCTATGAGGCAGGGCTTCTTTCGGTCTCCGAGCTCTGGGCTGAGGGTGAAGAGGCTCAGTGCTGACTCCATCAGGGGTGTCTGGGAGCACAGGCGCAGGAGATGAGGGAAAAAGAAGATGCCCTCAGCCAGTCTCCTGGTGGGCTCTGACCTCTGACCTTTCCCCATCCCAGATCAAACAGCAGCGACTCTCAGCCGCTCCCCCAGCCACAGCTAGGTGCCTCCCTGCCTCCCGCAATGGGGGCCTGCGGCCACCGCACCTGTCCCTGCACCCAGGCCCCGTGCGTCTCGCCCCTGAGCCTCTCAGCCCTTAAGGCTTCCTCCATTTATAACACCTTCTGCAAGGCCTGGTTGGGGGTCAGCTGCTCTCTCAAACCTGTGGTAACCTCCCCTACCCTGAAATCTGCCCTCTGCCTTGGGACAAAAGTACAGACTTCCTCATATGTGAAGTGAAAATGTGTGCGAAAAACGACTGCAAAATAACACGTCTTTTATGAGAACGATGAGTTCGTTCTTTGAGGTCAAGTCTACATCTCATTTATCCTCAGGGCTGATCCAGATAGCAAGGAGGCCCTCATAATGCTTGTGGCGGGAAGACGGGACACTCTTTCATGTTCATGGTCCTGACCGCTCTCGCAGACAGACGGACCCCTTAGGGCAGAGACCGTGTAAAGCCTGTGATTGGCACTGCCCACTTCCTGTGGCTCTGGTTACATGGAGGGCTCATGAGCTTGTATTGCCTTTTGTTGCTCTTCCCCCAGTGAAGTCTCCGTGTCTATTTCTCTCCTTGTGCTCAGCTGCTCTCTCCACAGGGCACGGGGTTTTCCCAAACTAACAGCAGCAGGGAGAACACCCGGGGACTCGCCCCTAACATGGCCAGACTCAGCCTGAGGCCCCAGCCACAGTGAGGGGCAGCGTCCATGGTCTTCACCTGAGGACAGGGGCAGCGGAACCCTACAGTCTTGCTCAGTCTTCAAGTTCTCCGATCCCAAGTTCACCAGAACATTTACTCTCTAGAGTCCAGTGCTTCAAAGATTTCCTTATCTTTCCAGTTCTGATGGAAAATAAAGGATCAGCAAATAGCCCTATATATGTTTCTTTTCATTCTCTGAAACCTCAAAAACCAGTTCGCTGATCTGGTCCTTCCCGCGTGGGAAGACTCACCGGACGCCTTGGAGGAGAGCGACGAGGATGCTGAGTCGTGGGAGTGGGACCTCTCCCTTTTCATGGGGCTTCTCTTCTCCAAGGTGGAGCCTGTTTCAAAACACACAGGCTGAGAATGCACCGAAATAACCATCCCTGACATTTGCCCAGCACTTCGCAGTGTGTAAAGTGTGTTCCCATGATCACCTCTCCCCAGCCATTCACTCATTCACTGCCATCTTCCAGGCCCCCACCACGGACAGGGCACTGAGGAGACAGGAGTGGGCTGCGGTGCAGGGAGGCACTCTGGGTGCAGCGAAGGCCCCTGCCCATGAGGCACAGCTGCAAGCTGGTGGAGGAGATGAAAAAAAGAGGGGTCAGGGAGCCTGCAGGAAAAGCAGGGCATCTCCTGGAAGAGGTGGCAGCTGGCCTTCGTCCTGGAGGGCCACAGGGCTTTCCAGGTAAAGCAGAGAAAGGAAAACTCCAAGCAGCAGGAAGGGCAGCCGTGCAGCGCAGAGGCCAGGAGGGCAGAGCACAGCCCAGCCACTGCAAGTTTAATGCAGGCCAGTGCGCAGTGCAGTGGGGGCTGTGGGTAGAGAGGAGCAGATGGTGAAACTAAAGAAGGGGATCCTGAGACGCTAGGGAGCATGGAGATGTGCAGCAGATACCCACAAGTGAAAGAATTAAATCAGAGTCCCTGTTGTGCTTCGAAAAGATGGCTACAGGCGGGCAGGTCCTTGCATCTGCATTTTACAGACGAGCAAGCTGAGGCTAGCAGAGGTCCCATAGTCAAGACAGAGGAGGGAGACCACAGACCTAGTCTAGTGCCCACACCCACCTCCTTCCCCTCTACACACTCCATAAATGCTTTCCAGTTTTTGTATGATTGTCTACATATTTCTCATCACATTGTTGACTACAGTCAATGCCTTGTGATGTTATCATTTACGTGTCCTATTAAAAAGATGGCATCGGATTTGAAGAGTCTGCAAATGAACCTGTTTTCATAAATCTTAAGAATGGACAGCATACTGTTGGGTTGATGCACAGAGGAAATAAGCAAGCAAATCACACCAGGTCAGAATTCCACCAGTGAGTGGAACGAGGAACTCTTAAGAAATTTTGAACTTGAACTCTAAAAAAATCTTAATTTTTCTTCCTACTCTTTAAGAATTCTGGAACTAGGAAGAACCTCTATAGGGATTTCCATTTTCTCACACCACCAAAAGAGACGGGGAGAAAACAAGCAAAATCTGAATTCAAGGAGAGCTCTGCCGTTTCATCCAACACTGGAAACCTCCCATCCAGAGCTGCTGTCCAGCAGAGAGGCCCCAGGACCTGCTGAACTGGAGACGGCTGTCTCCATAAGCACAGGCAGCCTCAAAGCTCAGAAGCCAAGAAAGACGTGCGGACATGGACACCTAGGCTGAGGGCAGCCACCCCTCACCTTCTGTCCCCAGCTCCTCATCCTCGTTGTCTGTGCTGCTCAGCTTCTCTGCATCACTTTCCAAGGCCTCGTTCCTAGCCCCCTTCTCCAAGGGAACCTCGTTGCTCACAAAGTAGGCAGCCAGGCCCAGCTCCTGCTCCAAGGCTGTTCTCACCAAGCAGGATGAGTTTATCAATCGCAGGTCACAGTACCTCAAAGACCTAGCAAGACACAGAAGAGAGTGTCTGTTTAGCGCCTTCCACAAGTGGGGTGCTGTTCCCACTGCTATAGGCAGCACTGATCAGGACCATGCCCCACCTTCCTGGTGAGGACCCAGGGACTCGAACAAGTGGAAAAGCCAACAGTGTTACTGGCAGCTTGCAGCAACAAATTCAGTATAATAGTAAATCTTTGGGGACACCCACTGTGCACTTAGCCCTGTGCTGCATTAACTTTTGGGCCAGATAAAAAAGGGGCTTGAACCTGAGCTCTGCTATAAGGCTCTGATTTTTTCATCTGAAAGATGGGAATAAATATTAATAACCATCTGGCTGGGCGCGGTGGCTCACGCCTGTAATCCCCGCACTTTGGGAGGCCAAGGTGGGCCGATCACTGGAGGTCAGAAGTTCGAGACCACCTAACCAACATGGCAAAACCCCATCTCTACTAAAAATAGAAAAATTAGCCAGTTGTGGAGGCGGGTGCCTGTAATCCCAGCTACTCGGGAGGCTGAGGCAGGAGAATCACTTGAACCCAGGAGGCGGAGGCTGCAGTGGAGTTGAGATTGCGCCACTGTACTCCAGCCTGGGCAACAGAGTGAGACTCCATCTCAAAAAAATAAAGATAAAAATAAAAAATATCTAAGTCCACTGTGATAAAGATTAAATGTAATCAGTGGGCATTTAATTATTCAATCCAAGTGAACACATGCCAGGGTACTAGATGCTAGAAATACGATGGCAATCAAGTCGGACACCAACAGGCAATGCTACCTGTGAGCAGGAGAGGAAAGGCCAACCCCATGCTCAGACTCGCGCAGCAGAAACACAACCACGGCAAAGGGTTTAGAGAGGGGTGCGTGAGGGTTCCAATGGGGCTCTGAAACTTACTGCTCACGTGACCTCAGGCAAATGATCGTTCATTGACTCAACCATAAAACAGGATAGTGACACTTCTGCAGCAAGGAGTAAGTTTTATATGAAAAGTCTATCATGACGCCTGGTACAAAGAAGGTACCAGAAGGTGCCTGGTATAAAGAAGGTTACAGAAGGTGCCTGGTACTCAGCAAATGCTTGCTAAAATTTAAAACAGATTAAGACATTGTCTCAGTCCTTAAGGAGTTGAAGAAGAAAAGAATTAATCCATGTGAAATAACAACCACCAAGGTCAAATGTTCTGGAGCCCCCCTTCCCCTGGCCCATGAGTACGCAGCATGCAGAGGGCTGTTTGCTGAAGTGTAGGGTGGTCCTGGGGGAAGAAGCCAGGCCCACTGCCAGCCAGACTGGCTTAATCTCAGTAGGCCTCAGTTTCTTCATCTGTAAAATGGGACTACTGAAATAGCACCTCTCCCCCAGGGTTAAGGTGAGAGTAAAATGAAATAAAACATAAAAGAAGAATCTAGGACAGTGCCCAGAACATACAGGAATTCCACTGATGTCGGCTTTTACTATCTGTGGCCGGCCGTCTGCTCTTCTCCGTGGGTATGAAGTCTCTAAAACCCAATCTGTCACTACCAATCCACGAAACCGCCGTACAGGAAGCCCAGTGACCTGAGTCTCGAGTGTCTGCATGTCTGTGTGGTGGCCTAGAGACCTTCCCCCAGGGGACATCGAGTGGATGTGTGGCTGTGACTTTCCAGGCTGTGATGGCTTCGGAGGCACACACCTTCTGAGACAGTCCACTCTGTGCCGGAAGAATCAGCTCTTCCCAAGCAGCGTCAGTTGCCCCTACTCCTAGAACACCTCCTAAGCCAGGAGGGCCCAGGCATTGCGGCGGCCTAGGTACCAACAGGAACTGTAGCCACAAGTCCTGGAGCGGATGCCTTACTGTCCCAAGCAGAACTGCCATTCCCAGCACACACAGAGCGCCCCATGGGGAGAAACTGAACTCAGGAGGCTTTAAATCCTGACTCCAGCTGTAGGGCCTCCACTCACAGAGCCCGGCAACAGCCATTACCATGAGCCCAAACAGTGCCTTTCTGAGAATCAGGAAAAGGGGCACCGGCTTTAGACGCACTCAGGCCCCTGCTGGGAAAGCCACGATGAAGGTCCCACCCACGGTGCCTGTGAATGCGAGTGGTGCTGCCTGCCGTCAGGGCATGGCAGTCCCCCTGACGTGCTCCCTGAGGGGGCCCAGGCAGCCAGCTCCTCAGAGAACCCCAGGGGCATAACCCCTCCACTCACCTCGGCAAGGACTCCCCGTGCGGGTCCATCCCACTGAAGATCAGGATGCAAGGCAGACCCTCCAGCTCCAAGTAAGTCTGGGGTCTCCACTCCACATCCTCAATTTTCTGCCACATCTGCAGATAATGAAAAAGAAACAAAGCCACAGACACCTCCCTTCCCAACCAGCCCAGCTCAGAGGAACCCTGATGGCCTCCTATACCAATTTAAACTCCTCGAACTACATCTTCTAACCAAAAGGAAATTTCTTTAGACTGCAAATAAGCACACCATGAAAGATGGGAATTTTCAGTCGTCTAGAACATGTAGACTAGTCAGCCAGAGGGTGTCCAAGACATCTCTGTCAGCTGACCAGCTGCGTAAAAGAACGTCTGTGTTGTCAGCTGCTCCTTACGTCTTTTTTTTTTTTTTTTTTGAGGCAGAGTCTCACCCAGTCACCCAGGTTGGAGTGCAGTGGTGCAATCTCAGCTCACTGCAACCTCCACCTCCAGGGATCAAGTGATTCTCCTGCCTCAGCCTCCCGAGTAGCTGGGACTACAGGTGCATGCCACCCCATCTAGCTAATTGTTGTATTTTTAGTAGAGACAGGGTTTCTCCACGTTGGCCAGGCATATCTCAAACTCCTGACCTCAGGTGATCCGCCCGCCTTGGCCTCCTAAAGTGTTGGGATTACAGGCGTGAGCCACCGCGCCCAGCCAGCTGTTCATATCTTGCCTGTGTTCTCTCCTGACAGTGTCCTCCCTTTCATTCCTGTTTGCCACTCATGTGTTCTTTCCCTAACCCTTTTGCACTTTCTGTCACCTGCGGGTTAAGTGAGAACCTACTATGGGTCAGGCGCTGTGCTAGGCTTTGGGGGGCTGAGTTCTGTGGGGATGGCCCTCACCCCCCTCCATCCGGGAGGGGGGCTGGATGACAGGCAGGGAACATGGCACTGCCCTGGGCATGGTGGAGGGAGAGAGTGGCTTCCTGAAAGAGGAAAGACACCAAGCTAAGTGCTGCAGAAAATAAGCAGGGCAGCTCACACCTGGAACCCAGCACTTTGGGAGGCTGAGGCAGGAGGATCGCTTGAACTCAGGAGTTTGAGATCAGCCGGGGCAACATAATGAGACCTTGTTTCTCCTAAAAATTTTAAAAATTAGTCAAGTGTGGTGGCACACGCCAGTGGTTCCAGCTACTCAAGAGCCTGAGGTGGGAGGATCCCTGGAGCCCAGGAGCTCAAGGCTGCAGCGAGCTGTGATCGCGCCACCACACTCCAGCCTGGGTCACAGAGTAAGACCCTGTCTCAAAGGGGAAAATAAAGAAGCATCAGCTAAACAAAGAAGAGAGGAAATGGATCGCCAGGAAAAAAGAAAGCAGGCTGCTGCCCAGAGGCCTAAAGTCATAAGGCAACGCTACAGGGGTGTGGGGGTGCTGCTGGGGCGGAGAGCAGGGGTGGGGAATCACAGAGAGGAGGCTGGGGGGTGGCTGGGTCTAGGCAAGCCACGCTGGCCACGCTGTGGGGTTTGTGCCACTTGCTGCCTCTGGTGGGCCCCTCAGCTCTCCCAGGTACCCCCAGGCCCTCTGCCCCCCGCCGCGCACAGCACCTACCCTGAGCTGCTTTACGAAGTGCTTCCCCACGGTGACGCCCGAGCTGGGACTGCCCAGGATGATCTCGAAGTGCTCCTCCAGCGCCAGCCGGGCCCGCACGTGGGCCAGCCGCTCATAGGCCACGGCTGCCAGGGGCGAACAGGGCACCCGCAGCAGGACCATGAGCCCGTGGCCACAGGGGCACTGCTTCGGGGAGTTGAGGAGGTTCTGCGTGATCTCCAGCGTCTCCACCGACGTGTAGTTCTTCATCTGCGGGAGGCCGCTCACGGCCATCAGGGCGGCCGCGTAGTGCTGCACGAGAACAAAGGTCCTGATCACCGCGCTGTGCAGGCGGGGGAACCTGCAAGGAACACAGAGAGACCATGCCTGTGACGGCTGCGCCCGCCGGCCTGCTGCTGCCAAGTCACCCAAGACATCCGTCACTCTGGCACAGGCAATTCCTGCATTACACACAGTTGTGCTGCCTTTAGAAGGTGGTTGTGGGAACCTGAATGAGAAGCCTTCTTTAGAAACCAAACTATACAGTCCTTTTTTTTCCAGCTGGGAAACAAAAACATAGGTTTGTTGTTATTGTTTTATGTTTTTCAGCATTTGGCACTTAGTAGCTGCTCAATAAATATCTGTCCGATGAATGAGCTGATGACTAAATGGTATAAATGCCTATTTTGTCTCTATCAGCATAATGTGCAGTTCTCTGAGGAGGTGGCTAAGTTGCCCCAGGTTCCTACTAGAAACAGGAGAACCACCAGCAATCAATATGGAAATGCAGCTACCAGAGGCCCTAGTTCTAAAGGCACATCTCTGTGTTCACTTCGATCACAGTGAATTATTAGAAATATAACTAAACATATTTTAATGTGACAGATGAATTACAAATCAGAACTTATCCAGCCAAATCAAGAATCCCAGTTTTTGCTTTAGAAACTGTGGTTACTATATGTGTCCCCACACGAAGGTGGTGGCTGCTCCCACAACCACCTGCTCTCCTAGAGTGGCTCTGACCCATTAGTCAAACAGACCCCAGGGCACCAATGGAAAAGCCCAGGCCCCTGTAGATGATGGTGTTTCTCAACGGGAATAAATAAAGTGGTATCCAGTTTATGCACAATGTTCTTCTGGGTTGATTGAGCTGGAATGGATCCCCCTAACTCTGGCTTTTTGTAGCAAAGGTAAGGTAGTTTCTCAACCTACAGAAATGAGTACCACTCCGTGGCCATGCCACCCTGTGAGTTCTATCAGGGCGGCCAGCTCGCCTTCCTACAGCACCTGATAGCATTTCTGACATTGCGATGACATCCCTGGCTCCTGCTTCCTGACCATCCTCCTCCTTTTCTTCATGCTTCCTTCAGCACTTCATCCACTATGCAGGTCACATAAGCTGGAAGCCGGCCTGGCAAGCTTCCCATTACAAGTGCCATCTCAGGAAGGCATAACTGGTCCACAGACTCTGGCATGAAGGGGACTCAGCAGCCCACAGACTGCTCTACCTACCCCTGGTGCACCGGTCAAATAATGCCCAGGAAACGGACTGCCTGAGTTCAGGAGTTTGAGGCCACCCTGGCCAACATGATAAAACCCTGCCTCTACTAAAAATACAAAAATTAGTCGGGCATGGTGGCACATGCCTGTAATCTCAGCTACTTGGGAGGCTGAGGCAGGAGAATTGCTTGAACTCGGGAGGTGGAGGTTGCAGCAAGCCAAGCTCATGATCACCACTGCACTCCGGCCTGGGCCACAGAGCGAGACTCCATCTCAAAATAAATAAATATACATAAATAAATAAAAATAAATAAATAATAATGCTGCCCGGGAAGAAAGAAAGAAAGTGCAGTAGGAAAAATGGGCTCTGCTCAAAGGACAGAGGCTTCCGCTTCTGACAAGATGGAACAACGGGATCAGATTTCTCCTCCCATCTGAAACAGCTGAAAAACTGAACACATAAGTGAAACAACTGCATTTCAATACATGAAACATCAGGCAGTGAAAGACAGTGATCCTAACGATGTGAGACAAATCAGATGAGCCCCCCAGCTTCTGCCTACAGTTTCTGGGATGTATTCAGGAAAAGGGAAGCCAGCGAAGCTCGGTGGTCTCCCTGAGTTGAGGAGAGGTATTGAATTCCAGGAAAACCAAGGCAGCTAGAGATCACAGGGCAAAGTACCAAAGAGGAGAGGTCTGCAGAGGGTCTCCCTAAAGTCTTCAGCTGACATGAGCAGTGCACATATGTCAGGAAACCACCCAAGGCCAAAACAAGAATCCTTTGGTTGCAAAAGAATAAAGGGAACAATGTCTCAAGTTCATGTAGAGCTGGGAATAGTTCCTGTTTCCACAGCCAATATGGAACACCTCCGAGTCATGAAACATTACAGAGTACTTAAAGAATTGTGTCTCAGTAACTTTTGGCAAAGTTAGCCCTACATTAAATACTGCTCTGGTCCTGCCTAACAAAGTTTAAAACCAGGACCTGGAAGATTAAACTGTGTCCAAGTAACTTAGTTGTATCTCCCCACCAAAAAAACTCAGTATTTATAGACATACAAATATATCTAGCACCCAACAAGGTAAAATTGATGTCATTTTTTGATGATGAAATTGATGAGATGCCAATGTCTGGCATTCTCTCAAAAGTTACCAGATATGTAAATAAGAAGGCAAATATGATCCATAATTGTAGGGAAAAGAAACAGAGATCAGACTATTATTGTGTCTATGTAGAAAAGGAAGACATAAGGAACTCCATTTTGACCTGTATCCTGAACAATTGCTTTGCCCTGAGATGCTGTTAATCTGTAACTCTGCCCCAACCTTGAGCTCACAAAAACATGTGTTGTATGGAATCAAGGTTTAAGGGATCTAGAGCTGCACAGGATGTGCCTTGTTAACAAAATATGTACAAGCAGTATGCTTGGTAAAAGTCATTGCCATTCTCCAGTCTCAATAAACCAGGGCACAATGCACTGCGGAAAGCCGCAGGGACCTCTGCCCTGGAAAGCCGGGTATTATCCAGGGTTTCTCCCCGTGTGATAGTCTGAAATATGGCCTCATGGGATGGGAAGGACCTGACCGTCCCCCAGCCTAACACCTGTGAAGGGTCTGTGCTGAGGAGGATTAGTAAAAGGGGAAGGCCTCTTGCAGTTGAGATAAGAGGAAGGCCTCTGTCTCCTGCCTGCCCCTGGGAACTGAATGTCTCGGTATAAAACCCAATTGTACATTTGTTCGTTTCTGAGATAGGAGAAAAACCGCCCTGTGGCGGGAGGCGAGGCGTGTTGGCAGCAATGCTGCTTTGTTATTCTTTACTCCACGGAGATGTTTGGGTGGAGAGAAGCATAAATCTGGCCTGCGTGCACATGCAGGTAGAGTACCTTCCCTCGAACTTATTTGTGACACAGATTCCTTTGCTCACGTTTTCTTGCTGACCTTCTCCCCACTATCTACCTGCTCTCCTACCACATTCCTCTTGCTGAGATAGTGAAAATCGTAATCAATAAAGACTTAGGGAACTCAGAGACCGGTGCTGGTGCAGGTCCTCCGTATGCTGAGTGCCGGTTCCCTGGGCCCACTGTTCTTTCTCTATACTTTGTCTCTGTGTCTTATTTCTTTTCTCAGTCTCTCATCCCACCTGATGAGAAATACCCACAGGTGTGGAGGGGCTGGCCCCCTTCAATAATAAAGGGGGGGGAACAAATTGATTAATAGAAAGTGACCCAGGAATGACACAGATGACAGAATCTACAGACAGCAAAATTAAAACAATTATTGTAACTATATTCTGTATGGTTAAAAATCTAGAGGAAAGACTGAACTTGTTGAGTAGAGATATAAAAATCACAAATTAAATTCTAGAGATGAAATCTTCAATGTTGTAGATAGAAAATAAACTAGACCCTGAATTCTCATGGAAGCTATGATCTTTGTACGTGACCTTGCCCTGCCAGCCACAACAGACTTGTTCAGGTATGAAAACCCAACTCAGGCTGAGCCAGTCTTCTCTTGGAATTTTTCAAACTATAACAAAGAATAAGTTCCCCACTGGAATCTGGAGACCGTGAGGCTCAGCACCAAGCAGTGGTAATGTTTTTCAGTGCATGGAGGAAGGCATTGTGCAGTGAGATACAATATGACCATCATACAGATACCAAAGACAAAACAACAGTCTTGGCAGTGTTTGAATACTTAAGTTGTTAGGTATCTCTGCTGTTCTATGGTTTATTTGTTCAACCTTTCCTATTATTTTGTGAGTCAGTACATCCCTCTCTTTTTCTTAAAAGAGTTCAAGTTGAGTTTCTGTTACGTGCAACAAAGAGTTCTGATTAATAAACACAATAACAATGTATCATCAATGTGTATGTACATCAATGCATGTGACACCTGAAATTGTCTTTTTTCTCTTAGAAATCTTGTTATAAAACTGTGCTTTTGTAAGATAAATACACACACACACACACATACTGGATGAAATTGGCAGCAGATTAGATAACATAGAAAATAAGACTCATAAACTTGAAAACACAGCAATAGAAACTAAAATATTCCAGCACTTTGGGAGGCCAAGGCAGAAGAATCACTTGAGGCAAGGAGTTCAAGACCTTGGCAATAGAGCAAGAAAAATTTTCAAAAATTGGCCAGGCATGGTGGCATGCACCTGTAGTCCCAGCTATTTGGGAGGCTGAGATGCGGGGATGGCTTGAGCCCAGGAGTTTGAGGTTACAATGAGCTATGATCATGCCACCACACTTCAGCCTGGGCAACAGCCCTAAAAGATTCTTTCTTTACAAAATAATAATAGGCCAGGCATGGTGGCTCACATCTGTAATTCCAGCACTTTGGGAGGCCGAGGCGGGCAGATCACAAGATCAGGAGATCGAGACCATCCTGGCCAACATGTTAAAACCCTGTCTCTACTAAAAATACAAAAATTAGCTGGGCACGATGGTGTGTGCCTGTAATCCCAGCTACTCAGGAGGCTGAGGCAGGAGAATCGCTTGAATCTGAGAGGTGGAGGTTGCAGTGAGCCAAGATCGTGCCACTGCACTCCAGCCTGGCAACAGAGTGAGACTCCGTCTCAAATAATAATAATTATAATAATGAAACTAAAATCAAATAGCAATCAATTAAAAGGCAGAGATTGTCACATGTGATAAAAAAGTAAGACTCAACTATAAGCTGCCTACAAGAAACCAAGTTTAAACACAAAAAGAGAAACATGCTCAAAGTAAAAGGATAAAAAATTATAATCTATAGTAACACCAGTCAAAAGAAAACTAGAATAATTATATTAATATCAGAAGAGATTATAGAGCTATAAATAATATTCTTTGGGTCATCTGAAAATAATAAAGGAGTCAACTTATCAACAGACACTTCACCAAAGATGATACACAAATGGCAGATAAACATAGGAAAAGATGTTCAACATCATTAGTCACTGGAGAAATTAAAATTAAAATTACGAGCTACAGCTTCACACCTATTAGAAAGAATAAAATTTAAAATACAGACCATACCAAGTGCTGACAAAGATGTAAAGCAACTGAAATTCTGATGGGAATGTAAAATGAACCACAGTTGACCCTTGAAAAACATGGGTTTGACAACTGCAAGGGTCCACTTGTACAATGGATTTTAAACCAAATGCAAATCAAAAATACAGTATTTTCTAGATGTGAAAACCATGGACATGGAAAACTGACTTTTGCTTACATGTGGGTTCCAGAGGGCTGACCATGGGACTTGAGTATGCATGGATTTTGGTATGTAGGGGACAGTTCTGGAATTAACCCTCCATGTATACCAAGGGACAGCTATGCTTTGGAAAACAATTTGGCAGCTTGTTAAAAAGTTAAACATACACCTATCAAGTAACCCAGCCATTTCACAACTAGGTGTTTACCCAGGGAAAGTGAAAGAATATGTCTATACAAAGCTTTGTACATGAATATTCATAGCACCTTTATCTGTAACAGCCAAAACTGAAAAACAACCTAGATGCCTCTTAACCAGTAAAAAAACAAACTAGTATGGCCATACAATAGTATTCTATTCTAGAACACCAGCAGTGAAAAGGAACAACCTATTGATACATAAAAGAACATGGATGAATTTCAATATAATTATACAGAGTGAAAGATGCCAGGCCAAAAACAGAGTACATATTGTACAATTCCATTTATATAAAACTCTAGAAAATGCAAACTACTACAGTGGGAAAAGGACAGGAGGAAGGAATTACAAAGGGGCAGGAGAAAACTTTTTTTCGTTATCTTGTGGTGACCATTTTACCAGTCTATACATGGATCAAAATGTGAACTGAATACTTTAAATATACATAGCTGGGCGTGGTGGCTCACGCCTATAATCCCAGAACTTTGTGAGGCTGAGGTGGGTGGATCAAGAAGTCAGGAGTTCAAGACCAGCCTGACCATCATGGTGAAAATCCATCTCTACTAAAAATACAAAAATTAGCCAGCTGTGGTGGCAGGCGCCTGTAATCCCAGCTACTTGGGAGGCTGAGGCAGGAGAATTGCTTGAACCCAGGAGGCAGAGGTTGCAGTGAGCTGAGACTACACCACTGCACTCCAGCCTGGGCGACAGAGTGAGATTGTGTCCTCCAAAAAAGAAAAAAGAAAAAGAAAAGAAAAGATGTATGGTCTACTGGCTGTCAGTTATTCCCCACTAAAGCTGCCATGTTAAAAAAAAAAAAAAAAGATAAGCATTGGAAGGAGGCTCTGGTGCCCAGCTCCAGACAGCACCCCCAGGTAGGGCACAGAAATGTACCTTAGCCGTGGCTCAGCAGAGAACTACGCCCACCCTTAAGCCTCTGTGGTGGGTACTGAAGGAAAGAGTTTCCATAGACAATACATTAGAACAAAAATAGGAGTTGTCAAAGGTCTAGATCTTTTGGTTTTAAGTTATAGTAGGTTTGTGTCCAACTGACAGTCCTATAAGCAGTTTTCCCAGCCGTATGCTGGCGTTTATGACACATGGAGGACTAACAGTCTGGCCACACATACGGTGGCAAGAGGCAGTAACCCCATGTTCTAACCTTTATCTCCTTCTGTTCAAATTACCAGTTTCAAGGGCATTCTCCAGACAAATGATTCCTAGTGAAGGCAGTACGGTATGGTGGAAAGATGTTGAACCTGTCTGCAGTCCATGTTGCCACCAACAGGCTGCATGAGCTCGGGCAAATCACGGTCCCACTCCGGGCTTCAGTTCCCACAATGATAAAATGAGGTGATTGGGTCAAATAATTCCTAGAAGTTCCTGTGATTCTCCATACTTCAACATTCCAGGGTTTGAGAGTCTCTTCTCACCCAGTGAGATGTAAGATTGAATCTCTGCAATGCTTCTAGTTTAGCAGAGGGGGAGGGAGAAGACAGGAGGATGATGGTGACAGTGGTGGAGGTGGTGGTGCTCGCAGCCAACAGGAGCATGTAATGGCCCTGTTTCCAGTGCTTTACGTGTATGAATCCATTTAATCCTTACAGTATCTCTATGATGTAGGTGTTATCATCCCCAAAGAAAATGGAGAAACTCTCAAAGTCTCACAGCTGGTTAATGGCAGATTCAGGATTCAAACCCAGGAAGGATGATTTTGGAGCCTGAGCTCTCAGCATGCAACTGTTACTGAATGTGCGTACGTACATTATCTCAGGAAATTCTAAGAAGCCACTAGGAGGGTGGGTTTGTTCTACAGTTGAGGGTACAGAAGTTTAGGCAGGTTAGATGATTTGCCAAGGTTAAAACTAACAGAGGGCAAACCAAGATGTACTGGCATGGTGGTCACAGCCTATGCTTCACTAGCTGTGAGCTTTTGGTCAGTATGGCTTGGTGGCTACGTGGGTTTGGAGCCAAGGAAGCAGGGCTGGGGTCCAGTTTCACTATAAACCCCCCATGTGACTTTGGACAAGTGGCCTAACTTCTCTAAGTCTCAGTTTCTTCATCTGAAAAAGGGCGATAACAGTATTTCCTATCTCACTGTGTCACTGTGAGGATTATTTTAGGTAATAAATATAGAGCACTGAGCCCAGTGTCTACAACATACTAAACACATCACGTGTGCTCACCGCCTGAGGAGAAGCAGAGGAAGGGCAAAGGCCAGTTTTCTTGCCTCTGAAATCTTGGAGGGCTACTTCATGCAGCAAGTTGATGAGAGCTCAGCTGTCGACCCACGCGCTGGAGAACTGACCTGATTAATTTCTGTCAGTATCATAGAACTGAATAGTATCTAAGATATTTAATTTCTCCAAGAGTGTTCTGGGAAATTCTAGTCCCATGAGCTACTGGACACATCTCTAGCCTTCTGGAGAATTATAGCATGCATGGATGTGCTGAAGGCTCCAAGAACTCTCGTGGAAAAGAAGTCCTTTCCTTAAATGTTTCTCAGACACGTTTGACCATGGAACCCCTTTACGCTTAGCAACTATTAGTATCCAGCCAAAGCAGTATACCTTGGAACATAGCTTGAGAAGGATATGTCTAATTTCATCCCTTGTCCGCAAATGAGAAGATTGAGGTTCAATAAGAAAAGCAGGTAGAGACCAGCTCATGCTGACAATCAGTGGTATTTTGTTCAGTGGCATTTTCCTTTGCATTAGATCGTCTATAAAACTTGGCCTGGCTTTACCACGAATAAACCATGTAGTACCTGGCAATCACTTAGCCTGTCTGAGCCTCAGTTTCATCTATAAAATGAGGTCTGTTGCAACAGGGTTAACAGGGCTGGCTGTGCAGTCAGAGTGACTCTGGGTTCTCACCCAGTTCTGTCACTTGCTAGACACGTGGCCTGAGAAAGCTATGGGGCCTCTCCAAGCCTCAGCATCTTCATTTGCAAAGTATGGATAACAGTAGCAACTGGCTGAGAGAGGCAGTGAGGATCAAATCAGATGATGACAGTAAAGTCCACGGAAGAGTCAACAACACAAAATAAACATTCAATAAATGATACGCATCAGAAATAAAAACAAAGCAGACTGTGATCATCAATGCAGTTTCTTTTAAAACTTTGTTATCTTCCTCCCATTTTCCCACCCTCCATTGGTTCGAAAACATCATTCCACATTCCAGCATATTTCTGCTCACTGTCCTCTCTAAAATTTTCTAGAGCAACAGCATGACAAAGATATCACTGACCCAAAGGGATTCAAACACAGGAGAAGCAAAAAACCAGGGTACATTTCATGGAGAAACTGAGTCACCCCGGAAGGAAAGGTCTCCCTGGAATTCCCTGGCTGGCTAAACGCACCTCGACTTCCCCTTTAAGCTACTGAGCACTTCTAGTAACTGAGAAGAGAAACAAGTACCTTTTTCCTAATGCAGTGACCATGGCTTCAAAGGAGCTGTCGTATCTGAGCAAGGGGAGGCTGTGCCCTGAAAGGGTGGATTCAATAAACTCCGACAGCCCGAAGTACTTCTTATTCTCATGATATAAGTCCACTCCCTAAAACAAAGAAGAGCATCGGTCACTCCAACATTGCATTCGCGGGGATGGCCAGAGGTTCACGTGCCAGGCCTGCGGACGACCTGGGTTGGCAACTTCATCTAAATCGTGCCTACTGTGCAGTGGCTTGAATGGCATTTTATAGACTTCTCCCACCTGCAGAAGCAGAGCAAAGAACCTGCCATACTTTAAAAATGGTGTGTCCCCATCGCTCAGGAGTTTTCCATTCATTCGGTCCCAATGTCTTCACCAAGAAGAAAACCAGCCTTATCTTATTTTAACATATAAATGTCTTTGTTAAATTTGCTTCTTTCTACAATCTTAAGCTGCTTTTAGGAATAAGCAAATCAATTAATTATCTTGCATTCAGTTGCTACTAAAAATCAGAAGATGAAGAAAACATTTATCTAGACATAAAATTCCAAAGTTGGGGGAATTTGTTGAAAGCACAAAGGCATGAAAACTCTACCCCTAAACAGCACAGTGGTTAAGGGCTGAGCCAAGGAGCCAGTGGCCTGGGTCATATCCCAGCTCCACGACTTTCTAGCTGCCTGGCCTGAGGCAAGTGGCCCAACTCTCTCTGTCTCATGTTCCCCATTTGTAGATGAGAACTCATCCTAGCACCTGCCTCTTGCATGAGCTCACAGCAGGAAGCACTTTGGGCAGGGCCTCCCTGGCTCATGGGAAGTGCCTTACGAACAATGGCTATTGCCACCACGGATTCTCGGTGCACAGGACAAAAGCCAGGTATTTTTTTAAAGTTCCTCAGAGGATTGCAAGGCACTCCAAATAAGTCTCATCTTTTACCTTTAGTTATTCCTGTGTAACTAACTACAAACCACCCAGAATTCTCCAATTACCAGAATTGTTTTAGTCTTCTATTTTGATGAGAAAATGCCAGGTGATAAGCTAAAAACTCACCATGTTTTGAGGATATGTGTTTAGTTTGAGGAAGGAGATTCTGCATCTCACTATTCAAGGATGCAGGGATAGGACAACAGGAACCTTCCTAGGGCTTCTAGAGACATTGAGCATCGCTCTGTATGGAGCCCGAAGTCCCCAACCCCCAAGGGCTCTACCTTCAATATCTCCATTCAATGCCATAGAACAAACATTCCGAATGCTGCTCAGAAAGCTGCAGTTACCAGAGGAAATGTCACACAAACTGCATTACATCTTCCGAGATGAGGAGGCCAACTGGCATAGTGCAGGAAGGTTTCCAAAAAGACCAACAAGGATTTACACCTAACTCTGGGTTAAACCAAAGATCCAAGGAGCTGGAACCCATTATCCTCGACCACATTGGTCAAGGCTTTTACTAAATGTAATTTCTGCAAACCCAAGTGTCATTGCTACACAAGGGCCCAGCAGCCCCGTGGCACTCACATTACTGCAGGAGGCGGGCCAGTGGATCTCATTGTAGGGGCTGATGAGGGTGTGCTGTGTCTGCAGTGCGTACGGGAAGGAGGTCACGTGAAGTGTCACAATGTTAGGGGCCTCCTTCACCTCCCTGCAGTTGAGCAATCGGTCCACCAATCCCACCGACGGGTCACTTTGAGAATAGAGGTTATGAACAGCGCTACTGAGGGAGGAAAAGACACAATCAGTTGAATTACTATATCGTTTTCTAATTTTGCAAGGGTGAAGCAGTTGAATAAATGTATAACGAACCCCCGACTTTGCCAACAATTGAAGATTATGGCTCTGCCCATGACTAGGAATAGAGAAAAAAATGGCTGGAGTGCAGGTAGCTGTCAGGGACTCTCCCGAGACTCATTACTTAGGAAAAATGTGTCTGGCGGGGGACGGTAGTCAGAGGGGATTTCTTATAAGACACACACTCCTTCTATCCCGATCAGTGATGTGTCCCCGAGAATGTTCCATGAATCATTTGTTCCTCTTTGGACCCACCTGATTGTGTACTTATCTCCTTACAAAGTCCTTCTGACCTTGAAACGATCCAGAAAAGATATAAAAGAGTAGATTCTAGAGTCAGTTTAAAAGGCAGCAGGAGAGGATTGGGAAGCATTTTGGACAAGGGGTCTGGGAGACAGGCCCAGCTCTGCACTTCTCTGTGGGACAAAGGCCTTTGCATTCTCTCCTGTAAGTCTAGCGGATTAAAAAAAATCAGTGCTTAACCCTTTGGATGGCAGGAGGCCACTGTGAGAAACCTACTCCCAAAATGAATATTCACAATATAGCTCTTTCTATAATTTCGGAATGTTCCAATCTCCCCCAAGCCCATACATGAATTCTGGATTGTAAACCCATTACGAGGTGATCCTTCAGGTCCTGACCAGCCCTAACTAGCTATCTGTGGATCTGTGACAATCAAAGCTTTTCTCCATGACCTGGTCCAGGAGACCCCTCCTTCCTCATCCACATCAGAGGAAATGTCTGAGCGTACAACTCCTAGGCCAGTCTCACGGAGATGACCAATCCTGCTAAACCACCAGAAATCCTGCCAGATGCTTGGCTTGGCCCATCTGAAATTCATGTTTATGTTCATTTTAACATAGTGAGTAAAATCACCCCTTAAGAAGGGCAGGCATCGGCTGGGTGCGGTGACTCACACCTGTAATCCCAGCACTTTGGGAGGCCGAGTCAGGTGGATCACGAGGTCAGGAGATCGAGACCATCCTGGCTAACACAGTAAAACTCCGTCTCTATTAAAAATACAAAAACAAAATTAGCCAGGCGTGGTGACAGGCGCCTGTAGTCCCAGCTACAGGAGAGACTGGGAGACTGAGGCAGGAGAATGGCATGAACCCGGGAGGCTGAGCTTGCAGTGAGCCGAGATCACGCCACTGCACTCCAGCCTGGGCAACAGAGCGAGACTCCGTCTCAAAAAAAAAAAAAAAAGGGCAAGCATCAGTGGTGACCCACGGCACTGGAGCCCACAGAGCCTCTTTCAGGGAAGGGCTAGGCTAAGCAACTCCTGCTAGGACCCTCCGCACCCCACACCAGCATGGCTCCTTGGGGCTGAGTGGACTATGAAAGAAACACATCAGGCATCAGGCTGTGATTCGAGGGCCTTGGCTCTGCCACCAACACCCTCCCACTCCACCCCGCCCTGTGACTCTGGGAGACACGCTTCCCTTCTCCAGCCATTAGATTCCACCATGGTAAATTTCAGAAGTGGCACTAGAGAATCCCTGAGATAACTTCCAGCTCAAGATTGTGAAAAACATCCATGGCACCTGCTTACAAACACCAAGCCCAAACATCATCCATCTTTTCACGATTTGTACCCTCAGCCCCCAGGAACATCCACATATATCGTTTCAAGGAAGGAAAAGGTCAACCTGTCATATATCAAGTCAATCTAACCTCACAAGATCCCAGTGCGCATGGTCATGGATGAGGACAAAAAGTGTGTGCGGGTTCTGGAAGGAGTTTTGCAGAAAAGCCTTAAATTTTGTCTGTGCCTCCGCGTCTAGCTTCAGGACATACTGTTCCACCCTCTGCTTCGTCATGTGCTCTTTCTCCAGACCAAGCTCCAGTAAAACTCCTGCAACACAATGGAAATACATCAGTAACTCCAAACATGCCCCCTGGTTTCCATTCACTCAACAGACACCTGATGAGCTACTCCTATACAGCAGGTCCTGAGCTAGACCCAGAGATGCGAGAGTAGGGAAAGGGAGGGAAAAAAATCCCACACAGGTTACAGCTGCGTAACTGTCCTGCCCAGGAGTTGGGGCGCAGGCAAGCCTTGGCTGTGTGTATAGCAGCCCTCCCTAGGGGCACCGGCTTCACGAAGCAGCTGATCCCAAGCGTGGTAAGACAGAGGGAACCGAAAGGTCCTGCCGGCAGCAAAATCCCTCTCTCAGTCTGAACGCCACAGGGCTACACATTACGCCACTAAAGAGTAAGTCTTTTCAGTGAAGACACTGGACATCTGTGTACTCTGTGGTTAAATACGATATCCTTGAAAGTACAAGGATATCAGTGATGCTAGATAGCAACACATGGTTAGGTCACTAGCCTGAGTGCGACATGGTAAAAGTTCAAGTTTCGGCTCTACCTTCAGCAGATCCTAAAATCTTGGGCAAGTCACTGTCTCTGAACGTAGGTTTCACAACCTATAAAACAAGGACAACGATCCTTGCCCTATCCACTCTATAGCAAAGAACAGTGTCAACACCCAAACACGGATTTCGGCAGATCAAAGCTTCTCCACACAGGCCACATGACTTCTCCCTGAAACATCCCATACCTGAATGCCACACATGGAACAGAGTCTGCTGGTAGGTCACTTCTGAGGGCGGAATGCAAATAAGAAAGTCCACCTTCTCAAAGGATCCCAGGTCCAGATTTTGGGTGCTGGAATCCGCAATGGAACACACATGGGAGAGGAGCTTCTGCGCCACTGCCAGCTGGAAGGGCCGGATGCTGTGTGGCTCCAGATGGTAACCTGGAACCAGAGCCCCAGGATGCCAGGTGAGCCCCAGGGCACATGGCTACTGCCAGGCCCTTGGCCAGAGAATCAGTGACTGGTCCAGGGGAGACAGCCCCATGCACAAAGCGATGAGGGAAAGGGGAATAACTCTCGTTTATCAAGTCCCTGCTCTCAGCTAAGCAGTGGCGGGTGTGGGGGTAGCGATCATTTTATGCACCATCCTTCACTTAATAATAAAAGCAAGAACCAAGCACTTGGGGAGCACAGCGGAGGCAGTGGCCTCTTCTGCTTAGAGGGGACAAGGAGCCCATCCCAGGGGAGGTGACACTGAGACTGGACTTTGGAAGAGGACTGCAAGCTCTCCAGAAAAGAAAACTAATGATGGTCATTTAGGAACTCCGTATGAATAGAAAACATCAGCAACAGACTCGGAGGCAGGAAATGAGCATCGAGAAATCTACCATCTCAGAAACAGTGATGGATGTGCAATTCAAGATTAAATGAGATTGTCATAATTAAAGACTGAATTTTAAATGAGGCAGCAGGTCTACTGTGACTCTAAAAAGATGTCCTGTCTTGTGGATGTGCCCCTGACATTGCTACCTTCAATCTGAGCCCTTGGATTCTGCCCCCCAGGCCAGACCCAGGCCCTCGCCAGTGCCCTCTCTTCGTCCACCGGGCATACATGAGCCCTCTGTCCCCTCAGCACCCACTTAGCACACTTGTGCCCACTGTCCTCTCTCACGGTGCACACCTGTGCCCACTGGCGCCTCTCACTGCACACAGCTATGCCCACTGCTCTGTGTCACTGTGCACACCTGTGCCCTCGCCCCCTCACTGTGCACACCTGTGCCCTTGCCCACTCTCACAGTGCACACCTGTGCCCCACCCCTCACTGTGCACACCTGTGCCCCCACCCCCTCTCACTATACACACCTGTGCCCCCGTCCCCCCACTATACACACCTGTGCGCCCACTCCCTCACTGTGCACAACTGTGCTCCCACCCCCTCTCACTATACACACCTGTGCCCCCGTCCCCCCACTATACACACCTGTGCGCCCACTCCCTCACTGTGCACAACTGTGCTCCCACCTCCTCTCACTGTACACACCTGTGCCCCCGTCCCCCCACTATACACACCTGCACCCCCACCCCTCACTGTACACACCTGTGCCCCTATCCCCCCACTATACACACCTGTGCGCCCGCCCCCTCACTGTGCACCCCTGCACCACTGCCCCTCACTGTATGCCCCCGCCCCTCCACTATACACACCTGTGCGCCTGTGCGCCCGCCCCCTCACTGTTCACCCCTGCCCCTCACTGTATACACCTGTGCCCCCGCCCCTCCACTATACACACCTGTGCGCCCACCCCCTCACTGTGCACCCCTGCACCACTGCCCCTCACTGTACACACCTGTGCTCCCACCTCCTCTCACTGTACACACCTGTGCTCTGCCCCCTCACTGTGCACACCTGCACCCCCACCCCCTCTCACTGTACACACCTGTGCCCCTGCCCCTCACTGTGCACACCTGTGTCCCCACCCTCTCTCACTGTACAAACCTGTGCCCCCGTCCCCCCACTATACACACCTGTGCGCCCGCCCCCTCACTGTGCACACCTGCAGCCCCGCCCCCTCTCACTGTGCACACCTGCGCCCACTGCCCCTGTCCCTCATCACTACTTTGTACCTCCTCCACCCTGGGAGATTCCTTTTCACCACTCACTTGTGCACACCGGTGTCCCACTGACATCCAGGGATGCTGCTTTAGTGACAGAAGAGGCAGTGAGTGAGGAAGAAATATGGCCTTGATTTTCCTGGTGAAATTTGTCCAGCAAAATGTCAATGTCACCCTCTGCCCAAGACAGAATAAACAAATGGGTTTTCCATGTCAGTGAAATTCAGCAAACATCTACAGGGCAGTTAGTGTCAGGTACTGTCCTGAGGCCTGGAGTCATGAAGGTAAAGAGGACGTGGCCCATCCTGTCAAGGGGTCTTAGCCTAATCGGGATGAAGACACACTGCCAGAGTGAGCTCCCCCCACACAGACACAGCCGGTGCTAGGGCAGAAGGAAGAACAACATGGTAAAGGACAAAGGGAAAGGTCCCAAGCCCATCTGGAAAACGAAGGGCCTGGGAAGCTTTCTAGGGGTACATGAGATGAGTCTTGAGGGGTAGGTAGCTAGGCTAACAAGGGAGAAGGACACTCACAGCCCAGAGCACAAGGGATGGGGAACTCTCCAGCAAGAGGGAAGACGGGGAAGAGAGGCCACCAACGCTGGAAAGGTGGAGAGAAACAGGTGCAAGGGCCTTGTGTACCGCACAAAGACAGAACCCACAAGGTGCCCTCCACCCCTCAGGAGAACTCTACAGCCCAAGCAGGAAGAGATGGCCAGCCAGAACCCGCGGCTGTCACTCAAGAAAAGAAAGGGACAGAAATGCAAATGCACAGAATGAGGGGCACTCTGCAGTGGAGGTCAGCCCTGCCAGTCACCGGCAGGGTGGGGCAGAGATGACCTCCCCCGGCACTGATTTCTGTCCTATGAACGTACGCATATGCACCTGTCTCATGACAAGCCTACCTGGACAGAGGGTGCTAAAGAAGGCCCCCAGCGAGTCCACCTTCCCCGTAACCAGCTCATAATTGACTTCCTTCTGGTACTCCGCTGGGGTGAGAAGGCTCTCGGAAAGAATCCGGGCTTGGTATTTTCCTGGAAAGCAAACAGCTTTCACTGTACCAATCGTATCTTCCCTGCTTACTGGCTGTGTGGCCCTGGACTAGTCCCTTAACCCTTCTAGACTGACATTTCCCATCAGGAACCTGTGGCTAACAGCAGGATCTACCTCCCAAGCCTGCTGTCAGGCAACGCAAGATAATGGTGCCTGGCACACGGCAGAGGCTCAGGGTCTACTACTGAATGTCCTACTCACAGCAAGGTAAATAATTTATTTTAAAAAACACACACACACACAGAATGGGTTTAAGATTAAAGAACGCTGGTCGGGCGTGGTGGCTCACGCCTATAATCTCAGCAGTGCGGGAGGCCGAGGTGGGTGGATCACCTGAGGTCAGGAGTTTGAGACCAGCCTGGCCAACATGGCGAAAACCCATCTCTACGAAAAATACAAAAATTAGCTGGGCATGGTGGTGCACATCTGTAGTCCCAGCTACTCAGGAGGCTGAGATAAAAGAATTACTTGAACTCGGGAGACAGAGGTTGCAGTGAGCCGAGATCGTGTCACCGCATTCCAGCCTGGGCAACTGAGCAAGACTCCATCTCAAAAAAAAAAAAAAAAAGAAAGAAAGAAAGAAAAAAAATGCTAAAAGACAACTCAGACACTGTACTTAAAAAGTACATTAAACGCCAGGCACGGTGGCTCACGCCTGTAATCCCAGCACTTTGGGAGGCTGAGGTGGATGGATTGCTTGAGCCCAAGAGTTTGAGACCAGCCTGGGCAACATGGCAAAACCCTGTGTTTACAAAAGTACAAAACTGAGCCGGGTGTGGTGGTGCACACCTGCAGTAGTCCCAGCTACTCCGGATGGAGGCGGAGGTGACAGAATCACTTGAGCCCAGGAGCTTGATACTGCAATAAGCCAAGATCTCGCCACTGCACTTCAGCCCAGGTGACAGAGCAAGACCCTGTCTCAAAAAAAAAGTGCATTACATTCTGCACTCTTAAAGTAAATTTTACAAAGTACAAAAAAATCCGGCCGAAAATGCACACTTGTGAAGATTTAAGCAGCCCAAGAAAGCTCACGTGTTTGGTGTCTGCCTCCCCCACCCAAAAGAACACTCTGGGCAGGCAGATACTGCTCTGCTCCCTGTGGGCCCCCAGCCCCTAGAACAGTGGCTGTACATGTGGGGCCTCAATGTGTGTTTTTAAAATTAAATCAATTGGCCGGGCACAGTGGCTCACACCTGTAATCCCAGCACTTTGGGAGGCCTAGGCAGGTGGATCACTCGAGCTCAGGAGTTCGAGTCCAGCCTGGGCAATATGGTGAAACCCTATCTCTAACAAAAAATACAAATTAGCTGGGCGTGGTCCCAGCTACTTGGGAGGCTGAGGTGAGAGAATCTCTTGAATCCAGGAGACAGAGATTGCATTGCAATGAGCCAAGATCAGGCCACTGCACTCCAGCCTGGGCAACAGAGTGAGACCTTGTCTCAAAAAATTAAATTAATTGGCTCCTGAACACAGACAACACAACAAGGTCATTGTTTTTTATCTCCAATAGATGGGTGAAGAAACAGGGCCAGAGCTCCTGGTGTGAGTGACCACCCACGTGGTGGAGCCAGGTTTTCAACAGGGTCCTTCCACACTCCCAAGCTGACCCCAGGGCTAACCTCACCAGCCACTCAGAGCAGGGATGAGATTGTAACTAAGTCATTAGTCAAGGCTGCCTTCTGAAGCCAGCTACTGGGCACAAACCACAGGAGCTAACTGCTTCTGCAAACCCGGGCCACCCTAGACAGAAAGGGAGAGAACCACCAAAGGAGGGGACCAGGAACGCAGTTCAGGGGGCTTCCCCGCAGCCGCGCGGCCCAGCACTCACCAGTGACGGCGATGCAGGAGTCGATGGCCGCGCTGCGGCAGGCGCAGATGATGACCACGTAGTTGGTCTTGGCGAGCTTGCCCTCGACCAGCAGCCGGAACATCTCGGAGAGGCCCTCGGCCAGGGAGTAGGCACACTCGATGACGTGCACGCTGTCGTTGCAGGAGCTGGCGGCCAGGCTGGCCAGCCAGGGCAGCTGCGCGGAGGTCACGGGTGCCGCGGCGCTGGGCGCGGGTGGGAAGGGCTGCGGCGGCGCCTGCTGGTACTGCCGGATCTCGGTCAGGTGCGACTCGCGCCAAGAGCGCAGGAAGATCTGCTCCAGGTCCTCCATCAAGGGCACCTGGTCCGCGGCTGCAACACAACGCGGGCGGAGGGCCTGCCACAAATGCCAGCGACATCCGGGGACGCGCAGGTGCAGTGATGTGGAAGTATCCCTTTAAGATATTGCTGTGAAATCGTATCACAGACGGCTGGAGCACGAGGGGAGGGCATAAAATCCGCCACAATCTCACCACTGCCCTAACAGAGCCACGGTATTTATGTGTATTTCTTAATCTTTTTTTTTTCCATATGCAAGTTTTTTTTTAATTATAAGATTATTTGTACATTTATTTTTATTTTTAAGATTAAGTATTCTCTTTGACAATCCAGAAACATAGTCCTTGCTCACTCTTCGGCCACACACACGTAAAACAGTTAAAAATGATTCCTTAATTCTCAATGACAAAGTAGGATAAAGGAATATGTTCTCAAGCTGCAGTTCAACTTTTCTGTCCTCTTTTCAAAAGCAAAAATCTTACTTTGTCTTACTTTGCTACCAAGCCACTCACCAACTATAAGGAAAGACAATTTTTCAAAAAGCCAACAAAACCCAGTAAAAAGAATAAGTATCAACCCAAAATTATCACCCAAAACACTGCCGTTGCAAAAAAAAAAAAAAAGAGGAGGAAGCCAAATTCCCATAGCTTGTTAGAGAAGGTCTTTAAAAAGAATTCACAAAGTTAGGACTGGAACTACAGTGGTATAGACAGGTTACACTGTCCCTATGTGCATATACAGTAGTAAATGTGTAGAACATTTAGCCTGGGAATATAGGCTTTCTCCTACTCCAGGACAGGGAATAAAAACATGTGTTGCTGGAATTAATATTAAAATTGTCCTTACAAATAGCTGTAACGATTGTCCGTATAAACTTTGGGTCTTGCATTCTTTCCATAACCGTGACCCTATCATCAGTTTCAGTGCCATTTTCAGCCATCGTAAAGAGCACTGTTAGTGCGTCCATAATGTCCCATCATATGTAAGCACCACCGTAAGTTTACTCAGCAAGGTCTCTATTATGGATTCTCTTATTTCTTCCAAATATTCACCTTTATAAATACCTCTGCAATGCACATCTTGACGTATAGAACATTACTTCCTTTGCCTAACGTCTCAAAGGTGGATTTACAGAACCAGCTAATACATATCATCAGCTGGCTTCCAAACGGCCTGAATGCATGCGTTTACCACGCAAACGGTGCATTTGACAAGTACTGGTTTTACTGCACCTAAGCACCACTGGGTGCCATCATTTGGGTTATTAATTCAGAAAAAGATGACTTGATTTGTGATTCGCATGTCTTTGATGATGAGTGAGATTGAATACTTTTCAATATTTGTTTCTTTCTGGTATTTTTTATGAATTGTCTGGTTTATACGTCCAGATTTCACATTTGATGAGCTGGAGGAAAGCGCACCAGGCTTCCATTTAGAAGGTGGTTCCAGTCCAGCTCTACCCAGCACCAGCTGTGCGGCCCTGAGCTATCTCATACGGTTTTCTGATGCATCACACGCGGTTCATGCCACCTGCTCTGTGGGCCGTGCCAGAATGATTAAATTGGCTTATATCTCCATCTTTGATTGGATACATTTAATCAGAATTCACTACTTCAATTAGCTCATTAAATTAGAATTTAATTAGATTAGCCGTTATCTCTTTCTCTTTAAAAACTTTCCTTTGAGTCCACATCTTCTTCCGGAACTAAACCCTATCCAGAGCTGTCTACACACGCCATACTGTCTCCTCACCTCCAATCTCTCTAATCCACTCCAATGTGACTTATCCCCAATCTTTGCGTACATCATCATCAAGGTTGCCAATCGCTTCCCATGGCCAAACCCAATGGTCAGAGTCCAGTCTTCCCTCTGCTCAACTCCCAGCCATGCTGGCACAGTTGATCAGCCCCTCTCCTTGGGAATGCTTTTTTTCACTGCTTCTTACCAACATTCGCCTATTCCCTCAATATAGGTTGGCAGACTGTCGACTTGAGCCGCGGATGCTGTGGGGCATCGGGAAAAGGACTCACTGACCATGCCTGGCCTCACGGAGCTTACACCCTAACTGGGGGAGACACACTTAAAGGGAACAATCACAGACCCTAATTCCTGGTGCCCTAAAGATAAAGGGCATAGGATAGGGGCCTGGAGGGCAGGAGCTGTCTTACACACAGTAACAAGAAGGCCTTCCTGAGGAGATGATGGGGTGACCTGAAACCTGAAGGACATGAGGGAGCAAGCCACACAAATGTCTTTGGCAAGAGCATGTCACAGGGAAGGAACAGCAAGTGTGGGATGCCTTGGTGGGACCAAGATTGCTGAGGGGTACAGCGGGCTGGGACAGAGCAAGCAGGTGGGACCAGGAGGCAGGCCGGGCCCCGGGGAAGGGGTGGAGTGAGCAACTGATGGGAAGCCACGGCAGGGCTCTGAGCAGGGAAGAGATGCAATTGGATTCCCAGTTCTCAGGGATGTGGGGAACAGGGCAAGAATAGTGCCCCGGTGAGGGGACAGTCACAGGGAGGGTGAGCGAGGCTGGATTCAGGATGAAGCCGTGCTTACTGACGGACTGGTGGGGACTATGAGAAAGAGGGCAATGCTGGGTTTCCCAGATTCTCCACTGTCCTTTTCTTCCTTCCCACCCGTTCTATCTCAGTCACCTCTTCTGGATCTCTGAAGATTGGAGGTCCCCAGGCTCAAACCTTGGTACTTTCCTCTCCCCGTAGCCACCCGCAGCTGGTCTCACGGCTTTAATATACATCATCTGTAAGCCAATGTGTCTTAAATGTATACCTAGAGCTTCAACCTCTCCTGGGGCTCAAGGCCTGCCCATGCAAATGAACACAGGTGATTGGCTGTCTCGTGGGCATCTTGTACAAACTCATGCCAAGACAGAACTCAAGTTCATTGCTACCATTCACCTGGCTGCTCAGGCTGAAACCCAGGCCCCACCTGCTCCCACCCCCTTCAAAGGGATTTCCAGCCGGACTTACCTTCAGAATAGCCCCTCCAGCTCACTGCTGCTGCCCTCAGTGGCCCAAGCCACTCTGTGCCTTTAATAGGCAACAACTGACTCTTTCTCCGTTTCCGCCACTGCATCTGCACCATCTGACTCCACACAGCAGCCAAGGTGGCATTTTTAAAGTGAAAATCAGATCACCTCCATCCCCTGCCTAAAAATACTCCGGTGGCTTCTCCATGTGTCTACCATAGCATCACACTCTTGACCGGAGCCTGCCCCCTGTGACCACACCTCTCCCTCACACCCTCTCTCTGCTGCGGCTACACTGGCCTCTCCAGCGACCTGGGATGCTCACTGCTCCCCACCTCACAGTCTCACCTGGCCTCCCTCTCTCCTCAGGGCCCCACCTGTCCTCATTCCTCAGATCATCACAAGGCTGACTCCTTCTCAGGGTCGAGGTCTCTACTCACAGAGGCCTTTCTTCATGCCCCTAAACTGGCCCCACACAGACACACACAAATGCATGTGCCCACCTTTACCTGCCTGTTTTCCACGGGTTTACTGCTTCTGTCTCCCACTAGACTAGAATCGCCTCAAGGGCAGGGTCTTTACTCAATTCCCTGCTCTATCCCTGTGCCTAGAATGGCAGATAAATACTTTTGGAAATGTCTCCATTAACTTCAACCTACTTTCGGCCCCTCAGTGTGGGTACGCCCGCAGTGACCTCATGACGTCCTCCCAGTGGAGCCATAAGCTCTCCCCATGTATTTCAATTCCAGCAGCCCCAAGTCAGCCCCCACAAGGGCCGAGGCCAGGTCTGTGCTTGAGCTGTGGCCCCTCCCTGCCACCTGGCCAATAGGTGGAGGTGACTCACCCAGCTGGACCAGGTAGTACACAGTCAGCAGGAGCTGCATCTCCTCAGAGATGGGCTGGATGGCAGAGGCGCCGTACTGCTCGTATGCCCGCGAGACAGACTGGGAATTCTGGTAGCACGTGTACAGGAGGGGGCTGACCACGACGTCATTCAAGTTCCCACACAGGTAAGGGAAGTTCCCGTGGCCTGCAGAGGAACAGCACCGACTTGGCACCCGGTCTTGTGCACAGCTTATGGTCCCACATATCTGGGTTCTCTGGGGGTGAGGGAGTTGAAGGAGACAAGTGAACTGCGCCAGGTCCCTTGAGTGCCCGGTCCTGGGAAGCCTTGCTCATTGAGTGCACCTGCTCACCCTTCTGGAGCCTACGATGAGAGGAGTCACCTTTTCTAACCAATGGGGCTGTGCGACTTACTGGTTCATTTCGTCCAATCCTCTTATTTTTTACAAGTGAGGGAGCTGAAGGGAGGGACTTGCCCAGAGCCAAGCAGTCACCACCTGTCGCTCCTCCAGCACCACTGATGGGACACCTTGTGGGCAGAGCACCTTCCAGAGCTTCACTGGGTGCTGCCTGCCAGGCCTTGCCTCCCTGACTCCAAGCAGGGAGGATTGTGCCCTGCATCCTCCCTCCCAGGGCTGTCCGGCAAGGTGAGTTGGGATAATACATCACCACAGAGACCAGAAGACTGAGTCACTCTTTTTTTTTTTTTTTGAGACAGTCTCTTGCTCTGTCCCCTGGCTGGAGTGCAGTGGCGCGATCTCAGCTGACTCCAACCTCTGCCTCCAGAGTTCAAGCGATCCTCCCACCTCAACCTGCCGAGTAGCTGGGATTATAGGTGTGCATCACCACACCCGGCCAATTTTTGTATTTTCAGTGGAGGCAAGGTTTCACCATGTTGCCCAGGCTGGTCTTGAACTTCTGACCTAAAGTGATCCACCCGCCTTGGCCTCTCAAAGTTCTGGGATTACAGGCGTGAGCCACCATGCCCAGCCCATTAGAAGATTCATTCTGAAGATAGCCCTCAGAGGTGGAATTGCCCAGGCCAGGTTCAAATCTCTTTCCACTATTATTTAGCCACATGACGTCAAGCAAGAAGCTGAACTGCCCTAAACCTCAATCTCTGCATTTGTAAAATCAGGTGAAGCTATCAAATCCTCTCGGGGCTGCTGAGCTCCCAGAGGTGGCACGTGAGTGTGTGTGTGTGTGTGTGTGTGTATGGTTGTGTGTGTGTGTATGGTATCTTGCACTCCGGGTACTCCATTTAGTCACCAAAAATATATTTTCTGACTTCGGCTGTGTGCTATATGCAGATGTCCTGCCAGGCTTGGAGAGTAAAGCTGGTGCCTGGGGCACAGGTTGTGTTCTCAAAGACATTGCTTCTCAAGGGCTTGCCAAACACCTGCTGGCCCACCCAGAGCTTCTGATGCAGAACTGGGGCCTGATTCGGATTATAGGATGGGTCCGTGAATTCACGCCTCTCATAAGCTCTGGGGCGATGCAGGTTCTGCTGGACCGGGGGCTACCATTTGGGTAGCACCACTTACAAATATTGCAGTTGGCAACAGGCAAGGTAAAGAGTTACTATAAAAGCAAGCATGTGACATTTGTCATAAAAGAGGGACAGAGAAGTGACAAGGGGGGCAGAGGAAAGGGAATCTAAGACAACTTCATAGAGAAGGCACAGGGCTGAGTCGTAAGGCCTCAGGAGGGCTTGGACATGTGGCTGTGGGGAACAGGAGTCAGAGACAAGGACTTTACGATGAGGGCTGCAGTGGAAACACAGAGGCAGTGGAGGGAACAGAGCACACCTGAGAACCAAGAGGACAGTCTCTATTCTGAGATTGTTCATGTGAGACGTAGACTGGCTCGGCTTTCTTTTCTGAGGCTCCTGGCTCAAAGCAGAGGCAGGTAAAGCCCTGCCTACACCTCCAAGCCTTGCACCCTGTCCTAGCTCTGTTTCCTGAGCACTGTGTTCTTGAGACCTACCACAGACACATCATGGCCACATAAAAAAATGCATGCAACATGACTGAAAGAATGTTGGCCTTCATTTGAGGTAGACAGTGGGGCCCAGTGGAACTGCCTCGGTCATTGGTCCTATGTCATGCTAAGGTCGAAACTCAGAGTTGCATGCTACTTCCTGAATACCCTGTCCAGCTTTTGTTTTTTAGGAAAAAGACATGCTCTTTCTTATTTCTTAATTATCAGCGTGCTTCTCCCACTTTCCTACAATCCTCCCTCCTTTCTCTACAAGCATGATACCAAATGCAATAATAACGTATTTAAGAGGGGCCTGCGTGCACAGTGTGTGTGTGTGGTGTGTGTGTGCCGTGCCTACGTGTGTATGTGTGTGTGTGTTGCCATGTGCCAGCCATTCTGGTGCCTGCGATCACCAGCCAAGCCCTGCTGAATCCCCCCAGGGTTTCCCTTTGCAACATCTCCAGCTTCGTCAAAGGGATTTCTTCAGTTGAGCCAAAAGTCTACCCCCCTGTAGCATACGTTAGCCCACTGCACAAAACGGATCAGATCTAATTTTGTTTGATGCTTCTACAGTGGTGACCATGGCTATCTTTGCCCAACCAAAGTAGATTCCATAGTCAGAAAATACTAGTGGCGTGGGTGACAACAGGCAACAACCCACCAGAGCAGGGCTCCTGCAGCCAGGGAGTCATTTGTTTTTCCTAATCCTCGGCACTCAGCACCGGGCCTGGGATCATGGCGATCATGGCCTGGGATCACTCAATGAAGCTGAGCAGATGAAGGAAAGAACGAGGAACAGGCAATTCCCTTCACGGCAGGGAATCATTTCACCCGGACCCACTGTGGAAAGCTGTGGCAAGCTCCATCATTCTTGGCATCTGATCAGGGGCTGAACTAGTGACTGGCTCTGCCTTGTTCTCTCCTTGCCCTGGAAAGCACGTTAGGTTTGTCTCGGGAGGATACCCTTGGAGTCAGACCGCGATGAGGTCTCGCTTTTGCCTGTTTCTCGTGCCTTCCTTCAGGTTCTTCCATTCCCACGACTCGGTGCACTGCTGTACTTGCCTTTAAATATCACTGGCTTGGCCTTGCATATTTTCAGCAAGTTGTCAGGAACAGACACTGGTTCTCCAGAGGCCACCACTGGGAAGGTGACTGAAGCTGGTCCCACCAAGCCAACCTGGGGCACGCAGGACACGCCTGTGCTCTCTAGGAACACCCAAGAACATTAGTAAAAACATCAGACAAGGCATCCACTTCTCACACACCTGGCATCAGGCCAGGCAGCAATGCTGCTACCTCCTGATCAATGTCCCTGATTACAGGAGCACCAAAGTCTTAGAGTCACAGATTCCTAAGGTCAAGCGCACCTTTAAATTCCTTCCGTCCATCCTTGCCCCAATGGTTCGGTCTCCTCTTTGATATCCCTGCCAAGTCATAAACAGCCCCTTTTAAAATTTCCCAAGGATCAGAGAACTCACTATCATACAGGGATCCTAGACCTTGCAAAGCAATTCTAACATGTGAGAAAGAAATCTTTTGTTACACCAAACTCTGCCTCCTTAGAACTCCCTCAGCAGTACACATGCACATTCACACACATGCATGCGCACACACGCACACATACACACACAACTGGCAGCAGCACTACCACCAGTACCCAAGTCTGGAATTCTGGGCAAGGCTGCCATCACTTACCATACTTAGCTCTGTTCCCACCACCTTGGGGGTAGCCACTGTCTGGAGCTGATGGAGATTCTGGAGACCATCCTTTGTGGCGTTTTTTGGGGGGCCCGGAGTTTGACAAGATACCTAGACAATATTCAGAGTGTGGATTAGGCTATCATCAGGAAAGGGTTCCAATAAAACTTTCCCTTGGTTTGGAGAACAATGATCTGTTTTGTTTTGTTTTTTGTTTTTCTAATCACAGTTTCACACGGGTTTTAAGGAGCTAGTGAAATATCTAGGCATAAGGAAATGTCAGTTTTTGTAAATGTTTCATTCCAAAGTTGTGTGTGTGTCTAAACGATCTCTCTCTGAGCCCGAGCTCCTTCATCTTTAAAATGGGACACTAAACCCTACTCTGAAAGGTGGTTTGATTAGGACTAAAGAGAATGTATGTAGAGTGCTTTGTGCAATGAATTGCAGGGAGCCTGGGCCCAATAAGGTAGCCAGAATTACCCACGTCATCATCATCTTCACCACCATCATTATTGTTATGGACATATTCCAATCTGAAGGGCTGGAAGAGAGAAATACGTTTCTGCAGATGGGGGCAGCAGTATCTGATCCACCACCACAGCTCCACCGCTTGGGGGCAGTACTGATCCGCCTGTGCTCCCCTCCCTGCCCCAGCTAATTTCAGACTCAACAAAATCAAGTACAGAGGCTGACACCCACTGCAATGAGTCATCCCTGCCCACTCTAGACAACAGCATGCTCATGACTCAAGCTAACTTCATGAATGTTTCAAAATATCAAGAACTGGTTTCCATAGTTTCTTGACTAACCAGACACAAAATTTCCCCTACATGTAGAGATTCACTTCTCAACCTCAACTGTACATTAAACTCAACCGGAAAACTTTTAAAACTCTGTCTGGATGCAATCCTAACCCAGTTAAACCAGAAGCCCAGCATGGGAGCAGGACTTAGGCATCCCAATATCTCAGCGCTTCTTCTTGATTATAATGCACAGCCCGGGTGGAGAAACACCAATCAGAGCAATGGTTCTCCAGGTGTGACCCGAGGCACTGCACAGAACCCACATGGGCCTTTTAAACCTGTGCCTACTAAACCTTGTGTCCCTGGGCCCCGCCTTGACCTCCAGAATCACATCTCTGGAAATGACAGTAAGAAGACACCATCCTTTGTAAGCCAGCCTGGTGATTTTTTTTTTTTTTTTTTTTTTTTGAGACGGAGTCTCACTCTTGTTGCCCAGGCTGGAGTACAGTAGTGCAATCTCGGCTCACTGTAACCTCTGCTTCCTGAGTTCAAGCGATTCTCCTGCCTCAGCCTCCCAAATAGCTGGGATTACAGGCGTGCACCACCACACCCGGCCAATTTTTGTATTTTTAGTAGAGACAGCGTTTCACCATGTTGGTCAGGCTGGTCTCGAACTCCTGACCTCAGGTGATCTGCCCGCTCAGCCTCCCAAAGTGCTGGGATTATAGCTGTGAGCCACCACATCCGGCCAGCCTGGTAATTCTCAAGCACACTTAAGTGAGAATCATTGCTTTAGAGTCTCTCAAGGGTAATCAAAAAAATATTATCACCTCATTAGACTGACTAAAAGTAAATAAAAAGTTAAAAGCATAAAGTACTTTGTTTACAAAGAACTTTCAAACCCGTGGCTCCTTTGGCCCTCCCAACAACCACTGACGCAGCTGCTGTTTTCTCCTCCCTGTTTGCAGGAATGAGGCCTTTGACTCTGCAAACATCTGTCCCCAGTTGCAATGGGAGACCCCCCACAGAGGCTAAGTAAGCAGCCAGCTGCTCTAAAAGCTCTACTGAACGACCAAAGGGGACAGGGCTTGGAAGTGGATCTCAGTAAGGATGGAAGAGACACAGATGTGTTCTCACTTTTGGACGATAACCCTATAAATAGCTCTAAGTAGACCCTAAACCCATGAGCTCTTTCCAAATGATGTCACCAGGAGCTGCTCCCATGGTACCAATGTGGATCAATTATTTCTCAAAATGTCTCTTGGGGAGGTATTATTTGGCATTTTTGGGAGATGATTCATTATGTAGCCTGCTTGGTGCAGGACATTCTGCATGCTGCCCGCTCTGTCCCAGCATCAAATGCCAGTAAGACCCTGTGCCTGGGACAACAAATCCATCCTTTACCAGAACATTTCCTACCCCCGCCCCCCAGGGGGCAGCACTTCTCCATTGGGAACCAGTGAGTGACAGGACTCAAGGCTTCAGTCAACTCCTTGTGGTATTAGATGCAGTTTCTTAAAAATTGATTTTGAGCTCTCTCCCCAGAGCAGAGGAGAAGGCCTAGGAACTCCAACACTTCAGCTGTGCTCAACACAACTCAACTCAGCCAGCGTCATGCCCTCTGGCTGGGCTCCCCAGCAGCTGGTACCAGGGGCTCCAAGATGCACGTTATCATGGTGCTGCCCTTGGGAACTGCACAGCGCCGAGGCCCCGATGGCCACATGTGGCTGCGGGACTAAGCCTGGGATGGCTGGGAGCCCCGTGCGCTCACAGGGAGCCCTCCTGCATGGAGCAGGTGCCCCCTGAACTAAGCTCACAAAGGCGATGTAATAGGTGAGTGGAGAGAGCAGCCCGGAGCCGGGATGCAGGCACAGAGCATGGAGACAGGAGGATGGGGGCACGGGGGTGGGGGAGCTCAACTGCCCAGGGCAGCCAAAATAGCAGGGAATGAGGTTCAGCAGGTGGGCTGGGGCCAGATTCTGGAAAGGCTTGAGTGCTCCCCTAGGCAATCTGGAGGAGCTCCATCTCCCACACCCCTCCATGGAGCATGGCAAGGAAAATGCAGTCAGTCCCACACAGAAGGCTTCCCAGGGCCACCTTCACAGGGTCCCGGGCTGAGGGAGGCCCTCATCTCCCTGCTGTTCAGGGTGGAGGTTGGGGGGTCCACAGACAGCCCAGAAGGGAGGCTGTAGCAGCGTGGCATCCCCAGTATCCTCATCCCCAGGTGTCCAGCTCTGCAGCCACAGGGCTGCCCCCAAATGCAGCACTCGGCAGAGAAGCAGCAGTCCCTGGATCAGGCTGCCTGGGGCTCGGCTGCTGCGGAGGATGGGACTCGCTACTGCCTGGGACTCGGCTGCTGTGGGTTTCAGACTCCAGGATGGAGGAGCTGGTTGGGAACGGGAGGCCTCGGATTCTGTTCAGAAACTACATTTGCCCCTTCAGTCAAGAGTTAGACAATTCACAAGATTTTCACCAGGGAGGTCCTCCACCAGCACAATGGAGTGAGAGCTTAGAGGCCTGCCCCTGCCTCTCTGGACCTCTGTCTCCTCCTCTGTAAAACAGTGTTGGCCTAGATGGTTTCTAGGGGTTCCTCCAGTTTGAAGTCTCAGATCTTCAAATCCAGTTTAGCTGAGTGCATGATGGAGGAAAGAAAGAAAGACGAGAAGTGGCTCCAGATGAGCATGGTGGGGAGAGCACTGGACTGGGAGTCCTCAAGCAGGTCCCTAGGTTGCTCCACCTGTTGACAGCTTCCTCAAACCCTCCTCCGGCAGGAGGTCTGCTCGGCCCCTTCACTCACCTCTCTCATCCATATCCTCACCTCCTCATCCCTCTTTGCTTCCTTTCTCCCTTTCTGTCTCTACATGATGCTTCCCCAATTTCTAAGTTGCAGTTCAGTTACCACCTCCTCCAGGAAGCCTTCCCTGAAAAGACTAGCCTCAGCAATGATGCTGATTTGGATGAGAACAGCCGGTACCAATTAATGAGCCGCCAGATGTGCTCTGACCTTTCACACAGCACCTCATCCCTCTGAACAACCCTTGGAGCAGAATTCTTATCTCCAGGTGAAGAAACATTTATTGAGACTTGGCCAAGGTCCCCTGACTAACAAGAGACAACAGTAGGTTTTGAATTCATATTTATCTGATTTGGAAGCCCATGTTCTTCCCCAACAACACATTGCCCACTATTGCTCCAAAATTCTACCATCCTGCAGCTGTGCAGCCCACAGGACAGGTCACTCGCCATCACCACAGCTGTCTCACTGCTCCTTGGCACACACGACAACTCCCAAGTGTGTCACTCATACAGCACCAGTGCCTGGACCCAGACCCATGGACTCAGGAGGCACCCGTGGTCCTGGCCTGACACTCATGGAAGCCACACCAGACTCCAGGAGGCTCAGCGGCCCCAGCCCAGCAGCTCCCATGCCCCCTCTGGCCTTGGCCCAGAGAAGAGCAGGATCCCCAGGACAGCCAGGACAGGCAGCGCTACCTAAAGCCGATGGTCGCGGCAAGGCCAACAGGTTATTCTTTGCCAGCTGTTGGCACTTTGGGGAATCTTTGCCGTTGAAAACAGCCGGACCCACTGTTGCGCTTAGTGAGGAGTGATCAGAAGCTGGTCCTGAAAGCAGATAGAAGGCAAAGAGGAGGGTCAGTTCACGAGAATGCCCTGGGAGCCAGGCAAGGAGGAAATCACTTTCCTTGCAGTTTCACAAACTAGCTTTTCCCCAGCAAGTCTCATCAGAAGATCAGAATTCCCAACAGTGATTCTGCTACACTGAGAAGATACATGCAGACACATGCATACACACACACACACACACACACACACACTTCTGCCTACACACAACATACACATGCACAAACATGTACACACACACACACGCACAAACACATGCCTATATACACGCACACCCAGGAACATGCACCCTCCTGCTCACACCCCAATGGACACACAGCCTGAGTGAAAGAAGGACCAGGGGGCTTCCTGAATTCCAGGACCACACCTGAAACTGTTCCACTTCCTTCTACCTTCTCTCTCAAGACCTCTGGTTGATATGGTTTGGCTGTGTCCTCACCCAAATCCCACTTTGAATTATAGCTCCCATAATCCCCATGTGTCGTGGGAGTGACCTGGGGGGAGGTAACTGAATCATGGGGGTGGTTCCCCCATATTGTTCTCATGATAGTGAAGAAGTCTCACGAGATCTGATGGTTTTATAAAGGGCAGTTCCCCTGCACACGCTGTCTTGACTGCCGCCATGTAAGATGTGCCTTTGCTTCTCCTTTGCCTTTCGCCATGCGGAACTGTGAGTCCATTAAACCACTTTCTATATAAATTACCCAGTCTTGGGTATGTCTTCACAGCAGTATGAAAATGGACTAACACATCTGAAGTCCAGGAAAGCAGTCGGGTTTGCAGCTACCTGGGTGCAGGCTGTTCACAGGGCCCAGGGCTCCCCAGGTCTAAGGGTAATTCTGGGGACAATCATGGCTTCTGGTATCCTGGGGCTGACAGAACTGCTTAAGTTGTCCATGTCAGTCAGAACGGTCTGGAAAGAGCTTGGGTCAGGAGTAGCACTGAATGTTTCCTGTGGGTTTAAGGGGGTGGCTCTGAAGCCAGATGACATGTGTTTGAGCCCAGTTCCACCACCTCCCAGCTGTGTAACCCTGGACACTTACTTAACCTCCCTATGCCTCAGTGTTCTCATCCAGAAAACAGGTGTGGTCACTATAGCAACTCAGAGCCACAGTGAGAACGACATGAGTTAGCAGAAGAAAGTGCCTGGAACGGTGCCTGGCGTGTAACATGCTTTGAGTACTTGCTGATACTATCATCTTATTTAATTCTTACAATTGCCCTACAAATTAGACAGAAGAGATTTGCTCAACTTTACAGATGAGGAAATGGAGGTTCAGAGGATTTGAGTTGCCTCAAATCACTCAACTAAATGGTGGCAGCACTGGAGCTTACACCCAGGCACCCCGACAGCAGAAACAGTAGGCTCTCCCGGCCATGATGGTAGAGGCACTGGGGGCCTGGGCGTGGGGAAGCAGCAAGGAGCTCTGGAGGAGAGTATGTTCCAGTCCCCTGCCCAGGCAATGGATGGGCCAGGTGGGTACAAGGGCACTGGCTTCCTCCCAGGGCCAATGTGCCTCTACAGACCCACTGGGCAGGAGGCATGAAAACAAGCAGCGACCTTCCTGCGTCCTTGGGAAGGCTGGTGTCTACTGTGATAACAATCACCATGCTTAGGAAGTCTGTGCAACATGGTGAAATGCCAAGCATGTGAATCAGGGTTCACATCTAACGTCACCTCTTGCCTCCACCTCCTCCTGCCCACGAGGTCCTAGGCAAGCACCCAGCCTCCATGAGCCTCACCTTCCCAATCAGTAAAATGCGGGAACCGAGGCCTGCTCACAGCATGGTTGTTGGGTTTCAAGGCACTCACAGAGCTGGGGAGTGCTGCGCATGGGGTGAATGGCAGCAATCTGGTCTTTTCCGCCCCTTCTAGCAATTCATTCAAACCCTGACTCAGCACCTTTACATAGAGAGCTCTATGCCGTGCGGGGGTTGTATGGGGGGCGGTGCTGCAGAGGGACCCTGCATATGTCCCCACCAGGGGATCCCACTTCATATCAAACAGGAAGAAAGAAAAGCCCTCCCAATGAAACAGCTAGCATTCTTTGTTGAAGAGTATTACAAATTCAAGATGAAAGTAAAGGTGTTATAGAAAAAGATAACAGCCCCTTGATTTATTTTGAAGAATGCTTGACTACATAGTCAACCGGACACATCAGAGACATGCCAGTGGTGTGGATTCAGCAGCCCTGGCGTGTCTCTGCCGCCTCACCTGCCTGCTGAGCTCCCGTCAGGATGCTGGGGTTCGTCCCGGGAATGGGCTCGCTGGGGAAGGCAGCCGTGCTCTCCAGGGCCGGGAAGAAGGAACCAGAACAAGTACTGGTGGGGATCTGCCGGCTTCTAAACTCTAAGGGGGCAAGGTGCACATGTGAAAACCAACTCGCTCTTCTCCAACAGTTACGAAATGAGTTCCTGCAGTGGAACGTGTCCTACAGGACAGTGAGCTATTGAGACAGTCACACAAGCTGCCACCACATCCTGGTCTTTGTTTCAGCATGAAGCCAGGGCGAGGGTGTGACTCCTACTTGTGGCTCCATGCCAAGGGGCAGCTCTGGTTGTCAAGAGTGGGAGCAATGGTGAATATTTAGAAGAAAGGGACGAATTATACAAATAAGTCACCCTACAGCTACCCGTAGCCATAGACGAGAGTGTTACTTGAAGATAAACGATACCATCTTCCGCCCTTATTTCCTCCTCTGGGAAAGGCCATCCCCAGCGGCCAGTGAGGTGGAGAACCTCTGAGGTGCTTGGACCCAGCAGGTGATCAAAGATGGTGAACTGGTCCCATACAGGGCACAACCACTGCATCCTCAGGGCCTGAGAAATGACTGGCAAGTAATAGGGGCTCAGGAGGCATTTACTGAACAAAGCAAGAAAAGCAGAGAGGAAGGAAGAATGGGGTGTGAGGGAGGTGTTCCCAGAGCCACCCAGCCTAAGGCCTCTTCCCTCTACCCCCAGGACCTGACTGGGAGAGTCCAGAAGACAAGATGGGAACAAGCCCAGACAAGGGAGGAACACCTCACAACCCAGTCTTGCCCTCCACCCGCGGCAGGCCACTGAGGATCCAGCCTCCTCCTCGCCCCACAGAGCTGACTGTGGCCATGAAAGGTACAGCTGAGACAAAGAGGGTGGCAGGGCAGCCTGCTCCCAACGTTTCTGAAAGCTGCAGCCTAATCACTTCTTCAGAGACCAGCAACGTGAAGCTGATCTTTCTGGCCATAGTTCAGGGTTCAGGGACTTGTGTGGGGCATTGTTCAAGCCGAGCTGTCTTAAGTCAGGTTCTCAGCCTTGGTGCCGGTGACATTTGCAGTGGGCTTCTTTGTGCTGGGGGCCGCCCTGTGCACTGCAGAATGTTCAGCCATACCCTGGTCCCTACCCCAGATGCTGGTGGCACCACCCAGTCATGACAATCAAACTTGTCTCGAGTTATGGTCAAACGTTTCCTAGGGGATGAAAGTCACCCACGGTTGAGGACCACTTGGGTGAACTACTCAATTTGGGAAGATAAGAACCAGCACCCCAAATACTTGCCATAGGAGGTAATGCATAGTCTGGCCCTCTGTCAACTTTCTCTTTTTTTTGAGATGGTGTCATGCTCTGCTGCCCAGGCTGGAGTGCAGTGGCACCATCTCAGCTCACTTCGACCTCCACCTCCCGGGTTCTGGTGATTCTCCTGCCTCAGCCTCCCAAGTAGCTGGGATTACAGGTGGGCGCCACCATGCCCGGCTAACTTTTGTATTTTCAGTAGAGACGGGGTCTCACCATGTTGGCCAGGTTGGTCTTGAACTCCTGACCTCAAGTGATCTGCTCACCTAAGCCTCCCAAAGTGCTGGGATCACAGGCATAAGCCACCACGACTGGCCCTCTGTCGACTTTTAAACATCCCATCCAATTAGACCGTCACTGTCAACCAGCTTAACGCCCGTAACGAAAGGGAGCATTTTCCATTTCATAGGCCTGGCCTTTTGCCTGTGATGTGTGCTGCTATGCAGGGGCCTCTCCCCAGCATCACAGCGACAGCCACCGCAGGCCACTTGGGGGCCCAGCACTCCCACCTCCTCCACAGCCAACCTGCCCACCTGAGCCTTTCCAACAGATTAAAGGTCCTTTGGTGAGAGTCCCTTGTGCGTTACGGACCAGGTAATACTTCAAGTGTTTCTGCTTCTTGGGTTGAGTGGTCAGTTTCAGATTTATATGATTGGAGAATTCTGTGAAGTAACAGAAGCCTTTCTTTCCACAGCCAACACAATTCCCAGAGAAACCTGGAGAAGAAAGTAAACCATAAACATCTTTATTCTTTTATTTTTATTTTTTTTAGATGAAGTCTCGTTCTTGTCATCTAGGCTGGAGTGCAATGGCACAATTTCGGTTCACTGCACCCTCCACCTCCCAGATTCAAGTGATTCTCCTGCCTCAGCCTCCCAAATAGCTGGGATTATAGGTGCCTGCCACCATCCCTAGCTAAATGTTTTTGCAGTTTTTAGTAGAGATGGGCTTTCACCACATTGGCCAGGCCGGTCCTTTTCAAGTAAGACAGAGTTCATCCAAACTCTGAAGATCCACTTCCTGTACCACCAGCCAGAGAACTCCACAAGGCAAGCACCCCACCCTGTTAGACTAGCCCAGAGGTTAAGACGGCCTCGACTCAAATAAAAGAGGACCAAGAAGACTTAGCGATAGAGATGGGCCCAGGCAAATGTGGAAGATTTAACGTGCTTGGGGGCTACTTAAACATCTATGTAGAGAGCAAACTTTGCAAGACAAGAGCCGTCCCATTCCACCGTGTACACGGATCGGGGCGCCTGAAATGATACGAGAACTCTTATTTCCGGAGGGTGGGTTAGTTCCACTCTCAAAGCAGTGTGACTAGTGAGATGGGCTACACTGGGACACCTCTTAAGAGTCCAAAATTCCATCCTGCTCTCAACTTGATCCCGTGAGTTTCTGAAAAGAAATCAGGAGAGCTCCGCAATGCCTGGCCGGCACACTGGTGAGTGAATTCCGTGGCTTGGCAGCCAGTGGAGGGAGACGCTCTGCTAGAATGTGACTATCTTGCTGCTGCTGGCCTCTGCACCAGGCCTACAACTGACTTTCTGGGAGGCGACGGAGGCTCCCGTCAGCTGTGAGGCTCTAACCAAGCCTCCTACGCGGCGGCAATGGCAAAAACACCTCCTGGGAGCTATTAAAATCCAGAGACATGTGCCTGAAAAGACCTTCACACACTGTAAAGTCTATTCAAACCATAGGCAGCGGGAGTGCTGGTTAAGATGAGAAATGTGAAGACTTGGCTTCTGCCCAGGATGACTGCTCTTATTTAAACGATCATAAGATGGCCTTGCTTCACCCACTGGTATGTCTGGTTTCTACAGGTCCAAAGGCCTTCGGCTGCGGAGATCCTGAAGCTAAGACTCATGTGTCATATTCTCCATTTGATAAGTCTACAAAGGTCATTGTGCCTGAGGCTGTGAGGGCCACCCGGCTCTGTGTGTAACTCTGCTCTAAAAGTCTCCCTAAGGTCTCTGGCTAGTGTTCAAAATAACTCCAGTTAGTGAAGGTTAAAAACATCTCCACAGATAAATAAGACATCTACATTACAGAGGCCGACTGGACTCCCTGATCTATTTTGAGCACATTTAGTCTTCCTCAAAAGGCATTAGAAATAAGGACAGATCTCTTGGCCTCACCATAAGGACAGTTACAGGATAATTTACCTTCCACAGTCCTATTCCCTCTGTGCCAGCACAAACAGTAAGGTCCTGACATGAAACACTGTCCTCTCCAAGTGCTCGCTTTCCATGGGACAGGCAGGGAACTAACACGCACAGGGAACCAGGGCCATTCTTGCCATTCATCTCAATCCACAAGTGCCATGGGAGCCAGTCAACCTGGAGGGCAAGTCCTTCTTTGTGAAATCAGAGAACCAGAGAGGCCCGTTGTTCAAATCCATAGATACAGAAAGTGTGGCATCCAACTCCAGCCTGAGGATGACGGTCTTGCCCACAGGCCTGGCATCCAAGGCTGCCCTGATGCCCCCTGGCCTTCATCTCCAGTTTTATTCCTGTCCTTCCTCTGATATGCTAATTCCCAGCTGGACTCCCCTGCCTCTCAACCCAGCTGGCTCCCACTGCCCTCCATCGACAGGCTCATCCTCTCCTCCGGGGCCCCACCTGTACACATCCAGCCCTCACTCAACATCCTGCTCCAGTGCCTACTCCCAAGAGCCTTCTGTGACCCAAAGGCTGGCTGGCACTTTCCTCCAGACTCCAGGCTCTTCCTGTAGCTCAGGGGCCTCTGAACACCCCAGTGATTGAAATTTGTGTCTTTCTCCCATCATTATTCCTCTAAGCTCGCAGCATGACTGCACGTGTGAGCTGTGTGTGTGCAAGTGTACAGGTACTGACTAATGCCCCACACATGGCAGGCAGCCAGTTAATATCAAGAGGGAAGAAAAGAGAGAGGAAACAGGGTAACTGTGAACAGCAGCCTGTCAGGGTTTCTGTAAGCACTCTGAAGGAATAACCTCATGTCTTTATTCATTGGCCTCCAACTTCGGGACGTTTGAGATAAACCCGGCTCAACTGCTGCCTAAAAACAAGGCCTGAAGAAACCTTCAGAGCTCCCTGGAAGGGCTTCTAAGCCTGGTGTTTAAAAGATGGATGAACAGGAAACAGAACTGCAAGACGCTAAGAGCAACTTGCCAAGGCCAGGCTGTCATCCCTCTCCAGAGACAGCTAAGCAGGTTACAGGCCTCTGTCCCATAAGAAACACGGACTGGGGACCATGGCTGTGCTGCAGAGGCCATCTCCATCTCCTCCGATGGGATGGGAAGCATAGACAACAGGGAGCCCTTTGTGATTCAGAAATGAGGGTGGACACCCTGCGTCTTGCTAGTACAGGAAACATTTAGGGACTCAGCAAGCAAACGGCTTTTCTGCTTTGGCAAAAACTTTCTGGTCAGGAGACCCAGCTGCTCTTCTGTGAGGTGTCTTGGAGAGACAGCCACAGAGGCCAACCAAGAAAACCACAGGAGAAAGAGGAAAATAATGAACTCTTCTCTTCAGAAATCTACCTTAGGACTTGGAAGTCTAGAAAGTTTTTTTATATGATAGGCTTAGAAAGCATGGGATCCTGCCTGAAATCTCAAATTCCTGCCGGGTGTGGATATCCAGAATCGAAATTCTTCCTTCAGTGTCCTCACCATGGGAAACAGTCCATCATAAACACGATTCTTGTCACCACGCACAGCCACACCCTGTGATTTTCCCGTGTGTCTAGTTTAGCAGCTACAGGTAGCATTTGTTTAACAAGCACGTCCTGGGCAGATATGTGTGCTGGCCGCTGAGCAAGCCTCTCCCCTTCTGCTGAGAGGACAGCTACATCCATTCCCCCAACCCTTGCAAGGGAGTGTGTATAAGCCTGGATGTCTGAGGGGCCTGGGTTCAAATCCTAACTACAGTTAGGTGATGTGAGGCAGGTAACTAACACCTCCGAGCTTTGCTTTCCTCATCTGTCAACAAGGCGACAATAGCGACTTCATAGTGCACCTGTCATGGGCCAGGCACTGTGTCAAGCACGTTATAAATATTCTCATTTAAACCTCATGAAGCCTGACAAAGCAATCAGCAGCAGTGTCCCAGTTTACAGATGAAAGCATCAAGGCAGAGGGAGAGACAGAAACCCATCCATGGTACAGGGTGACCCAGCCACGGCTACAGGGTAGAAAGTGCTGGAGTTAGGATTTGAACGCATCTCCTCCCAAAAACCCACCTTGCAGGAGCACTATGGGGGTGAAGTACCTACGAGATGTCTAACATGTCAGGGGCACTCTGCAAGCAGCCCTTCTTTCTCTACCCCGGACTAAGCTGTATTAGGAAGGCGAGCACAGTAGGGGTCATGACACTCACATGCGGCCCTAGGGGAGCAAATAGATAGCCCCCACCCCTCCAACAGTGTGAGATGTGGAGGAAGCAGCTCCACTTCTCTGCATTTCCATGTTCCAACCATCAAAGGGAAGGCTATGACTAAATGGGCCCTATGCCTCCTTCTAGGACTAAAGTGACATGATTCTTCTTGGAAGCATCCGTAGGTGGCTTCCTTCAGACCCAGTGGTCTCTGAGCACTTGGCTCATAGCAGGCTGGAGATGGCCCAGATTTACTGCTGGGGCCACTCCCTCTGCAGAGGGGTCCTCCCACAAAACCTCAGGGATGCCTCTAGAAGTTCACCTGTACCTGACCTTTCTTCTAGAACCACAGTCCAAGGAGATCTCGCTGATAGCCACTGCACCAGAGCTGGGAGCCACAAACATGTCCCCCACGCCTGATGCCTCCATCCAGCGCCTTCCCAGGAGAGTGGATGCTCAGAAGGGCCTTACTCTAGACCACTGTCCCTGTGCAGAGGGCCACTTGGCCCTAGTCATCAACCCTCCATGAAAAAATGCAAATCTGACGGATACTGTTATGCACAAATATGTTTAGAAAGAAAATCTGATAGGAAACAAACCAGGTGCTCTGGGCAAGACATACATTAAAAATGCATGGTTCATAATTGGGTAATGTTTTTGGTTAAAAAAAGAAATGGTCCCTGTTAGGAAGAAGGAACAGACACAGTTAAATAATCCCACGATTGAGGCAGAAGGACCGGTAGCAATGACAGCAGTTCCTCAAATTCGGGCAGCATTTTCAAGTTTATAAAAATCATCATATAAAGAGCTGAGTTATCCTCAAAACCGCAGTCAGGTACCGCATACATCTTTATCCCCTTTATAGATGGCAAACCTGTAGCCCCAAGGCAGGAAGTACTTCTCTGCCAAGATGGGACTGGCTGTTCCAGCACAGTGTGCTATGGGGAAGAATGGGGAACCAGCAGGAGTAATTTCGGAAGGCAATTCCAGGAAGACATCCTGGCAAGTGGGATTTAAATTGGACCTGAACAGCAACTCTCTGTTCCTTCCAAATAATGAGCCTTGAAAGCCCACGAGCTCAGACGAGCTCACACTACACCTAGCAACTAATGACCACGCTCCCCGTGCCTGAACATAACAGTTACTTGGGACAAAAATAAGATCATCTTTGGCTCATTGTGCCATATTAATTGAAAAAAGAAAACACAGAATCTGGGAAACATTATTTTAAATCCCCACCTGCATAGAGAAAGGAAAAGCCCATGGGCAAAGTAAAACAAGGTATTTTATATATATATATGCCCAGAGGCCCTGCCTTGGTATTTTGGCCAAATCCCAGCTCAAGTGTAGAAATGGCCCCCTTGTGTTGGGGAAGCCTAAGGAGCCGTACCAGGATTCCAGGTGAGACAGGAAGTGGGGCAGGGGTCCCAGGTGTTCCCAGGGAAGATGAAGCACTCAGGGGTGGTAAATAGTATGATGTTGTGAGGTTTGAAACATAAAACTCTCAGGCCATTGTACTCTTCTAGAATCCTGCAGTAAGTTCATAACTAGTTCTTCTGCCTCAGTTTCTCCCTTTGCATAAAAATCAGTTGTGTGTCTGACTTCTAAGCAATCTTCTTAAAACACAAATTAAAACACAGTCATCTAAATTTAACATCTAACACTCTAAATATCCTTAAAAATATCAATTATAAGGGTAAAACAAGGGAGGAAGCACCTACACATTAAGAAAAATTTGAGACACAGCAACCAAATGCTTTAGAAGACCCCTGTCTGGATCTTGATATAAATGCACCAATTGCTTTAAAAAAAACTGTAAGATATAATTTGAACACACTGAATATTTGATAATATTAAATAACTGCTAAATCTTTTAGATACGATAATGGTATTGGGTTTCTAATGAAAAGCTGTTTTTTTGTTTTGTTTTGTTTTGTTTTTTTAAACGGAGTTTCACTCTTGTTGCCTAGACTGGAGTGCAATGGCTTGATCTCTGCAACCTCCGCCTCCCAGGTTCAAATGATTTTCCTGTCTCAGCCTCCCGAGTAGCTGTGATTACAGGTGCCTGCCATCACGCCCGACTAATTTTTGTATTTGTAGTAGAGACGGGGTTTCACCATGTTGGCCAGGCTGGTCTCGAACTCCTGGCCTCAGGTGATCCACCCCCTCAGCCTCCCAAAGTGCTGGGATGACAGGCGTGAGCCACCGCACCTGGCCCCAATATCTTTTAGAGATAATGCCGTGTGGAAATTTACAGATGAAATGATACAATGTCTGGGATTTGTTTCAAAATCATCCCAGAAAGGGAGAAGAGGGGCACATTAACGAAACAAGATTGGCCATGCGTTGGTAACCGTGAAAGAAGGCTAGATCACCTCATACCACGAGACTCTGTGCTTCTGTAGTTTGAAAACAGCTCCTTTTCCGAGCAGAACCCAGCTGGGCATCCCACCCTGCCGCGCTCTCTACCAGCCTCCGCTCCAGCCACAGAGCACTCCAGCCACTTCTCCAGCGTGCCATGCTGTCACGCACAGGGAGTTCCCTCTGCTGAGACGCCCTTCATCCTCCAGGACCTGGGCATCAGGGCCAGACCGTCGGGGTTCAAACAGCGGGGTGGCCCTGAGCAAGTCAGTTAGCCTCTCTGTGCTTTCATGTCTGTATATAACTCTAGATAATAACAGACCCATCACATTGGCTATTTTAACTTATTTCGTGCAGTTTCTGGCACATGATAAATGCTCAAAAAGTGCCAACTGCTCTTAGTGTTTGGTTTCTGTTGCTGTTATTCTCCAATTGGCAAAATTCTACTCATTTTTCAGGGCTCAACTCAGATACCACATCCTCCCATTCCCATCCTCACGGGGCCCCTCCGAGTCCCGGAGCACCTTACCCTCTCTGTAGACCATGTCGCACAAGGATGTATTGTAAGATTTCTTGACAGAGTTGTTTGTTGTGGATTTCTAGGCTGATTCTTGGTGTGCCTGCGTCCCCCCACCCCGCCCCCAGACGTAACTGAAGGTCCAGGCTTTCATTTCAGGTTATATACTCAGTAAATGCATGCTGAGTTCTTTGCCTGCTGAATGAACAAAGGACTCGTTTACTCCCATCTAAGAAAAAAACAATCTAGTGGGATATGTTTTCCTTCTTTAAGTCTGAGCTGTCAACTCATTTAGATAAATTACCGGGCAATAAACTGAAACAAACACCTAGACTTTAATCTTTCAGCTTTTTCAGATAAAATACCTGAGTTGATTAAAAGTCACTAAAACAAGTCTCCTAATACTGCTGCTTCCTCCAAGGTATTCCCCAGCCTGTATTTTATAGATCACTAAAAAGCACTGAGCTCTGCCACTGCAGGGCTGGAGGGCGCCACCTTGTCCTGTGTAGCCATCAGACTTAATTGCAGGAAACCTAAACAGTGTTAAGTATGCAAGCTGAGAGCATAAAGTTATTTTATTAAAAGAAGAAAGCGATGGTTATTACCAACCAGGCCTTGTCACCCATTTCAGATGGCTTTTGGCAAGCAATTAACAAAGCTCTTACTTCCTCTCCTCGATGAGCTGGCTCTGTTACTGAGCTGGTGGTGAAGGAACTGAAAGATCCTCGTCTCTGCAGGCCAAGAGGCACAGCCTCCTTGATTTACTGCCCTGGCAATTCCTTTACAGTCACAAAGTGGTGGAATCCAGACGAATCCCCGGCCACTGCCAGATCAAACGCTAAGGCGGCCACCAGGCACGGCCTCCCGGACTCACTTTCATCCTGGGCGACTGTCGTAAGCGTTCAGTCTGTCATTGAATGATTCCATCAGCTTCTTTGCTAGAGTGGGTTTTCTGGGATGATTCTGTTTTAGAGAACTGGTTACAGTGAGTCCATGAGCCTGCCTCAAGAGAGTTGGCCAAAATGTTTTCTCTCCTTTGTCACTGCCTAGTGGTGTTGTCCCTCCAGCGAACATTCACCTGCCTTGTGTCGGAGTTCACACACGTGTGTGTCCCCAGTGCCTTTGTGGTAGGAGCCATCTCATTTCTTCTCCCTTCTCCATTTTCATCCTTTGCACAGCTCCTCAGACATAAAGTGTGCTCAATAACTACCCATGGAGTGAGTTTATCCTCCCAGCTTTTGGGGCTGTATCAAGTGCAAAACTGGAGGCTTCAATGTCTATACCCATGGAAAATATGTAAGAAATTGTGGGGGTTTTCAATCTAGAAGTTTTTCCCATAAATTCTCACAATCAAACTTGCTCTGCATGAAGACTGTTCCTGAGGCTACATCTGAAGTGGATCATTACCAATCCTGCCTCCCGCCCAGATTGCCTCCAAAGAAGATGCCAGGCCAGATGGAGGGGGCTGGAGCCACAGTCACAGGATGAGAACAGCCAAAGGGCCAGGGCACATGTGGAAGTCACCTCCCTGCTTCATGGATGAGGACACAGAAGCCCAGGGGGCCACACAGGGACCTGTGGGCAGATGCAGGACAGGAACCCAGATCCCTGGGCTCTCAGTCCACACCTTGGTGTCCCTAGATTTTACTCCACAATGGGGGAGCCTGCTGAGTGATGGCCTGGCACACAGTAAGAACTCAATTACATCATATGAGCAAAGGCAGCCAGGCTTGGCAAGGCCTGGCCCCAGCTCTGCACTCAGAGCCTTGGTGGGCCAGCGGAAAGATCAAAGGCTAGTGGTGCCCAGGGCTGGAAGGGAAAGCAGCGGCTCCCCCATCTTGACCCCATGTTGACCTTGACTGTGGGATGGTACCAGCTAGAATCTGGAGCCAGGAGGACTTGAGTTTGAATCCTGGCTCTGTCCCCTTTACTCATGCGACCTTGGGCAAGTTAACAGATACAAGCCCACCTATAAAACTGGGATAATAAAGACCACCTCTTGGCTGGGCGTGGTGGCTCATGCTTGTAATCCCAGCACTTTGGGAGGCCAAGGTGGGCAGATCACTTGAGGCCAGGAGTTTGAGACCAGCCCGGACAACATGATGAAACCCCATCTCTACTAAAAATACAAAAATTAGCCAGGTGTGGTGGCGCGCTCCTGTAATCCCAGCTATTTGGATGGCTAAGGCATGAGAATCGCTTGAACCCAGGAGGTGGGGGTTGCAGTGAACTGAGATAGTGCCAGTGCAATCCAGCCTGGGCAACAGAGAGAGATTCCATCTCAAAATAAATAAATAAACAAACAAGCAAACAAGCAAACAGACCATGTCTTGAGAGATGAGTGATAAACCAAAGGGGAAAACAGATACAGGGTGCCTGGCAGTCCTTCAGGACAGAACATTCTGGAGGCAGCAACACACTCAGCCTCATTCTCCTCTGCCTCTGTAGGCTATTTCTGAGACTGTCTGGGACAGGGTTTGTCACCCATTCCTGACACAAGCGGGCACTTAGGGAGGTCTGAAGAATAAATGTATGAAAAATGAATGCTAAATGGTGAGCTTTCTGCAGGGATGCAGTCATACTGTAAATGCATCTCATTTGCATTCCATTCCACAAAGAACTCTTCTACCAAAAAACATAAACAGGGCTGCATGCTGCACCTGGGGTCCCAAAGATGGTCCCCCTGTTGCCACCACCCCCCGCTGTGACCTCCCTTGACCTTGCTCTACCCCAGTGCAGAAAGAGCCACAGAGGAGGACAAAGCAGAACTTACCAAGAAGAGCATTGTGGCCATTGTCATCCGGCAAGAACCTCTTGTCAACGGCGCACACCAGGAGATGGTCCGGTAGGCTGGGGGACTTGGCCCCCACGAGGAGAAAGCCCGCAGGGACGTCAATGGGCTCGTTGGAAATGGAGACGAGGCGCAGGTCCTTCCCGGCCTGGCAGAACCCTAGGAGGGGTGGACGGGGCTCACACACTGCCCAGGGCTTCCCAGAAGCGGGGTCACAGGGGCAAAGGGAGGAAACGCTCTGGGTCTGCTCAGGAGAAACCCTTATCTCTGGGTGTGCTTGACCTCAAAATTAATCCTGAGAGATAAAACTATAATATTAGTTGGCCGGACATGGTAGCTCACGCCTGTAATCCCAGCACTTTGGGAAGCCAAGGCAGGAGGATCACTTGAGGTCAGGAGTGCAAGACCAGCCTGGCCAATGTGGTGAAACCCCATCTACTAAAAATACAAAAATTAGCCAGGCGTGGTGGCACGCACCTGCAATCCCAGCTACTCGTGAGGCTGAGGCAGGAGAATCATTTGAACCCGGGAGGCGGAGGTTGCAGTAAGCCAAGATTGTGCCCCTGCACTCCAGCCTAAGCAACAAAGTGAGACTCCATCTCTCTCTCTCTCCCTATATATATATATACACACACACACACACACACACACACATATATACACACACATATATAAAATCATAGTTATCCACGACACAGATCACACATTATTTGTCTATTGGTGCCACCATGTAATGCACATTAATGTGCAAATGAAGCTCAACAGGAAGAAATTTTAAACACATGACGGCAAATGGAAACATACACAAGATAAATCCTTAAGAAACTGAGGGTCCTCTGATGTTTCTTACATGCTGCATTTTTTGGGGCTGAGAAAGAGGCCATCACGAAAAACGAAGGCTGAGAATCTGATAGCGTCGGTTTCCTCTAGGGGGCGGTGGGGAGGACTCGTGGTCAGGACACAGGCACAGAGCAGGCCGAGAGCACGGAGATTCTCATTCCATGCCCTTCGGAACCTTTTGCGTTTTAGAGTTTGTAAATTTCCTATTCAAATAACACATCTCTACAAATATTTGGGGGGAAAGGTAAAAGAGAGAGCCAGCTGAGATTAATTTGGATAAGCCTTTTCCAGGGTCTTGTCCCAGGTAAGGGCACACCCAGCTCCATCTCCTGTGCTCTGTGTAGCTTTAGCTCCCGACTGAGACCTCTCTGGGAGCCCCGATGACCCAAGGCCTTCCCAGCAGAGCGCTACAGGACATCATGAAGACTTTGCTCCTGCGTGCAGGGCTTCCCCACTCACGAGCATTTGCTCCACGGTTTCCCATGTGCCGCCGGGCGGGGGCAGGAGAAAGCAACACCTGTGAGGGAGACGCTGGCAGGCGTGGGGCCAGGACCACCACATGCCAGGCACTGGTGAGGCAGGCTCTGCAAAGCTCTCATCTCATCACCTGCAGCAAAGTGTGGCTGTTCCCATTTTGAAGATAGGGAAACTGAGGCTCAGAGAGGTTGGGTGATTTGCTGCAAGCTACAGAGAGGTGGACCAGGAAGGGAGGCCAAGCTGACTCCTAGGTTTGGAGCACGATATAGTCTGGCTGTGCCCCCACCCCCATCTCATCTTAAACTGTAACTCCCACAATTCCCACATATTGTGGGAGGGATCCGGTGGGAGGTAATCGAATCATGGGGGTGGGCCTTTCCCACGCTATTCTCGTGATAGTGACGAGTTTCCCCACACAAGCTCTCTTGTCTTGTCTGCTGCCATGTGATGTGCCTTTCACCTTCCACCATGATTGTGAGGCCTCCCCAGCTACATGGAACGGTAGGTCTAAGAAACCACTTTCTTTTGAAAATTGCCCAATCTTGGGTATGTCTTTATCAGCAGTGTGAAAATGGACTAACACAGGGCAGTTCCTTGCATTGGCTTGGGGAAGGGAGGTCAATTCCCTGAGGTCAACGTCAATCCCCAGAGGTCCCCTAACTCTCCGACCTAGGTCCCTCCCAGCCTGGTGTGGTCCATGCTTTCTGAAGAGCTGGAGGGATGTAGGCTATGAGTAGTCACCGTGTTTACTGTATTTATTTGGAAATTATGTGAAAATATAATGACCATTGGAGAGTTTACCTCTTAATTTTTTTTTTTTAAGAGATAGGGTCTTGCTATGTTGCCCAGGCTGGCCTCGAAGTCTGGGCTCAAGCAATCCTCCTGCCTCAGCCTCCCAGTAGCTGGGACTTGACTATTTGCGCCACCATGCCTGGCTGAAGAGTTTACCTCTTACCATTTAATTCAGTGGCCTTTTAAATACTTAGACACTAGAAGTCCTACCTCACTAAGAGCCACCATATTGCCTTCCCCTTGCCTGGAAGAGCAGCCCAGCAAGGGCCGAGTCCCTCCCCTCCCAGTCATCATGCTCAGAGTCAAGTCCAGACCCCAAGGCAGAACACATGGGGCCTTCACACCAAGTCTCATCACTCTTCCAAGCCTGGCTCTGCCACACCTCAGGCCCCTACGTAAATAATCTGTTAGCAGTTCCCCCAAATGAGCTGTAATTTCACCCGACTAAGCCTTTGCACCTGCTGTTCCCTCTGTCTGGAACTTCCCAGCTTCCTCCAAGCCCTCCACAGTCTCCTGGCTGACTCGTACTAATCCTCCAAAACCCAAAGGGCCACCTCCTCCAGGAAGCCTTCCCAAAACTCTCTACCTGCGTTAGAGCCCCTCCTCTGCTCCATGCACCCCTGCTTGCTCCCAACTGCGTGCAAAGTGTCCACTTCCCTGTATAGCTCCCATCAAACAGGGATCTCTCATCCCATTTATCTCCATATATCCAGAGCAAAGAGTTCAATAATTACTTCGATTACTGCTTAATTTAATAATAACCAGTTAGTTATCTTAAATAACTAAGGACTGAGCACAATGCCTGGACATTGTAGGCATTCCAAAAATATTTGTATGGGGTACCACAGTGTCCTATGTAAACCCTTTTACAAATAAGGAAGCGGAGGCTCAGAGAGATGCAGAGATTGGAACGCAGCTACTCAACTATCTGCTAAGCAGCACGGCCTGCATGTTTCAGTTGTGTCTGATGCCCAAAGTGATGTTCTCACTGCTAACTGGCCTCCCTGCTTGACTGGCATGGTGTCAGGACAGATGAACTCACTAGCAAAGAGGTTGTGTGGCGCATGGGTGTCAGAGTCAGGGGTCTGCCCCACGCCTCTCTGAGTGCACAGCACAAGCTCTCAGCACAGGGCTAAGCTGCCACCCGCCCAGCATCTCCAGGCCTCTGTTCCTCAACAGTGAAACTGTACCATTACTGACTGAACAGGGTCCCTGAGATTATGTGTATCCGCCTGTTCAACACTGACATACTGATGGGTATGAAAGATTATTCCAGCCAAGCACGGTGGCTCACGCCTGTAATCCCAGCACTTTGGGAGGCTGAGGCAGTTGGATCACCTGAGGTCAGGAGTTTGAGACCAGCCTGGTCAACATGGTGAAACCCCATCTCTACTAAAAATACAAAAATTAGCCAG